CCGGCGTAGACGAAAGTGGCTGGCATTCCAAGCTGACGGATATAGTTCTCGACTGTGAACTTGGGAGCCCACTGCGGGACAGCGGGCCAGGGACCATGAACGGAATGATCCGGCATACTGCTGTAGATGTAGTGCTGGATTGAACCGGAGCGTTTTGCGGCATCTGCGAGATCGCGGCCGATGGCTACCTCGTCGCCGGACTGGGATGTGGTGTTGATGAAGGCGAGTTGAGCACCTTTGAAGAGCTCGTCCATCAGGGCGATATTGCCGAGGAGTGGGCCTTGCAGGAGGGTGACATTGGGCAGTTGTTGGAGCTCCGGTGCAATCACGCCTTTCAGGGAATGGATTTGCGCGCGCACTGAATACCCCACGGCGGACGCGACGCGGATCAGCGAGGCCGCTTGCCGGCCTGTCGCGTTGACCACGGCAATGGTCTTCTGGGGTTGTGTCATTCGGGTTGATCGAGGGGGTGACGGGGGAAAAGGAGGTAGGAATGTATAGAGAAGGAAGAGGTTCGAGAGGACAGGGACAGATAAAAGAGAAATCCGGAGTAAGCCTTGGCGAGAAGGGCTTTGCGATGGTGGGGTAGAGGTTGGAAAGTTGTGAGAATCGCGATCAGACCTAAATTATGCGATTGGTACAGGGAGTTCTCCAAATTGACCTCCTGATCTGCAATTAAAATAAAAAAAAGTAAAAAAAAAATTCCAACTCGAACTTTGAAAAACGCGGAGATGAAAGGGATAAGATAAGAATTTTGATTCTATATACATCCCAGAACAACTATATACTACTTTATATTGTTCATGTATCCCCTTTTTCTCCTGATATATCCCAAATCTCACTCACAAACCAAATATGCCCGACGAGAAAAAAAAAAAAGAAAAAATCCACAGTGCGGTCTCGTCCACAGGATTTTTACGTAAATCGGCCTACGCATTTTCGGCAGCACGGGAAGATCCTGATTCGGGAAGTTATATCGGTTTCTTTCTCTATAGAAGATTATATTCTCTATATATAACTTATACCTATACCCCTATACCCTATACTTATCGACATTTATATACCATCTATATATCTATATATCAACGCCAAGCCTTTGAAATCGTACCCATAGCGGAACCACTCCCGTAACACTACCTAAATAATAATTAGTTAAATATAATAATAGTAGTAATAATAGTAGTAATAATAGTAGTAATAATAGTAGTAATAATAGTAGTAATAATAGTAGTAATAATAGTAGTAATAATAGTAGTAATAATAACAACAATAGTAATAATAGTAGTAATAGTAAGTAATATTAACAAATCTAAATCGCGCAGGTGACTTCATATACTAGTGTAGTGTTCCACTGTCTGCCAGGGACAGCCTCACGTGGTGTATATATCGTATATATCTGTTCCTATGTCGGCTAGTGCTCCTCCAATGATGTTGAGGCCTTGGCGCAGGTTGACGTGCTACCTGGCTATGTCCGACTTGCCATTTCACCCGATACGTCCATTGGAGGTTAGGTACCTTCAGGGCTTGTTCTTTGCCTTTCTAGTAGAACGGAAAATTACTATGTGCCTGAACCCCGCAAATCCCAACCCGAATATGCCTTGATCACATCATTGCATTAGCCACAAATGACACTATTTGCGCAATGGATGATACCTATCATACTCTGGACATGTGCACAAATGTTGTACTCCGTGCTCTTATACTTATTATCTTCTATAGGTTGTACGAGGTGGGTTTAGAAAGAAAAAAAGAGCAAAAAGAGCAAAAAGAGCAAAAAAAGCAAAAAAAAAAAGCAAAAGCCATGCAGACAACCCCACCATGAAGAGAAACTAGTTGGGGTATTTCGTCCCCTTTTCCAACTACCCATATGGATATAAATCTAGAACCTCAACAGTAATTGCCTTTCAGTAATAGCCGTGTACTCCGTATACCTAAATACAATATATCAAACCCCGGAAAAAAGGAAAAACGCAGAAAAGAAACAGCCCTTATCTTCCCCACTTAGTTTATTCCACGGCAGGGGCCGATCTCCGCGGATGAAATTCCGTATTACAACCTGGTCATGGTGCCACAGCTCAAAGAAGGCAATAGAAGTAGAGTCAGGGATTACAATGTACATGACCAAAATGGTGTAATAAGTCCGAGGTTACTCTGAGATATTCATCCTCTGATGTCACTATCACCGCAAAACGCAGGAATTGTTTCAGCCATCCCAGTTGATCACAAAAATCCCCTGTCCCCAAAAGAAGACACCCGCAGGCTTACCCCCGGGAGGCCAATGCTCCCCAACAAAAAAAAAAAAGGAGGCATTCATATCGCCACGAACTATAGGTAAGAAAATCACCATCCTTACTACATAAAGCAAGGAAGCATACGACACAACGCCCCCAACCCCAACACCCTAACCCTGTCCGGGCAGTCTGAACCCGAACCCGAAGCCCCCCAACTCCAACTCCAACCCCAAAAACCGGTTATGGAACTGGAACCCATGGCAAAACAAAATACAACCCCAAAACTTAAGAAAGCGCCGACCCAGAAATCATCCGATTCTCACCAGCATCCCATTCCCACTCCTCCTCCATCTCCCGCTGTCTTATCTCTTTCGGCCCAACACCAGCCATACCCCAGACGAAGGGGCGGTGCCGTGCCAGGAGCTCGGCGGCTGGTCGCTCGTCCGAATGGAGATGAGCGCCGGATTTGCGGAGGAGGAGCGTGTGCTCGGAGAGGCCCGCGTTGGCGGCCAGGAAGAGCGGGGTGCGGCCGGCGCGATTGCGGAGGTGCACGGAGCCGCCTTGAGATAGGAGGAAGTGGAGGATTTTGATTGATGGGGATGTTGCTGCTAGGTGCTGGGTTGGGTTAGTGCTGTGTTGCGAGATAAGGAGAGAGAGATAGGATGTCGGACGGGACAGGGGGGGGGGGGACAAGGGACAGGGAATAAGAGGGATGTCGAATTGGGACGGGAACCGGTGAGATGGGATGACAGGCTTACAATTGGCGTGTTGCCGGAGTAATCGGCGTCGTTCAGCAGCCAGTGGTGTTCGGTTTTTGTGATGGCTTGGACCTTCTCCAGGTCGCCGTGGGCAATGGCATAGCCCATTGAGGTAAGTGTCTGGATTCGCTCGGGGAGTGTGCCGTCCGGGTGTCGGAAGATAGGCAATGATGACTCGGTCAGCTCGCCTCGGATAGATACTGACATGCGTTTGGCGATGGATTCCGGTGTGGATTCCGGTAGGGCGAGGAGATAGGCGAGTTTCGTCAATGCTCCCTCGGTGGTCATGTCGAGGCCAGCTACGACACCTGCCCGAGAGAGACTCATGCCTGTGGCATAGACTGGACTAACGCTGCCCGTGAGGCCTAGAACCATATCAGCCATATATACTTTTTTTTTTTCGATATGCCAAGCCACTGGGCAAAAACTTACATTGCGTGACATTCACGATAACAATCCCCCGCTTGATGGCGCTGGCCAAGACATTGATCATGGCATTGTCCTGGCCAGATGGCGCATTGCCTGCGCCAAAAGTCTCGAGAATCAGCCCGCGCAAGCCATCCAGCTTCAGCACCGCATCCACCATCTCCGGCTTGATACCAGGGAAAATACGCAGACAAGCAACATGGGTTGTATCCAAATTCGTCTGAATGCTAAACGGCTCCAGGCTCGTAGGTCGATGCACCATATCCCAATTAACATTAGTCCGCATGGAATTCGTAACGGCCAACGGTGCACAGTTCGGCGCATCGAATGCGGCAAAATCACTCGCTGCAACTTTTGTCGTCCGGTTCCCCCGGAACAACCGATTATTAAAATACAAACACACCTCTGGAATCATAAAAAGTCCCGCAACAACCAACGACCCGAGCAGATTATCCGTAGCATCATTCTGGAGCTCAAGCATCGGCGCCTGCGACCCAGTAAGAACAACAGGCTTCCCGAGATTCTGAAGCATAAAGCTGAGCGCCGAGCACGTATACGCCAGACTATCCGTCCCATGCAGGATAACGAACCCGTCGAAGAGCGTGTAATTCCGCTCGATCGCCTGTGCGATCTGAGTCCAGCCCCTTGCGTCAATCGAGCTGCTGTCGAGCAGTTCCTCGAATTCAAAAACCGTGTAGCGCACTTGCCGCCCGTAGGCTGTCATCGGTGTGCGTAGGCTTGGGTTTTCTTGGATTTCGCGTGCGGCGTTGGCAACGACATCCATTGTTGCGCTGGCGGAGCCGTCGTTGAAGGTTGGCACTGGCGCCATGCATTTTTCTTGGAATCCCCGCGCTGGGATGAAGCCGGATGGTGAGGGTTGCATGCAGATTGTGCCGCCGGTCATGATGATTAGCACGCGTGACTCTTGCGTTGCTTCTTCGGCTTTGGCTGCGTCCAGCTCTGGGGTTTCCATTTTGATGGTTCCTGTGAGATCGAGGTTTGTGCCGGTAGATACCATGGTAAGGTGGTGATTTCCGATTGTGACTTGTAGCGTTTGACCCGTGACTTGTGATTACGGTGGTAATTTCAATCGATAAATCAAAGATCGATTGATATCGAATCAACGACCTGATTCAATTCATTTACAGTCTCGGGTGAGCCACGATAACAATATAGGATGTTAGGGAGTTGAAGAATGTGAAAATTTCCCCTCTGGAAACCTTCAAATAAACCCGTTAAACGTTAAAAACAACCGAAGCCCAAGTACATCGTAGATCGTCAATGATTGACTCTTTTGACCGAAGAAGTGGAAGGACTCCAACTCGACCCCGATCCAATTACGTACAGCCACTCTCATTGGTCAATGCCAATTTAAGACTATCTTCGACTCCACTATAGGCGATCTCGGAGTATTGGCGGACTCCGGTGATTTGATATTTCGATATTTCGATTATTCTGTTTAGTACGATTTCGATATTATTAGCGTGTCCGAGGTGGCAGGGATGTCTCAAATCACGTGGGGTTCGACATTAGGGCACAAATGTCGCAATTTCCCACGCGAAGAAGCAGCATCTATTTTGTCACCATGAGTCTCAACGTGGATATGCCGCAGCATAAAATAGAAAACATGTCATCTCATACTTCTTCTAAAATTGTCATTGGTTGTCGGAAATCGGAGCTTGCACTCACCCAAACTCGGTCTATTATATCCGCACTGAACCAGACACTCGACCCCTCCCCGACATTTGAAATCGCCACAAGCAGTGTCGTTGGCGATGCAGATAAGCAAACGCCCTTTATACTCCTCTCCAAGCAAACGGGCGGATCGGATATTGGCAAAAGCCTCTGGACAAATGGGCTTGAAACGGACTTGCTTGCTGGCAAAGTCCAATTTCTCATTCATTGTTTAAAAGACATGCCCACAACGCTGCCGCCGAAATGTCTTCTTGCAGCTATCCCTGAGCGCGAGGACTGTTCTGATGCAGTCGTAATGAAGTCCGACTCGGGTTTTAAATCCATCGACCAATTACCACCTGGCTCTGTAGTTGGAACGAGCTCTTCAAGGAGAAGAGCTCTCGTTCGGAGGAACTGGCCTCATTTGGAGGTGGTAGAATGTCGCGGAAATTTGTAAGTATTGACTGATTCTGCGTTTTTTTACTAGTCGCCGGGTTCATTGGCATAAACTTGATCTAACAAGTACCAGGGATACTCGCCTTGCTAAACTTGACGCACCCGCTTCGCCGTTTTCATGCATTCTCTTAGCAACCGCGGGATTATTGCGCCTAGGACTCGGCCATCGGATAACGCAACGACTGGAACCTACCATCTTCCCTTATGCAGTTGGACAAGGCGCACTCGGTATCGAGGTTAGCACAGACATAGACCGTCAAGGCATCGTGCAGCTTGTTCAACATGTCGACCATAAGCCATCGAGATGGCGCGGAATGGCAGAGAGGGCGATGCTTCGAAGTCTTCAAGGAGGATGTTCGTCCTCAGTTGGTGTTTGGTCTTCTTTTGAGCCAGACACACAACAACAAGGCTCTGGTAGCGGCACCCTTCGCTTGCGAGCTACGGTTATCCACATAGAAGGATTGTCGGAGCTCTCTTCTGAGGATGTGGGTACTGTCCAGTGCGATGAGGAGGCAGAGCAACTTGGTGTCTCAGTCGCGAATATGCTGCTTGAGAAGGGGGTGCGGGATCTATTGCCAGAACACTTATAAAGAGGTCATTCGGATATACAAAAGTACAACCGGTGTTGAAGCCCATTTGACATTACAAGAGAATAAGCTGCTCGCCCATAGGTAAACTCATAGATACCTGCAAGGTTGTCTTTGAACTCTAAGCTCTTCTTGTGCATGGGACCCAATGTATTTTTCATCCCCTTATAAGCTTGCCCCTTTATACTCAAAATAGCGAAACTTCACTTTGTGAAGATTATCTAGGGCGTCCACTTATCTTTTATCATTTCATAATTTCCGGGCAAAACACTCGTTGACGGGTTTGGAGGCTCAAGTTTGATCGCCCCTCATCTGGTAGAGCTAGGCATTTTGATGAATGAAACTTATCAGCCAGTAGGAAGGCCTTATCTGTTATATATGCCAAGGTCTGCATAATTTTGATCCAATTACCTTCCCCCAAGCAGTCTGTGGAGAAATAGTGCCCCTGGGAATTGGCTAGGAGCGAGCGAGCCGTACTCCGTACTCCGTACCCTAGCCAAGATAAACTAGCGTGAACGATGGCTGAAATTCCAGCTCACTTTCTTTGTTGTACTTCTATGGAGTAAGGCCACCCTGACTTTTCCTATAATGAGATCTCTTTTCGATCCTTCACCTCACATAGAATTCGTTAGCTCTAAAGCCGTCACTTTCGGCATGGACCTATCGCAATGGTTTCAAAATGGGGTGTCTCAATCATATTAATCATTCTCAACTACATGCTGTATCGCGTTCTACAAAGCTGGCGGCGATATGTTGTGAGTCTCTTTCTTTAGTGTCCAGTTCTTGTGATGAACAGGTCAGCACGACAAAGCATTCGGTGATGAGCATGACTGCTTGCGGATGGAGACGTGGATTCCTTATAAATGGCCATTAGCGCTTGATATTCTCAAACGGCAATATGATGCGTTACCAGATCAACGACTACTATTATTTCAATCCCAATACTTTGACAGAATCGGGTCTAACATGACATTTAAACTGTTTGGAAACCAAGGGTATCTCACCGCAGACCCGAAGAACGTGGAATCCATACTCTCAACAAATTTTGAAGGTATTTACCCAGTTCTCATATTTGCAAGGGCTTTGCTTACACTCCAAAGATTGGGGCCTCGCATCCCGGCGACCTGGTCTTATGGCTATGCTAGGCGAAGGTATTTTCACTCAAGATGGTCATCCATGGAGGCATTCGAGAGCGTTGCTCCGCCGCCAATTCGTACGAATTTACCAGCAAGATTCCAAGATTTTCGACGAACACGTGGAAGAGTTGATTTACAAGCTCCGCTCTGCAAATGGCGTGGTAGATCTGCAACCCCATCTTTTCCGCTTTACTCTAGCTACGACAACAGCGCTTATCTTCGGAGAATCCATCTTTGCCTTGCCAGGAGCAGAGACGGATACTTTTGAGAAAGCTTTTGACTATGCCAGCTACATCAGTGCGATCAGACTGCGTCTTGCTGATTTAGAATGGATATGGAAGCCTACCAAATTTAGGGCGGCTTGTGATACCATCAAAGAATATGCGTCTCACTTCGTGCGACTTGCCCTCGAGGACATGGAGAAAAATGGCGAGGAAGCAGCATCTGAGAAGCACGCGTTTATTCTCGAGCTTTACAAGGAGATGCAGGACCCCGTTCTTGTGAGAGATCAATTGGTCCATGTACTTATTGCCGGAAGGGACACGACGGCATGTCTAATGTCATGGGTATTCTTTCTTCTCGTGCGACACCCTGAAACTCTCGCAAAACTTCGCAACGAGATTCAACACATCACCGGAGGATCGCATGAATTGAGCCGGGCAAAAATCAGCAAGATGCAGTATCTCCGATGTGTGATCAATGAAGGTGAGCTCACCAGCAACCCAGTCTCCCATTGATATATGCTAACTGTGACTTTGCATCTAGCGCAACGACTATATCCACAACTTCCAGTGAACGTCCGCGTGGCCACTAAAACGACATTTCTTCCCAGCGGAGGAGGGCCCGATCGCAGATCCCCGGTACTAATACCTGAAGGCACAGGCGTCGGTTATTCAGTCTATCACATGCAAAGACTGAAGAGCTTTTACGGTGAAGATGCAAATAGTTTCCGTCCTGAAAGGTGGCTAGGTCCAGAGCTAGATAGTATTGGTTGAGGATTCATGCCTTTCCACGGAGGGCCAAGGATATGTCTAGGCAGTAAGTGATTCGGGGTATAAGAGTGGTCCGTATAGAACTTACGCTAACTGAATTGGCAGAGGAATTTGCACTGACAGAAGCTTCGTGTGCAATCGTACGAATTATTCAAACGTTCCCCGAGATCAGATTACCGCCTGAAACACCTAGTGTTCCGCCTGGTGAGGAGAAACAAGCTTTGACAATTGTGGTTATAAGTGCAGATGGATGTAAGGTTTTGCTGGACTGACATGATGATGTGTAGTTTGAACATTATTGGGATGTGGAAGTTGAGATTTGTATTAGCAATCATAGTCACTCGGTATTTGGAAGAATGAAGACTAATAGCGAGCATGATTAGGTTATACGTAAGAAAGTCTTGTGCACAGTTTACGCATTTTATTGTATTCGTATATATCTCAAATGACGTCTGAAAAGAATATCTGAAAAGAACATAACGTCCCAAATATACCTACGTCGTCGAGAACAGAGGCCACATAAGCGACCGACTATTCTTGTACATATAACCCGAGATGATCACTCGCTACTCTCTTCCCGACCATCCTGGATTGAACTGCGACAAATCCTCCTCCAAAAGCCCCATCATATACTGATTCCCCCAGAACCAATTCCCCAATTGCGCAGCAGTCCCCGAACCCTGTCCCTGCACTTGAGATGCATCAGGCGGCGCCGAGAACCCACCCACATGCTGCTGCGGCAATTCCGCCGCATTAACATGGATAGCAGGATTATCTGCCTGGAAATATCCCTGCGAGTTTCCCATCTGGAAATTATCGCTGTTCGTAGTGTTCATATAGTTTGTAGGCGCTAGTCCTAGGGCACTGAGATAAACATCGAATTCCTGGCCGACCTGGGCGAGATCTTGGTCTTGGTCTGCGGCTGTCTGGGTCCGGGTGTTGGCCTCGAAGTAGAGTCGAGCAACGGTGCCGAGCACTGAACACAGAGTGTGCAGTCTATCGACAGATTGGGAGAACGCGCTTAGCGGCTGGAGGGAGGCGATAAACTCTTCGAGTAGGAAGAGGTCGTCGGCATTCGAGGTTGTTATTATGTTGCAGAATATTACAATAAAGGGGACGAAGGGGGATAGGAGGATGCCCCTATATTCATTTTGTGAGAATTTGATGGTCTAAGATTGGGCGGTCATTCCGTCAAAGACGACGGTGTCGTTGGGATCATTTCGGAATGCTTACCAGTGCATGTAGGATATTTTCAGCAGATCGTCTGTCTCATTAAGTGCTGCAACACACTGTCGGTGGATTTCCAGGGCTTGCCGGGCTGTATCGATGCATTCGGGTATGAATGTGGCGGCAGAGCCTGACTCTGTTGATGCTGGAATTGCTCGGTAGATCAAGGTCAGGATGGCCAGTCGACTGACTTTATCAGTTGCAAGATACATGAGGTCGATCTCGGATACTTTAAGATCGGACGACATGAATTCCTACATGTTCCATGTCAGCAACTCCTTCACTTGGTCATCTCCCTAGCAGTGGTGGGGAGGTATACCTCAAATGGCTCCATAACCTTCGACTGCATCTCAGCGGCTAATCTGCGTGCATGTGCGACTCTTTCATTTTGTGGCTTCTGCAGTGCCTCCGGGCTATACAGATACTGGTAAACCTCGCTTTGGATAATGGCAGACCTAGTCCACCATATGCAGACGGGCCCCCATGGGTGGGGGACATCTGGGTTTTCTTCGAGTATAGGTAGTCTGATATCGTAGGTCTGGATGGATGAGGCACGTCCTAGACGCAGGGACATCATATTCAAAATTGTGTAGACAGACCAAAATAGATGTTGCTTTTGGCGTTGGACTGATATGGGCTCGTGCTCCATTGAACTAAAGCGATGATATCCCAGTGTCTGGCACAGATTCATGGCCGTTGATGCTAGCGTCCAGCCAACCGATGGTTTGGAAATCTCGAGTGCATGTATAGCCTGTTTTTGTAAGTAAGAATTCTGGGTGGGTTATATCCGAAAAAAGGACAAAAGGAAATAGAGGACTAACTCCTATAGCTAATGCCATGATTGATTCATGGTTTGCGGGCATCAAAATATTCAAATTGGCAAGTGCTGTCTCCAGGTTTTCGCGACACATCTCAATGTAGTGCTGGTCTTCTTCTCGCATAGTAGCATCCTTCTGCATGGCGCCGTATTCATATAGAATACTGTATAGGCAAAAGTTGGTTACAACAAATGCAGCATCGGAGTAATCGTCTACGCAGAAGTAAACTTCACGGCATTTTTCAGTGAAATATTTTACACTGAGGAAGGGGACGTAGCCACCAAAGCAGGCCGGTGGTGTTTCTAAGTAGGTAAGAATAGGAAGCTGGGCATCTATTTAGAATGAACCGTACCTTGGATCTTTCTCAAGAGGTCTAGAACCAATGATAAAGGTGGCATCTCCAGGTCACGGATGTCACGTCTCACACCTAGCCTCGCATTTTTGGTGGGAAATTGACTCCCCTGCAAGTCCGCTTCTCGGCGCTGATTCTGGATGCCGACAAGCTGCTTCAGCGATGAGAGAGCCGCGTTGATCTTCGGACTGGACAAAACCTGCGGCGAGCCTTTGGACACAGCGGATTCAAGGAACGCGCTCGCGTAGGCTCCATGGGCAGTCAGAGATGAGCTACCCTCGAAGCCAGAGCTGGAATCGTGCTGCTCGAGGGTAGGATTCGCTAGATACAAAGGGCCCTTGGACTTTGCATGGTTCCGTGTGGTGGATGACGGCTGCGTAGGAGTCGACTTCTGAGGCGAAGGGGCGAAATGAGACTCGCGCGGGTTTGATGTTGTGAAGCCTTGGACTTGAGATGTATTTTTTGCTAGCTGTTGTAGAGTACTTTCAATGCTTGCCAAGCGTTCTTCGATCGAGTCGATCTTTTTCTCACTGTGATCAAGTCAATAGTGTCCTATGATAGGAGAATATGATCATACTATTGATTTGAGATCAAAACTCGGCGGCGGGGTTCCGATGGCTTCTGTCCTTCGCCGGTAGATCGGCATGCAATGCTGGAGCTTCGGCAATTGGAACACGGCGTGCGCTTATCGCATCGGATCTGTGACACCGTGAGATCGAGTCATGACATCGTGCCACTCGGAGGTGCAGCTGCGTACCTTGCGCAGACGGCATTGATCACACTGTATGCATAATTAATATTTGATTACTCAGTAGCCAATACTACATCTTTGCTTTTTTTAGGCTTGCGACTTTTTCGGTGGAGTACCTACCGCACGTCGGACCAGTGTGCTTGGCACCTCGCGTCCCTCATAATCGGATCCCTCGGCCTCCATGTATTTCAAGATATCGCGTGTAGTGTAACATGGAAATTGCTAAAATTAGGTACGAATGAACATTGAAGCCTCAAATCCCGAGCTCGGCCTCGGTCGGCTGCCGTGACTAGTGCCATGACGATCACGTGGTAGAATTTCCTAGTAAGATACATAAGACATTTTGAGAAGGGTTCTCACTCCTCCATTTCTTCTTCATATTTTCACTAATATATGACCCAATTTTCTACTTTTAATTGCCAAGGGAGGAGGGGGAAGAAAGAACAATTCAGTTCCCAGCATAAATACTAAAATATAGGTCAAAAACATGAATTAAATTAGAAAGTAATTAGCAGATCATTTGACCGCTATTTTATGGGTGGGTGAATCCTTCTAGGATAGACGGTTGTGCAACAAAATATTCACGACTGCAAAGCCTTGGTCACCACCTCATCTGCACTCTCATTCTCCACTCCCAACAGGGGGGAATCCGACGCCTCCCACGAAGGAGCCATGACACATCGGGCCTGTCCCTCATCGTACAGCTGCGCGACCACTAATTCCAACACCCAGCCGCCTATGCCCGCCTGGAACTTCTGCTGTCCGCTCTCGATCAGGGTCTGCGCTGAGGAGCGCTGCACCTGCCATTGTCGGCCCGTGACGCGCTGGAAAGCCTCCAGCAGCTCGGTTTGGTTGGTGATGATTGACAGAACCTTCACGAACCGGTTCGCCGTCTCGTCGGGGTGCTGCAGGACGCCGACGACCGACTGACCGATGCCTGCGAGGGTGGTGGCAGTGAATTTCTCCGTGCCAGAGTCGTAGATGATGGCCGAACACTGGGCGATATCGAAGCCCATCAGTGGGAATCGCTTCATTGCCTACACCAAACAGGAAAGAAAAGTGACGAGTCAGCACGACAAAAATTCCCCTCCTCTCATACACACAAAACGGAAAGAAAGAAATAGGCAAGGCTTACCCAATCAATCGGATTCCCCGAGGTAATACCAGTGAACGTAAAGTTAGGGTTCGCCTCGGCCTTCGCTCTAGCCAGTTCCCAACTGGTGCGACGATGAGCGTGAATAGTGCGGAATTCCGGCAGGTTGCGGAAATCGGGGCCCCAGCCGAAGTCGTCGACGATAAATCGCTTGACACCGGCGGCTTCGGCGGCCTCGATCATAGTGACCTGTGCACCAATGCCACTAGGGCCGACCACGCAGATGGCGGCATCCTGGCCTGTGAGGGCAGTGGTCAGGTTCTCGAGGGTGTAGCTGGTGCGGATGACGGGTAGACCGGCGGGGAATGTCGAGGAGGACTCGGTACGGGTGATGATGGTGATGTTAAAGCCAGCGCGTTGGAGGGCAGCGGTGATGGGAGTGCCAAAGTTGCCCGATGCCCATGCGGGGGTCAGTTTCAAGGGAGGAGGATTTTTTGATCACATAGGGGTAGTAAATATTGGACATACCCCGAAGATGGCAACCTTCTGGATAGTGGTGGTCATGTTTGTATTCTTAGTGGATATGTGTATTGATAGCGGGTGGTTTAGGGTTAAATTAATCCAATGTTGTATGAGAAAAACAACCGGGGAGAGACTGCGTTATAAGTGGTGTTGCAACCTGAGGCATGTAATTCTATGGATAGAACATGAAAGACCATTGGGATAACATTGGTAAGCCGATTCGAGTCATAACAAATTCCTTACGAGGCGCTGCTAAGATTGGGGCCGATATTGGGGATGTGAGGGGTGCGTGCACAGCTTCCAGCATTTAGTGCCGGCGTGGATCGTTCTAGGCAAATGGGGCTATTTTCTAGTATGATAATTAGTTTGGGCTAGGCAAAAACCAAAAACCAACACAAGCGTGGGGAGATTCGCTAATTTTGAATGTATCTGAATCAAACGGCGTACTTTTAGGCTCGGGACGAGTCCGAAATGGCCCCAGGTGGATCAAGTGGGTAGGAATTGGCTGGATTCTGGACGCTTAGTTTTCCCTTTGGCGTGTTATTTGCGATCCTACGCGTAATTTCTCTTCCGGTGAGGCTCTGGCGAGTATATCCGTCAATTATCTGTCACCCACCAGCCCTTGGACGCGATCATCGACTGCGTCGGTGTGAAGGAGCTTTACACGCACTGCGAGCCGTATCTTGCGTCTGGCAAACCGTTCATTAATTTAGGCGCGATGATGGCCAAGTCCACATTCTGCTTGTTGTTGTTAGTCTGGAATCAGCATATGGTGCCCCTGCGGCCGGTGGTGCTGGAAGGCGTGTCGAGGGGCTATCGGCTCTATAGTGCACGGCCGAATCGGGAGACACTGGGGAGGGTGATGCGGTTGGTAGAGAGCGAGGAATTGAGGATGGTATGTATTTCTTTTCTTTCTTTTTGCACTTGGTGGTGGGTTGTTTGGGTTGGGTTGTGACTAACTGGGTTTTTGATTAGGCTTATGAGGGGACGGAGAGTAAGAGGGCTAAGGGTGGAAGGTTATTGTTCAGGTACAGGAGGAGTGAGTTGGTTATATTGCGCTGTGGTAGCGAGTGTGGTTGGGATATCTGCATATAATTCTTGGACGTATCATTGGGAGTTGTATGCTGCGAGTGGATAGAGGGGGTGAAGACTACGTGTCTCTTGTAGGCACAGAGAAGCAATGCCGTTCAGGCAGATCATTGATGGAAGCGTAACCAAACGCCCACACAGTCAGACTACAGGGGCAAGAACTAGGATTGAATCGGTTTCAAGAGATCACAGCCGAGTCCAGCGCCGAGTACATCCACGCATGGGTATAGCTCGGATGCACCCGTATTCCATGCATACAATATTCACAGTACGAAGCCTGTCCCCAGATCTGCTATGCACCCGAAGTATCCACTTAACTGGGATGTTGACAAGCTCTCGCCCCCTGATAACAATGTTAGTTACTTTTTCATTGATCCTCTCGCTTTCATCGAATGGTATATGGATAACCCCTTGACTAAAACCCCACCGCCAGCCTCGTGGCATGCTCAGAATTTTTTGATGACACTTTTTTGCATGCGTTGATTGGTTCTGTGAAAGTATTTGATTTGAATGTTGAGTTCGCTCTTGGCGATCGACTTCGTAATCATCCATCTGTAGACGATTATTGGCTACGAGATACGCCAAACGTTTGGACTCATCTAGATTTCTATTGGGTGCTTCTTGTCACACTGCATTAGCAAGGCGGCTATTCGAAGCACCCTAGTGGGAGGAGAACCAGAACGATGGTCAGTGATTGGGATATAAAGGCCTCCCCGAATTCTAGTCCACCTACCGAAAAAATAATTTTCTCGTGAATTGCGAGGCATACGACACCACTGTACCGAGTAGAATTTGTTTTCCTCCCTTTAGGGTACCCTGAAATACCGTCCGATAAAGACCGACTATATGTTGCCCTCTACGCGCGCGGAGGAGCCCCTACCGTACCAGGGAAGGAAGATACGTGTGTTCAGGATGCCCAATTTCTATCCATATAAATTGCTTGGATGATTTTGATCCAGTTACCACTGGGCGTTGATTATTGGCCTGAAGATCGAGATACAAGGCAAAATGGGTGTTCGGTACCACGCGAAGGAGAAACCAAAAGTGGGAGGGGGTAGCGAATGGATTTTTGAGGAGCGTGAATACCCACTCACTGCTACAAACATGTTGCTTGTTCGAGTTATAATTAGTAAGGTGGGGGATAGAAATCGTCTTCCACAAATCCTACGTACAATACCCATAAGTTAAACCCAAGTGGGATGGAACTGCGTTGCTTGGATACAGCTTTGGAGACGCTTCAAACGGATTATACAGCTTTGTGTACAAGTTTTATTGACTGGAAAACGGTCCGCAATGAGTCGGTAAGTTACTGTCAAAGGAAGAAAGACCAGCATCGCTTCGATAGGCAAGGGAATTCCGATATAACCAAAGCCTCGACATATGACTTAGTCGAGTGCAAGGAGATCACAATATAAAGCGTAAGCGGGGTATTGATTTTTAGATATCTCCAAAGTATTTTTGACGAGTTTGTTCCATCTTTAGTCCCTCTGGTATAGGCGTGAGATATTTGTCGATTTCATTGATCCAGAAAGAATTCTGGGGGTTAACTTGGCAAGCCGTAGTATATTCCCAATATAACGGGTACCAACCGGCAGTTTCCCAGTCAATTATACCAACAATATCATCCCCACAGACAAGGATATTCAAGCTGCTGAGGTCGCCATGAGTGAACACGATAGGCCAACCACGATCGTGTTGTCTAATCAAATCCTGAATTTCGCAGTCAAGTCCCGGGTCGAAATCCATACCACCTCGTAAGTATCGATGGAAGCTTTGGACATTGGAAAAGGGCCCAAAACGTAGAGAAGTACCCGGCAAGCGGCAATCGAACAGAGGTCCCCCACTAACAGAAGAGACCCCTATTCCTTCTGAAGGCCGGAGTTCTCGCATCTCTTGAACCATATTCTTCAGCTGCGTGAGAAGCTTTGTCTTTGATTCTTCACTTCGATTGACCCAGCCGACGCCAATCATATCTCCTTTGATCCTTTCCATTACTATATAAGAACAATCTCCATATGTGAAAGCGCAAAGGATCTTCGGGACTGGGAGGGACGTATTCTGTGAGATGAAACGCATGGTCGCTGCCTCCGATAGGTCTATATGTTGCCCTTACTTGACACAAAGTCGATCTGTCAACACAAGAACAGTTCCTTTGAGAGGTCGGATCCTTCTAAGGACCGCAATCGCCGAGAGCGTCAAATGCCGATTGAAAGTGCTGTCATTGATCGGACTCGAGGACTGAACATCGCAGTTCTGCGCGTAAGACATCGTTGAGATCTGTATTTTTAAACAGGATATAACATTGACAAAGGGGTCCGTATATGGACGGCCTCGACTGAGGCCGATGACGATGAACTTGTCTCGCTGAGAACATCGTCGAAGTACTTGAAAAACTCATTGCACGTGACGCCTAGTCTAGCCTCACATAAGCCACGCTCCTCTTGTGGCTAAGCTACCGGGTAATGGTTGAAGCTCATCTTGGTATAGTTCACTTCCCCTAAGGTATATACCTAACTGCGTCTGTTGTGCCATTAAGATGTGGGACAGGACTAATAAATGGGCCCGAACCCCGGGCCCAAAGCCGAACCAGCAGTGGGCTGTGGGCCTAACTTCGAAGCCCAACCCAACCCACAGCCCATTCGTGGGGCCCATAAGGCCCCCATTAAAGCCCATTAAGGGGGGTTTACCTAGCATCTTGTAATCACTGTATTCTAACCTTCTACTTATGTATTATATAGAGGTGAAATTTTGGGAACTTATAATTTTCATAGCTATGTTTCAAATTTAAATAAAATCCGATCAGGAGAGGTCGAGATACTACGAAAAAGTGTAATCTTAATATTTTAACCCTGGATATATATCTAGGATCTAGACGGGAGTACTACTACTTTCTGAGTGAACTTCTGTAATTTATAAATTATCGAAATAACGCGTTTTCTCGCGTTTTTAAACGTGATATAGAGAGAAAACTAGTAATTGATTCTAAATAATATAAACCAATAAAATATTACCTTTAGAATAAGGGTTGGAAACGGGGGTAAAACGAAGGGTAATTTTAAAAATCCCTAAACGGGGGTTCAACTGCATATTTGTACTGTTTGGGGCCCATTGGGCCCCCATTAAAGCCCAGTGGACTTTCACCCCGGGCCCAAAGCCTATCGGTGGGCCCGACGGTAGGGCCCAAAGCCCAGCCCATTTGCGGGCTGGATTGGGCTGGGCTATGGGCTTTATGGACTTTGCGGAGCTCTAGACAGGACAACACCATTCTGCGGATAAGTGGGGAGTATCTGGTAACGTTGATCGCGATGAAATCGGGATACTTGCACTGGTACAATACCATGGGGGGACCAGCCTGTGTGTCTAAATCCTATCCGTCTATCACATCCAAATTCATCGACAAAGACTAGTTGGTTGGTATGATTTGAATTCAGAAATACCATGGATATATTCGTCTCGTAGATCGGGATTCTGCTCTTCTGCTTTAGAAACACTGCCACCTCGTCTAGGTACAAGCCAGACTTCTCAAGAAGATGTTCACATAGAGCTTCTAGCATGATTGGTGTGATTAGTCTTGCTCTCCTAGCTTGTGTTAGCGGTGCCCCAGGGGAGCCAAAAACCCGGAGGTTGGAACGGATATATTTGACTGCCTGCTTACTGCACTCAGCAGCTTCAGCGGTTTTCGAAATGGACATACCGCAACTAGTCATATCACAGATAAAGTAAATATTTGATGGCGATAGGTGTGGTGCTATCACTGTACTATTCCTTGTACTAGTATACCCTGCCATGCCAACCCGGCCCAGAAGGGACGCTAATGCATATATATGTACGGACTTGCTTTTTTGCTACTCTGTAGTAATACCAATACCTACCTAGGTACGGAGTACTAACCTTGGAACCTTCCAAGGTTGGAACTGACCTTTGATCATTACTAATCGCTTGTTAGTGTGCAGCTCATCTATATGTAGTCTTGTTTGTATTTAATTCAAGGTATATGTTTGAAATAGTACCATATTTATTACTCGTGGCGTGCAGCATCCCTTCTCGGCTGGGCTGGCATGGCAGATCTGCACCAAATATGAGCAATCCTATGTGAAAACTTCATTTAATATAACCAGTCATGAACGAAACCTCGGAAAAGTGCCTGTTATATTACTCCAATGAGCACAGCGCGTCCAGCACACATGAACCAAAAGTGTATATATAATCTATCTTGCCAATTGGTGGGATATAAACGCAAAAATAACATCAGTGTACAGTAGAGAGGGAAAGCAGATCTATTTCTTGGGAGGCGCAGGGGGCGACCATGCGCCATCGCTCAACCAGACTCCTGTCGGTCCGTAAGTGCCAGCCTCGGAGCCTCTCAAAAATGCGAATCGGAAAAATAGATCTTCGGGCTCATCATCAGGATCACTATCAGCCAAAAGAACCGAAACAGGGTCAATAGTGTCGAAATCACGATTGATCAGACGAGGATGTGTTTGCAGCTCGAGGCCATCATGCCCATGGCGGTGCCAGGTAAATTCTCCGCTCTTATCTTCATCGAGATAGCCGCGCCAGCGCTCTACGTCGTTGAGAAGAACCGAGATACCGTCCACCGCTAGATCAGTCATACGCTCGTGTTCCCACAGAGAAAATGTGATATTACCGTTGCCACGATAAGTGTGGTGCGAACCAGAATCTGGAAGGGAAATATTCACAGATGCGGCCGTGATATTGGGATAGGTAGCACCCCACCAGCCATGGATTCCATCTCCAAGCGGTGCTTGTTCCCCTAGAGCTGCCGGAGTCTCAATAATCGAGGCGAAGCCCCACCGCGCAACTCCGTTGATAAAAAGACCCAGCAGCAAACCTTGGTAGATGAGGGAGGGCCGAGTAGGAAAGGCGGTTCCTGGCATGAGGAGAATTGCAAGGATATAATGATGAATTCGAAGGCGAAGACCAGGGAGGGGAAGCAAAATCAAGATGATGAGCCCCATGGTACAGTATATCTTCAAATACCGTGGGAGCAGACCTCCCTGGCGAATTTGCCACGCTTGGCTCAGAATAATCGAAATCACAATGGGGATGACAAAAGCCAATGCCAACTTCGCCCCAGGTTGTTTCTGAATGTCCATTGGGGTCAGACGCTGCAAAGGAATCAACCGCGCAAAGGTGTAGTTGTTTAGAGATCCAATGAAAAGCGGCGGTAGGAAAAGGAACATCTTTGAAAGCTGGTAGATAGGCGAGGTGAGTGGCCGTAAAAGCGGCGCTGCACAGAACTTGTAAAGCACGTAAACGACAAATGATGCTGGGAGCAGCCGTGATAGAAGACTAGAGACAAGGTCGGTCAAGAAAGGATACGAGGGTGGGTCTCCAACAAGCCCCGTATGGCAGAACACAATGAAGAATGTACTGAAAAACAGCACAGGCGGCGATGTACAGAAGAGCCATAGGACGCCAACGGCAGCAGCGGTGATTCCAAGGAGCGTCCAGCGTGGATCTGGCGGGCAGCTCCTTTGCGGCGAGGATAGCTGGAGAAAGCTGAAAGACTTCGGGAAGGTCGATGGGAACCCAACAGAGAGAATTCCGTGTTGCTTGACCGATGGGAAGGAGTGTGCTGCACCTTCGAGCTTGACAACACCGCAGCCGCCATCGTTCGAGATTGCACCGACATGAATTGCTGCCTGACAAATGAAGCTATCCGCACGATAAAGCGCCGGGTCGGAGGAATCCAGCTTAGACCCTCCAATTACTAGACCTTGGTAGTTGTATGTATGATTTCCCACAACGTGAGGCTCCAGTAATTTGGTATCACGGCAATTCGCAGGACACCGGAAGGGAATAGTCGAAGAAGAAAATGGACGGCAGTCATTTCCGTTAATACCACACCCATTATCGAACTCCCTAAAGAAGTCACGAAAGTGTTAGCGGCAACTAGATGGGGTTCCACTTCGGCACGTACCAGAAGTTTGTGGCGCATGACAGCGTCTGAGGCCGACCGTAGCCTTCGATATAACCGGAAGAACGTGAGTGTAATAAAACCAAAAACCAAGGCAAGAACCAAGATATATAGAGCAGTACTAAAAGAACAGTCTTAAATTTGCGCTTGGGAAAGAAATGGTCGAGATATTGGACTGGAAGCTCTTGGACTCGCGGAAATAGCGGCTTCAACAGAAGCATATGGGGCGGATCGGGACCCTTCACCCAATTAGCGGTGGCGCGACCGACCTTTCGGAGCGGCAGCGGAACCCATCCCCAGCGAAATGACTTGGATGACTCCCGTAGCCAGACGGGAAGTGCGCTGCCTGCCTCGACGTCAGGCGGCGGCAGGTCTTCGGAAGCTTCGGGATCGTGAAGACGCTCGTCATCGTCAAGCAGTGGGGGAACGTATAGCCTGGTGGGCTCCTCTCGGCCCTCTCCAAACATGGCGAAGGTTTGGCTCGATGGGAGAGTGTGGTGTAGTTGGAAGAACTAAAACGAACGTAACGAACGATGGGGTATAAGGTATGACGGCAGTCGGTGGCTGATGGGCGCTAGTGTTGCGATTGGCAGTGGAGATCTCCGTTGATTGGTATGTAAGGCGGAAGATCACCAGGGACGCGACCCTGAAGCGAATAGAGAGAGTTAAACCGTGCTAGATCTAGAACATGAATAGATAGTTTAAATAAATACAAAATAGAAAAACTTTGAAGTATGGGAAGAAAGATCGAGATACGAGATGAGATCTGGGGAAGAGAGAGCGAAAGCGGATCAGGCCGACCTGGAGGCAAGGCAGCCAGGCACCCAATCAGGTGGATGACACGCGTGACGGTGTCCACATGTGGCAACACGATCTTTCCGTCGACCATACTATGTCTTGGATGATCAATTCGGAGAAATTTACAAAGATTGGATTAATGCAGGGAAAATACTCGGGTGATCTGAGCTTCTCAAACTATATCGTTTCACCCGTGTTTGTCCTACACTGTGTGACAATAAGGCCAGGGATTACAGTTCTAATATCGAATGGGAATGGAAAAGACATGATTGGTGGCCTTTCGAGGGCCTTTCTAAGAAATTCAAGACCCCGGTTCTATCTGAGACGACACATCTTGCGCAATTATATCAATACCCATCCCCTAGACTCTTGGGCCCTGATCGTAGTATTGAGTTCATCGTAGCTATCCTGATCTTGCCGTTCAATGTTGCCAAAATGACCGGAAGCCTTTTCCTAATCTACGGGTGAAGGGCACCACCATCAGCACCCACAGAAACACAAGCCAACTAAATGTACATAAAAGCTTGCTTGCTCGCATGGTCCTACTGCCAAGTTAGATACAGGTGAGACTTCTTGGTCGAATTGATTCCAATTGCCTTGAGAAGGTCTCTCGGGGCTGTATTGAGAACGCGAGACAAGACTTGAACATGAGATCAAAGCAAATATCAAAAATGCCATTATGTCTAGTGTCTGAAACACCTTAATTGAGTGCCAACAGCAGTTTGTTTATTATAATTGCATAAAATTCTGCCTAACTCATCCATATGTATGATATGACCCGTGGACGCCAACAGGCCCTTTCCAAGAAAATAGACTCTCTGAAGTCGGACTATATAGCGTTTATGGCAGCCAAGCAAATACAACGCGTCCAGTCTCCTCGCTTATGGTCTCCTCTCGTATAGAACAGCCACCCATTCCTTCGGATATTGACTTCATGAAACTGTTGACCGGTTCTCGTCGGTAGTCGCACGGGAGGAGGTGACTGCTCGATGCTCCATGAATGTAAAGCGGCAATTGGGCCAGCCATCGTTACTGTCTTCGTCTTCTGAATTAGCTCGTGTACATGCGGTTCCAGTAAGAGTCCATTGTAGCGGTAGAGCATGGGACCAGCTGAGTGATTGGCTTGCAAATGATGACCGCCACAGGCATTTCCAGTGCGAATGAAGGCATCTTGCTCGCAGTCAAACATGTTGATATTATTTTGGGGGGCCCTGTCACACTGGTTAATGTTAATATCGGGACGAGAATGAGCCAAAGTAACAAACGTGAACCCAAAACATTGTATCCCCTTTGGCTTCAAGGAAATTAGTCAAGCTCAAGTTCATTGATGTTTCTTTTCAGGTTTGCAGAGACAGGCCGTGATTGATACTCCTCCACTAGTTCTGTGCTTTGATACATAGATAAGGCGACCAGGGTGTACATCTTTTCAGTGTGGCTTGAGGGCTATGCCAGGACCGGGTGTATCTTCGACTCTACTAGTAGTAGTAGCTCGATCTGCCATACAGAAAGTCTTCGAATGCCTGAACATGTACTCTCTATAGGTTCCTTTGCTCTATATAACCTTCAAGACTAGAGCCTTGAGCGTGTCCACTATATGTAAGATTCCCATCGTTGGGACCTGAATCTGATATCCAAGACCCAGCAAGCCACATGTAGCCATTTGAGTCTCGCCTTCCCAAATTCGCACCTTCCTCAACTTTCAATATCACATGTGACAATGTGAGAATGAAAAATGAAAAATAGGTACATAGGGTCCTGTCGTCTCCCATTGTTCCTTCCCAAGAAGGCAGGTCACCTTCCTAAACAGGAAGTCTCTTGATTTCTTCATTTCTTCCTATAAATACCCCCCCTCCTCCCTTTTCTTCCTGAATTTTTCATTTCTTCTTCAGCCCCCCATCCTCCTCATTATCCAATTCATCAATCACCCCTCTTCCATCAGGGATTTCATCAATCCCAAGTACATTCCATCATTAGCTTGGGTCTTATGACATCCTCTATTATTTTTACATTCATCCACTGTGTTGACACACCATAATACTAATGTGTCACATAGATCTCTTCCATTATCGCTCGGTCTATGATCTTGACTCCCACTGGTTAGTCTACCTTTCACTACCTGCCACCACACTGGGCTAACCAACACTTGACTCACAGCCTTGAGGGCACATCAACTTAACTGATCTGACTTGACATGTTTTATTTCTACTGCAAACTGTGAGTATCTTGTGCCAACATCCTTTGCCCTTGTCCTGCCTGTTACCTCCATCCATCATCCATCCATCATCCATCCATCATCCATCCATCAACTTCACTAACTGTCCATTAGATCAAGCAACCATCCACTCCAAGCAACCATCCACTTCAAGCATCCAACCAACAATTTCAAGCAACAAAGCATACAACCACTTCAAGCATACAACCAACAATTTCAAGCAACCAAGCAACCATCCATTTCAAGCATCCATCAATCCACTTCAAGCACACAACCACTTCAAACATCCATCCATCCACTTCAAGCAACCCACCACTTCAAATATCCAACTTCAAGCATATACGATGCTTTGACTTTCATGAGGAGGAATTAAAAGAGGCGGTCTTCAATCTCGAACATTCAAATCGGTTCAAGCCACGTCCAACCACCAACCTCTGCAATTTCAACTTTCGGTCCCATCCAATTCCCACCTTGAGACCACACCACCTCCTGACAAAACTGTCCAAACAAACAATCTACACTCCCTGTCAAGGCACACATACACACAAACCAAACACTTGTCACTTTTGTCAGCGTCACCGAACATCATCGACTATTCGGCATCGACTGTTGAGCAGTCATTCCCCACTGGACTGGGATGACACACTGACGAACGGACACAAAATCATTGAGCTTATCTAACCAAGCCAACCATGCCCACAATTCTCCTTCTTTCATGGAGACTGTCATTGTATGCAAGCCTACTACATCATATTTGTCATGAGTGTGTTAAGTCTCCAGAAGAAATTTCCTCCTAAATATCGAATAAGAAACTAATATTTCTCAGCTCAAGACACAAATCAAATCAACAGAAAATACAAAGTACATCTTGGTACACAATACTCTCTACCACAGGGGAACCTTGCAGTCCTCGCGGGACAGCCACAAAAAAGAAAGAAAAGAGTCCCTGCAACTTTACTCGACAAGCACACTCCAGCACAGCCACGCAAACAGAGAAAAGACATATGTTCCAGCACCACAGGCACACCCGTTGAGAGATCTTTGAACGGTCATGGAACCATTGAATGGAAAGATATCACATTTGGTCCATTGTGGAATGGACCCCACTGCACCTATGAGTGAGAGACTTGGGGATGCGCGGAAAATATTGGATGATGAGGATGGATGGATATTGCAATGTATGGAGGATTGGCTTGGCGCTTCGAAAGATGAAGGATTGGGGCACAATATATCGACTTTCGGCATCAAAATCCGGCATGTGCACTCTATCAACACTTGTTGGCCCTGCTGAGTCTTCAAATATCAGTTCTCATCAACTTGACCTTCATGGAGATCATCAAAATCCATGCGTCGGCACTTGCCCTTCCACTGTTTGAAAGGATTTGTTATTGTTTCTACTGCAATGGGTTTCCAGTTTCAAGTATTTAGATATTTTACCTGTACCGCAGAGTCCAGTTAAAAATCAAGGACAGTCCACAAGTATCATCTCGAGTCTTCTAATTTTCATTGTAAATTATAAAAAGTCAGACTAAGGTACAGAGGCCTACCTAGAGCAACTCATGGATATAATGTTCTGTTCTGTTCTCTATACACAATATTCCACCTTCTGCATTCAAGTTAGTCCGAGACACGCGCGTTCAGTACTCTTAGGTTTCAAACTCCTCCAGCTTCCCAGGTGAAGGTATCTATCGATTCCCATACTTGGCCACTTTTCATCTCCTCTCCGTGTTGACAACAACCTTTCATCTCGAAGGCACTGGCTCTTCTTGTCTTGTGTTGATCTAACAACCGTTACCTCTACAACATACGTTATGTGGCTTCCCAAAGCAACTCTCCTTTTTCTCATTTTTATTCTTTTCAGACCTCCACTCTATGAGCCCGGTCACCAAAACCTCCCGAAACACTCCACACCCACCCCGCGAAGCCATCCTCGGGCATTCTCAACCCTTGCACGGGCTATGCCACATACACTGAGCTTCTCTGCTACCTCCGCCTCCTTATTTTGTGGACCACCACACAGCGAATACCACAGTTTTCTCAAATCCTCTATTTCGTGGGGGGACTTCTCTTCCAGCATTGACAAATCCCAAGTCCGAAGTTTCTTAGAACGAGTTCAGGTCTTCTTGGAGCAACTTGAGAGCTTTTGCTGACCAGATGTGAACGGATCTCCCGAGGTCCCGAACTTTTGAGCCAAGTTACAACGCTCAGTGTGCATTCAAGTCCCAAAGGACTGTGAAAATCCTGATGCAACCGACTAGGAAAAAAAAATCATTCTGTTCTGAAGCTCAACTTGAATCACACCAGAAAAAAGCAAAGTCAATCCTGTTATTTGAATATTTACATAAGTTACTTTCCATTATGAAAACTATAGTCAAAATTCGTAGTCTACATCAAAATAGGTGCCTTGATGCCTGAATGCCTGAATAACCTATGGGGTCAACTCTAACGAACAATTCAACTCTCACCCCGCACGAGCTCCAAGCTCTCCAGCAGGCACAATGTCTCTAATCCCTGAGAACCAAGACCTTGCCGAAGAAATCGAAGCTGTAAACGCCATCTACGACCCTGACACAATAACCGTAACCCGGATAACGCCCGCAAACACGACAACCAATACCCTTGACCTAGGAAGTTCAGCGCACCCCAATGACAACATCCATACCACAGTGGTCACCCTCCAAATCCCAGAACAGCACCATCTATCCTTCATACTCGGCTTCGAAGCCTCATACCCAGACTCCCGACCCACCGTACTGGGAACAGCATCGACCGCCGCACGCGGGGAAGGCAAGATCGCCATCGATGTATTGGAGGATATCATACAGCGGACCTGGCAGGCTGGTGCCGTGTGTCTATTCGATGTAATCAGCGAAGCCATCGATGTATTCCCGGAACTGAGTATCGGGCAGGACGATGTCGAATCGTCTACTCAGACACCAATTGTCGACGCGTCGACCGCGACAGACGCCTTTGAAGCTCTGTCCCTACGCGACGCGTTCGGCATCGATACCCCGCCCGAATGGATCCTCTCCGACGTTGTCAGCGAGAAAAAATCGGTATTCGTAGGCCGTGTTGCCCGTGTTACTTGTCTTGCGCAGGCGCAGGCTTTTATTGATCATCTTACGGCTACGGATCGGAAGGTTGCGGCCGCGACACATAATATTAGCGCTTGGCGCATTCGGCAGAAGAAGGCTGGAGATGCTGAGGGTGGAGAGACTGTTGTTCAGGATTATGATGATGATGGGGAGACTGCTGCTGGGGGTCGGCTGTTGCATGTTATGCAGTTGATGGATGTGTGGAATGTTGTAGTTGTTGTTACGCGGTGGTATGGGGGCATCCAGCTTGGTCCGGCGCGGTTCCGGCTCATTAATGATGTTGGTCGTGATGCTTTGGTTAAGGGCGGTTTTACTAAGGAGAAAGAGGAGGCTGCAGCGGAGAAAGGGAAGAAGAAGGGCAAGAAATGAGGGACTGGTGATTTCCCTGATGATTTTCGAAGCTCGGGGTTCTGGAATGCAAAGGATTCATGCACATGGGCGAATCTGGCCCGTGCGAGTCGGACAACATGAAACACCCGTGTCTACATGACCAGGGTGCTTGATGAAACCTTGAGCAGGCATCAATCACACTGGAATTGCGGATACAACCTTCCTTCTTGGAAAGTCTTTGAGGCTTTACGTCTATCCTACGATTTACCACAGTGGGAAAATGATGCGTGGCCCACCATGCGACGCTGTCGACAGGCAGTGCCTGGATTTCACGTGAACGCAAAGAAAACATCACTTGAATCGAGTCTGCGAGCTGGAAAACATAGCGCCATCATTAGGCAGGCTTGCAGCTCACATGCAGGGCTGCCGAGTCTGCTTTGGCGCTCACGACTTGGTCAATATGACATGTGTGTAGCACACACTCTAAGTAGACAATTTTCCAACCGCCACAAGCGACGGAAAATCGGCACTTTGGAAAATGTGCGTTGAAAGTCTCACAAAGAACGAGTTGATAGTTCACGCTGTCGAAACCCAGGGTTTGCATCAACAAGTCCAATATACTAGTTTTAGTACTTCGACATGGATGTAGTTTTCAGCAAACAGAACAAACTGATCATGTGCATGCATGCTTACATGTAGTTAGCCAGCACCCCCGGGCCGTCCGTGGACAACGCGTGGACTCACTCCTATAAACATGTATTAGATTCATTCTAATATTATAAAGTTGCACGCTATTTACTATGTCATCCTCAGCGAAAAATCCATCGATGATATCAGAGCTCAAAAAAAGCCACATTCCAGTGCCTTGGTGCGATGAATACGAGAGGATGATTAGTGGAATGAAGTTTGTCTACTAGTTGCACGCTATAGCTGTATATGAATTGACAAATATATCTAGCTTTTCAGCATCTAAGTCCATAGAACTTGAAGATTATAAGCTCCAAACTTTGACGAAACTGAACGATTTCAACGACCTTACTATTCCTGATGGCAGCACGTTAATGTCATTAAAGACACGACGCATGGCTGTAGCCAAAAGCTTGCTTGGCCAACTTGGCGATGAGGTTACAATCGAGCCGCCCTTTTTCGTGGGATGGGGTTGTAATGTGTTTATTGGAGATAATGTTTACATTAATCGCGAGTGAGTTCACACTTCAGGTTACTCTTTTGTCCGGCCAGACTCCTTTTTTCTGTAAGTCTTACGAAGAGAAACCCCTGCAGAGTTTCGCTCTTCGATAATGCACTCATTCAAATTGGTGACCGTGTCCTTATCGGGCCAGGTGTTTGTATCTGCACGGGTACACATGAGGTTGCATCAAGTGATAGGAAAGAAGCTAGTGGCACATCCTTTGCTCGTCCGATAATCATAGAGTCGGATTGCTGGATCGGTGCGAGGGTAACCATTCTAGATGGTGTACGCATTGGTGCAGGTTCAACTGTGGCTGCAGGAGCTGTAATTACACATGATATTGCACCTGGGTGTCTGTTTGGTGGAGTACCTGCCAAGTTCATTCGTGCATTGAACTAAGTTAGGACTATGATTACTTGTCTCACTTGATCTCAATTGAATATTAGGAAGGTTCAACAACGCCTATTGTAGATTATGGGGTCTTGAATAGACACTGACGTATGCAGAAGACCAAGCCGTGTACGCTGAATGGTCGCTCTCATGCGAACCGTCATGCGAACTGTTACTGTATGCCCAATTCTAAAGATATACCCACTCTAAGCGCTTGGGTCGAAATGGTCATTCACGGGAAAAGAGCAGATATTACTAGGTGATTTGATTGCGACGGACTAGGGGTTTAATTACTACCAAGCCCTCAGGGGCAACATTGAGGGGTTGTAATATGCCAGGTCAATATATATATATATATTATACAGCTTAGTTTGCATATCAAGGCGAACTGAGCCCAACAGATGTCACCATGGTATACAACAAACCAATGGACGAGTTACAGCGGCGCAGGTATGAACCTCGATTCCTCTCAGAATTGGTTTTTGAGATCGCGAATGCAGGTCCCTATCCTCGTTCTATTTTTTAGGCTATAACACCCGAGTATTACGGTCCGTTCGAAATTACAGGGATTGCCAACCCAATGCTTCTCATTTGCAGGCTAGGGGTTGTGAATATCTCTTTTGGGGAACTGCAGAGTAATCAATGTGCTTTGTACTCCCTAGTGGCTTCCATATGGTTTTTAGCGGAGTTGGAATCCGCTAAGTATAGTTGGTGGAGCTCTTCATAACCCTGATGATCCTGGACTGGGCACACCTATAACAAGTACGGGGTATGCCTAGATATATGTACTTGACTTTTCTAGAGGTCTTGGAAATCAAAATTGACACATTTCATTTGGGAATGTTATGTGAACCACTTTACGGAGTAAAAAGTACCTGAACTCATTTCCTCACCAAGACTTGGCAAAGTGGAAAGGCCTCCATACCCCACACACAAGTGCCGGCGTTAGATGGCTGAACATGTCCAGGTGAAGGTGCCCACTTGGATTACATTCTCATGTTTCACTGCGTCATAGGCATTTTGGGTAGAAGTCGCAAGTTCAAGTCGTAAGGGCTAATGATAAGCACTAGGTAGTACGTAGTACTCCGTACGGAGTAGTCCGGCGAAAATGAAACACACCTGTGGTAATTAGCAAGCTACCCAGAAAGAAAAAAACCAGGGCGCCTACAGCGACAGCCAATCCCCAGGGAGTTTGTGTGCCAGCGGTTGATGGTGCGACAAATCCAGGGGTTGGAAAAGTCTTGTACTTGCCAGTCTGTGCGGTGGTTGGCTCCTTTCCAGCCGCCAGTCCAGCGGGTATCTGCAAAGGTGGCGATCCGATCCTCCTACTGGTCATCTTTTGTTTTTCCGACTAGTCTTCAGCTTTTCACCGTCTGAATATCCGAACGTCAATGGACAAAATAGAAAATTTATCCTGAAACATCCCCTCTCGCTCTTGGCCTTCCCCACCCTCCAGGTCTGGTGGATGTGCGAAGTTACATCGATTGACCAAGCGGATGTCTCTGGACTTTCGAAGATCACACCAAGTGTGTGTCTGCTTAATTGCCATGCACACAGCATCGGGCCATTCATAGGGTGGGATTCGGGTTTCTCGAGATCTTTGACGGGCCCGAGTGTTCCCCCATGTCTGTGTATATAATAATCCTAAACGCCAATGTTGAATGGCTTTTCTTTTTTTCTTATTCAGTACATTACTTTCTCTTTTATTACTTCTATCGGTTCGACATACAGGCTAGACCTGTGTCACTTTCCTTTTCACATCTTGATTTTTGCCAGTGGCAACATATCATATACATTCCTTTTCTGAAGCTGCCTCACCTTTGATACGTAAATAAAACAAAGAGCCTGTCGCTATTGTTCACCAACAAAGAAATCGGAAACAACGCCTCACAATTTGAGTCAACTTGTTTCATTCACTCTGATACAAAGGTATTGTGTCTCTGCCTTTGTTTCATCGTTGCCTCCGATCTATATACGTCTGATCTATTGTGGGAGACCTATGATCTATTGTTGATGGACTGTTACGCCTATACGCCTTGCCCACAATAGATCCATCAATGAAGGCACTGTCGATATATATACTCTTGAGCACCTCATCTTGGCTCTTGCATCTTCAAGTCTCTCATCCCAAGCTAACATTCCGATACAAGGTCCACTCCTTCTTACCTGATCCCATTCGTCTGGCACGAATCGATTCCATTTGCAACATTTATCTGTCGAACCAGATCTTAAACAATCTCAGAAGTTCAATCATCCAAGATGTTCATCAGCTCCAAAGTGATCGCTGCCCTGATGGGGGCTTCCATGGTCAACGCCCACATGATCATGAGCAGCCCCGTCCCTTATAGCAAGGCCAATCTCAACAACTCGCCTCTAGAGGCAGATGGTAGTGACTTCCCATGCAAGCTTCGCGATAACGCCTTCCAGGCCCCCACTACTGAGACAACCATCGCCGTCGGTGATTCCTACCCTCTCAGTTTCATCGGCAGCGCCACCCACGGTGGTGGTTCCTGCCAGATCAGTCTGACCACCGATCTGATTCCCACCAAGTCCTCCGAGTGGAAGGTCATCAAGTCCTTTGAGGGTGGCTGCCCCGCCAATGTCGACGGCAACATGTCCGGTGGACCCGACGTCATCAATCCCTTCACTTTCAACTTCACCATTCCTGATGGTATCTCCGCTGGCAAATACACCCTTGCATGGACCTGGTTCAACCGCATCGGAAACCGCGAGATGTACATGAACTGCGCCCCAATCACTGTCTCAGGTGGCGCCTCCAAGCGTTCCCCCGCGGAAATCGAGAGACGCACTGCTAGCTTCCCGCCCATGTTCATCGCAAACATCAATGGCTGTATGACACAGGAAGGTATCGATATCCGCTTCCCTCAGCCAGGTGACTATCTCGAGCGTGACGGTGAACCTGCCAACCTCGCTAAGGAGGGCGCCCCGGCTTGCACCGGTACCCCTACCTGGGGAGGCTCTGGTGACACCGCCTCCTCGGGCTCCTCGAGCGCTGGCCTAGACACTGGGGCCAAATCAACTGGTTCCGCCTCCCCCAGCTCAGAAACTGGCTCTAGCACCAACTCAACTGGCTCCGCTTCATCTGGCTCTTCCTCTGCTCCCGCAGAAAGCACACCGCCACCAGTCGCCCCAATCCCAGCAGGTACTCCATCAAACCCACCCACCGAGCCCAAGCCCGAGTCCTCGTCCTCCGAAGCTGCCCCAGCTCCTGTGACTACCGGCTCTGGGTCTGCCTCCAGCTCTGGTACCCTGGCGGGTGGCTGCAGCACCGAGGGCCAGTGGAACTGCATTTCAGGCACCTCCTTCCAGCGCTGTGCTTCTGGCACCTGGTCCGCCGCCCAGCCGATGTCGACTGGCACGCAGTGCAGCGCTGGTCAGGGCGAGGAGCTCGTTGTCACCGCCAGTAGGAAGGCGCGCCATATCTCGAGCATGCGCTTCCGCAAGCGCACCCTCAGTGGTCACCATTTCCACCTCAGTTAGATACGCAACACAATCCGCTGGCTTCGGATGTTGCCCAATTCTTTTTCACATCTGGTGATGTTTTTCTGTTTTTTCCCCCTTTCACTTCTTATTCTTTCTTTCACTTCTTATTCTTCTGTTCTTTTTTTCTTTCACTTCTTATTCTTCTGTTCTTTTTTTCTTTCACTTCTTATTCTTCTTCTTCTTTTCTGCTGGCCGGTCCTGTTACTCTTCAGAGCATTGGATGCCTTTCTTTCCTGTATATTTAAGAGATGAGACTAGGAAAATAGAACATCTCACAAGTTTTTTGCACAATTCGTAGCTCGATATTATATTTTCGGTAGTCTGTAGATATTAGTGCTGCTCAAACCCTAGTGTTTAGCCTGGTAGCAGAGAGGAAATCAACTGTAGTAATGACCACTTTTCTGTCTCCCAGATGGGGAGTCTGCTGAGGTATATACAAAGAAGAACTGCAGTGATGGACAGCCCATATCTCCTGTAGTATGTTTTCCCCAAGCTTAAGGTACTTGCCGGGGTCGAGGACAGACTTGAATGTTTACGATCGCACCTGCCACATAAAGACCCACTTGTGGATCCCACGTGATAGCTCCGATTAGATAATTGTTGCGTATTTGCACTAGTCCGGATATGGCAGAGAGGGCTTAGGGTTCGCCGCCCCACTTTCAGTTTCTCACTAAGCGAAAAAATCCACACCCAGTTGTGAAGCCCCCCGACTCGGAGAGATTGGATCTTCAACCTCACCTCGACACCGACCAGCAACAATGGCCTCTCGCCCGACTGTCTCGATCGCCACGGCTGCCGGCGTGCCCTCCGGGGCCTCCCACCCCCTTCCCACCGTGTTCGGTGCTCCTATCCGCCCGGATATTGTCCAGTATGACTCGCCGAAAACCTGAAGGATTCACAAATCGATGGAGGGGAAGTGCTGACCGTCGATCTACAGGCATGTTCACACTGGTATGGCCAAGAACAAGCGCCAGCCCTACGCCGTGAGCGAGAAGGCTGGTGAACAGACCTCTGCTGAGTCCTGGGGTACCGGTACGTTATTTGGCACATTTTTTCGAGATTGGAAGAATGGGATCAAGATCGGCGAGAAAAAAAATTCGCGATCATCAAAATTCTTCTCTATGGAGAGAACAAATAACTGACTGGATCGCTTCTCATTGAATAGGTCGTGCTGTCGCCCGTATCCCCCGTGTCTCCGGTGGTGGTACTCACCGTGCCGGCCAGGCTGCCTTCGGTAACCAGTGCCGTTCCGGTCGTATGTTCGCCCCTACCAAGGTCTGGCGCAAGTGGCACCAGAAGGTCAACGTTGGCCAGCGGTATGTGGAATCCCATTGAAGGAATTGCAGAGAAAGAATGCGGAGGAACTAATCTTTGCGCCCTACAGTCGTTTCGCTACCGCCTCCGCTCTGGCTGCTTCTGCTTCCCCCGCTCTGCTCTTCGCCCGCGGTCACCGTGTCGCCAACGTCCCCGAGGTTCCCCTCGTCGTTGAGTCCAAGGCTTTCGAGACCCTTGCCAAGACCAAGGCCGCCATCGCCCTCCTCCAGGCTGTCGGTGCCGGACCCGATCTCATCAAGGTCCAGAAGTCCCGCAAGATGCGCGCCGGTAAGGGTAAGCTCCGTAACCGTCGTTTCCGCCAGCGTCGTGGACCCCTGGTTGTCTACAACCCCGAGACCGATGGTAAGGACCTGATCAAGGCCTTCCGCAACATCCCCGGTGTCGAGACCTCGCCCGTCTTCTCCCTCAACCTCCTCCAGCTCGCCCCCGGTGGCCACCTCGGTCGCTTCGTTATCTGGACCTCCTCCGCCTTCCAGGCTCTCGACCAGGTCTACGGTACCACCACCAGCCCCTCGGCCCTCAAGCGGGATTACCTCCTGCCCTCCAACGTCGTTGCCAACGCCGACCTGACCCGCCTCATCAACTCTTCCGAAATCCAGTCCGTTCTGAAGGCCCCCAAGGGCGATGCCCGCACCAAGCGTGTCAACGTCCAGAAGAAGAACCCTCTTCGCAACAAGCAGGTCATGCTCCGCCTCAACCCCTACGCCGCTGCCTACTCCAAGCAGAAGCTTGGACAGCAGTCCGTCGAGGGTGGCAAGCCTACTGCCCCCGCCGAGTCTTTCCTCAGCACTCTCTATGAGAACTAAGCGGGTCTTTCTTTGTCCCCCTGCTATTTCTTTGTTAACTGTTTCGTTGGCAAAATGGTAGTCAGCAAAAATGAATCAATGCCTTTTTTGCAATACCCATGGGTCTATTTGGAGTAGTAATGTGATCGGTTTCAGTGTTCTTCTAAGTGACCCTCGAATTCTTTGTATCGTGCATGGTAAGTTGTGTATATGTAGAGAGTCGAGATGTATTTTCCCGTGTGAATCGTGGTTTACATGGATGAATATCGCATTCCTTGCGCTGATCGCATTAAGTGTTGAATATGATGGCTGCCTTTTCCCAAGCTCATTACGGCAAACTACGGTCCAGGCAGGCCACTCCCTTATGAATCACTACAGGGTCTATCCAGTGAAACTAATTACTTGTCACATGTAGTTTACCGGTCGCACACTTGATATTCTTATACCATTATTTACGAGTCCGTGTTATTGCCTAGTTATTCCTCGTGTCTTCGGAACATTCTTGCCGCAAATTCAGGTGTCTATTTCCATACCAGACAACAGGGAAGGCCCTCATCATTTCTTTCTCATAGAACAAACTAGCATCTAGATCTTTTCCACTGTCATTGTTGGAAATTAGTAATAATTGTGGATGGTAGGATCATGAATAAATAGAAAGAAATTTAGAATATATATTTATATATTCATACATATATGTGAGCATCTTGTCGTACATGATTTCAGTCCATCATTTTTAGAGAATATGCTGATTATTGGAATGAATCCCTTCGAATACTCGAGTATATGATTCCTGGCAATTGATTCCTTGATGGTCAACAGAATAAACGATATCTTGAAGTTTGCTCAGCATATGTATCCACAGATATAAGTCAATTTGCCGGACGCAACCTTGGATAGAGATGCGGCTACCCTCCAAGGTTTTCTTCCAAAGAAAATCTGTATACTGTCTACCTAGGTATGTAACTCCATCCATACCACTTCAATCGACCCTGGAAAAAGTGAGTTGAACATGTGATAGAGTATCAATTGAAATATCACATGTTACGAGTTTCCTCTCAGCGCGCGACCTAATACGAGATACATACCAGGTGTAAACCCAATGCAAGCATAGAAGCCATTCTAATTAATCTATGTATAGTCCTACATATGTAGCATATAATCCTAGGCGAGCCGAACAAAGCCGGGTGAAACATACAGCATCGCTTGAGGAGCACTAGTGCGACAGTTTCCGATATGACAGCCATGAGATATTGGTTAGCGTCCTGGGGTATTGGTTATCGGTTATTGAAATCCGGCATTTATACTCCGTGGAGAAATAACAATTTAAATACCGGAGGTTATATTCAAGCCGAGACACGGGAGATTTAAATTAGACAAAGAAGCATTCTAATATATATTTATCCCGGTAGATTCACATGCCATGCAATTTAATTGAGTTTTTCTTTGCCCCGTCGGTTCCTGAGAAATAGCTTTCGGGCAGACATACAAAGTAGGTGATAGGTGTGGCGTTAGAACATCAACAATGGTATAGAGAACAGAGTTTGCCAAGTTTATGTATGCAATTTACTATGGAGTACTCCGTAGGTAGTATCTACGATCCTTCTAGGGTTACGGATAGTACTCCGTATGCTATCACAGATTACAAAGCTACTCGGAAATAGGTCTAATGTCAGTGCCGAAGGTTGTCTAAGCGAGATACGGAGTACCGTTTTGGACGTCGGGCACGGAGATCAGGGACGTGCGAGAGCGGATCGCCAAGAGTACCATCAGGGTCCGCCGCTGATAGTCTGAGGCACTTCCAAGCCAAAGGTACTTACGTCAGTTAGAGTGTTTTTTTTTCTTTCTTTTTCTTTTCACTTTCGTTGTTATGATAATGAAGCGACTGGTTGGGAGGTCACTGCCTTTATCAAGGCTGTATGTTGATACAGAGTCAGAGCTCCATTTGCAATGACGTTGAGTTTGAGGTCTCACGTGTACATGTCAAGCCTTGGATTATGTAGCATCTCAGACACATAGTAAGTATTACATAAAAATATGCCTGTGGTTCTATCAAGTAGTATGGTAGTCTTCTAATACGAAGTCTTAGTCCAACCCAGTCAAATCCAGTTAAATTGTAATACAACATCGTTCAGGAACACATTATTAACCGAGATCGTGCGATCGGAGGTGAAAATCTCCGATCCCGCGGGAGTAAACAAAAAAAAAAAAAACGAAACGAAGGGAAAAAAGAGAAAAAGCAACGAAAAAAAGAAAACGTGCAAAGAGCGGTCTCGGTAAGATCAACCGAACAGATAAGCTGCACGAGCAAGGAGAAAAATCTAGATGGAACCTTGTACATTAGGTATACGCCCTCGTGCTGGACTCTATTCGTAGATCACAGAGCGGTGCTGTCTAAGTATAGCCATGTCTCACACCTAATACGAATCGGTTCAGGGGTGATCAAAGCGTGTTGGAGCTATCGGGAATCAATCCGACACTAATTCTGTGCAAAACATCCATGGATGTTGCAGTCGCAATGTTGCAATACAGTAGTGTCTATTCCATAGAGGGAATATTAATAACACGGTGGCTTTAGAAGGAATTATTCCTTGTTCCCCGTACTCCGTATGGAATTGGGAAGTTTTTTCATATGTATATATATTTTTTTAGCTACATTTATTTCAATTATTTTGATACCCTTTTTTTTCTAATTCATCACGCCATATATCTAGAAACTGTTTACGTAGAAGCATCTGAATAAACTCAATTATCCTAGGTGGATCATGACACGGGTTGTCTCAAGCTGTTATATATAGAAGATTTCATTGGACTTCAATGCGGATTAATCCTCCGCTCATCCAAAATTTGAGTCTCGGTATTTGTTCGGAGAAACTTGATCCCGTGAAAAATGGTCTAAAATGGGCTTGGGAGAACTCGGGAAGAGGTTCCATATAGGAATATATTGACTTTTCTCCAAACTGCCGAGTTGGAGTATTAACGGCGAAATCCCGAAGGCCGGGTAACTCGCGTCATTTCATCTCGGGCCTTTCCTAGAACAGGAAACGCACACTCCAGGGGCTGAGTCCAACGATCCCGAAGGCTTGCAGATCGGATCGCCCTCAATTTGAAGACGTGGTCAATTTCTAGTGTTGCATCGCCGTTAGAGGTCCAAGTGGAGTTTAGCTTGACAGAACCTTGGATGACTTTTACGACCAGGGTTCCTTGGTGAATAAAGAAGATGATAACCTTGGAAATGCCCTATAAAACACTATGGAATTTCCTCAATTAAAAAATAAAATTCTGCATAGATACCCGTTCCCAAGAATAGCATCCATAGCATCCATAGAAACTCATAGAGCCACAAAATAACATCAGATGGTCTCGGCTTTGGCTCTATATAGAGCATAGTAGTTCAAGTTTGACTTCTACAAAAACAGTCCACTCCACTTGCGGACCACTAGGTCGATCCTCACCAGAGAGGTTATCCAAAAGTAAGATAAGCCCTGCGGCCCCTGGGAAGGGGGATTTGCCCGTCTAGGCATCGAATCGCCTTATATCCACCCAACCGGCCGAAGATTAAAGGACCCACTGTGAGGATATTCGTACATCCGTATAAGCTCACTTTGTTTTCTCTGCAAAAATTTTAACTTTGGAATATAAATCTTACTATCTCTCTATGCTTACTTGGGTTGACGGAGTCAATGCCGTATTGCTACCCATGTAAATATAAATGTGTACTCCGTATCCGTATATATTGTATATCCTAGACGGCAAACCCCGAAAGTTCTCTTGGTGTACTCCGTATATCTCATTTAAATGTTTACTAGGGCATGAGATTGGTCATGTTGTAGAAAGTACTACGGAGTGGGTATCTCTGGCCTTTTACGCGAAGAAAGACTAGAGTGAATGGAGTACTAATATGTACAAATATAAGTACCAACGTAGCATCCTTGATCCCTGTGGATTTGGCCATTAATATAAAGATGCGGTAGTAACGGATGAACCGGGGGGCATACTCGGGTTGATTTCCTATTTTTCCCCTATATTTTCCAGATTTCCAAGGTACAGCTTCCCCCACTCGGAAGAATCGAGTGGAATCAAAGATCTATACCGTTAGATATATTGATTTTAGACGTCATGCTTGTGATATTCTAAAGTTTGAAAACACTCCAATGCCGATATGATATATATCCACTTTGCAATAATATGGACCTTCATAAAAATTCCTATTTCTTAACTTAATTTCCTTTTTTTGAACTAATACCGTAGAGACATTGGGCACCCTAGACACCCTATTCCGAATGTGGCGCCCTTGGAGCCGCCTAAACCGAAAGGGTTCTAACTGTCTCATTTCAAAATTTTCATGAAAAAAAATAGCTATAGATTCGGTTATTCCGAGCCCTTGAACTGAATTAACTTAGCTAAATCTAATTAACTGTAAAAAAAGGTGAAAGTACCTGTAATTTTTAATTTTTAATGTACTCGGAATACTTGGAATACTCTCTCTGCTTTGGCCCTTTTTCCAGTTACCATACCTGAATCCCCCTCCTTTCTCATTCTCTTCACTTTCACACTTTGACACTTTCTTTCTATTTTGAGCCTCGGTTTCTTTAACCCCAATTCTATCTTTTTTTGGGACTTTCTATAATCTCCTGAAGAAAACCTTAGCCTGCAGGAGGGAGAGGGGAAAACCCGAAGCTCGATAGGGAAGTCTCGACGTACAGAGAACGTACAGAGAACTATTCCATTCCTAGTCTCTCGAATCTACGAGTCGCTACTTCTAGTTGTTTTTTTTTTCCCTCATAGGGTGCCCACTGACTAGGTGGTAGGGCACTTTCTTCGAGACTGTTTTGTCTCGTGTGCCACCATCGGCTCTTACTTTGATCATTTCGGTTACCATTATCATCGCTATCGGGGTCCTTTTGGTTCTTTTTTTTGTCTCTCACACACCCCATTCGGGATTCGGATTCAGAAAACGCCATCGGCGTTATCCTCTGGAATATCCTTGTTGCCCTCCCCCCCCCACTAATTCCCTGGTCTTTGAGAATCTTAAACCAAGATCTCGCTGCCATCTGAGCTCTCCCCACTCGGCCAGATCCTCAAAGATCCTAGCATACAGTAGTAAGCTGCCGGGTTCCAAGCGCGGGGCTTTCGTCGTTGACAACACTTCGGCCCGGTTCTCCGTGACTCCTTGGGTCGGTGGACGCTTGCAACTTCATAGGCCCTTGTCTAAGGTCTCTTACCTGGCAATCCCTGGACGTTGGTACAAGCTACTGGGATATTGCAGATTACCTGGCACGGAAACTATGCACCTGAGACCGTGACTGCTCGGGACTAATGCGAGATGGTGGCCTTCTAAGCCAGCTTCAATTCGTTTCCTTTTCGGCTTCACCGGCACACCACGCGCAGTGCCGAAAGTTGACTATTCCGAGTGCCAATATTTCCATCAAAAGTTTACTGGCATCGTTTGTATAAATTCCTCTCCCTCATCATTCCTGTTTGTCGTTCGCTTGTGAGCGCGGAACGTACACGATCAAATCTATTTCTCTTTGCTGCCACCTGATCCAAATTTGTTCGACTTTCTACTCAATTCTATCATTGTTCATTGAAGACCAAAAAAGTTAAATTGGTATGTGAAATGCGTATATGTCTCAGCATAGGGAAATCGGAGAAACGAGCTCATTGCTAAGTCATCTGGCTCCTTTCAATAGGTACGCCTTTTGTCCACTGTCCTTCTGGGACTTCGAAAATTCAACCGAAAGCCGAGAGAATCAGCCAAAGACAGCCTCCCCAAAGCATTCCACGTCAAGTCTTTTTTCCCTTGGCACTATACCTATTCAAGGGCACAGAAACGCCGAACACACTGGTCGCACTCGCTTTTGTGTGGGTCTGTTATGTAGATGGTCAAATTGTGTCAAGCACTCTGACCTCATATATCATCCAACCGATATGTCAGCCCCCCAAGGATCAGGATCAGGATCAGGATCTGGCTCCCATTCTAGCATAGGCCCACGATACTATGTTGGACCCTTCGGCCGTATGTTACCCACCACAGATGGCCCATCATCGGAGCAGCAACCCGAGCTTCCAGCTAATTTACAAGTATCCGGGGATCTCCCATACCAGCTTCCACCTCCACGTGTACCGGCTAGTTTACAATTTGGATCTGATCCATTTCCGCGGCGACAAGACAGTCCCCAGGGCAAAGACGGTGGACCACAGCACCAGAAGCCAGAGCAACTTCCTTCCGTGAGTCAAATACTCACACCAATACCGGGCGCCAATTCACCACAATATCCTCAACCATTTGCAATTTCAACATCCAATACAGGACGTCGAGCATCTGCATACCCACCTCGCCATCATGATCCGAATTTCCAGGTTTCGCCAACCTCTGTACATGATAGAGGCCGTGCCGAATCTCTCCCTCAACCGCATACTAGCCTGCCTTCAATGTCACAAGTGACTCTGCATGGCCATGGAGGTATAAGAAACCACACACCCACAAGGAGTGATCCATCTTCTGCATCTTTCCCACACGGCCAGTTACCCTTTCACACCACATCCTCACATGGTCAAGTACCAAGTGGGGAGCAACCATCACCGGAAAGTTCAAACCGGTTACTTAACCAGCCCCTCCGGCCTCATGTGGTAGATGAGCGAGTAATTGACGGGGAACTCTGCTTCCTATATGCAGATGGATCCTTCTGCCCCAAATTCATCGATGGTACACCCGTCAACGCAAATTGGGGCATAACGAAGGCTGGCAGGCCGAGAAAACGTCTTGGACTTGCCTGCCTGACCTGCCGCGAGAAGAAGATCAAGTGTAATCCTAACCCAACTCTCGAGGCCGTATGTGACCAATGCCGTAAATCTGGACGTGAATGCAGGTTCGAAAGTGCGTAAGTGTGATCGTGAACTCTGAAGAATATGTGTCCACGGACTTACCCTGTTGAGCCACTGCTAATCTTCTCAAAGCCCGCGGGGGAACCGTCCTCCGATGAGGGGGTCAGTAGGGCCATCTAGCAGACCCGATCCTTACGGCCGCGCTAGCCACGGTTCTTTGGACGTTTCTCCGTCACTTTACGACAATAATCGAGCTTCGGACAGTGCGACCTCCCTTCCTGGGACTACTGGCCATTCACCGATCTCAGAAGGCTCATTGCTGACGGCATCAGGCCAAGAAGCCACATATGAGAACATGGCTGAGGCGGACAGGGCTTTAAGATCTCGATTCCACCGATTCCCACAGTCCTTACTAGGCGCAGATGACACCATCGGACGACCACCGTCGGCACATATCGAGTCTACTCGTTCGCCCGAGTACTCTGACATTTTGGGGGAACTCAAGGACAGCAACAAGTCAGACGACCCACTCGCGGCGTCATGGCACCTAGACCCGTATGAAACCGATCCAGAAGCGGCGATGCACTACACTGAACGTTATTTCTTGCACATGAATGACGGTCTGTACCACATATTCCCACATTCACGATTCAGCTTGTGGTTGAAGACCTACCCCACCAAGTCTGCGGATGACAAGATGCTCCTTTATTCTATGATGGCTCTTGGGTCTGTATTCTCAGACAGGCCAGATAAAATGGCAGCAATGAAGCGATATGCTCGCATAGCCCGCTTTGCCATTAACAGAAGCCAGCATATCCTCTCTTTGCAACTTGCTCAGAGCCATATCATAATGAGTCTTTGGTACTATGCTACAGGGTCGCTTGTCGGGTCTTGGGACTCAATAGGCGCAGCGGGTAGAGCGGTGTTTGGGCTTCGTTACAACGTGGAATCTGGCGGTATTGTTGTGGATCAAAGTCAGATATGTGACTACGGGTTACATCCACAGGCCTTGATGGAGTGCCGACGGAGAACCTTTTGGATTGCCTTTGTGCTTGATGTGAGTAACACGCACATCCTCCGACTAAAGACCGAATTATAGTTACTGACAAAAGACCAGCGCTTCTCAAGCCTTTATACTGCTTCGTCGACTTTCATCTCGTCAGATGCAGCCTTGCTGAGGCTTCCCTGCCGAGAAGAAATCTACGAGACTCAGCAGTACGCGACGGTTCCCTATTTGCAATCATTCCTTAACCATATCCCGGCCTCCACGGGCGATGATCGTTCCACCCTAAGCCCAATGGCCTTTTTAATCGAGATCATGGCTATCTGGGGAGAGATCTCCCTACATATAACCAGATTACCACACATCCCGGCCGAAGCATATAACCGACTCGCTGAAGAATTCCACACAACCATCATCCAAAAATCCAACCAATGGATGACCCGACTCCCCGAATACCTGGCGTTCTCATCCACAAACCTAGAGCGAAGTCTTCGACAAAGAAAAGCAGATACCTTTATCTCAATTCATTTGTTCTACCACGCCAGCTTGTTGAAGCTGTATAGACACGCCCGCTACCAGAGCCTCCGACCCGAAATCCTAGGCCAGTACATCCACCGCGCTCGATACCACGCCGTGGAAATCCTCCGTATCTCTCTTACCTTTGACCAATACGCCAAAAGAATCATTCCTTCAAGACTTAGCACAGAGCCTCCCATGTCCCACTCGACCCTCCTGAACCCATTCCTCGGCTACGTCATTCTATCAGCGATAGATGTTCTCAGCTCCGCGGGTCTGGCATCTCAGCTAAACGAGTGCATTGCTTATATTAGAGGCGCACTAGAGACTGTTCATGAACTCGGTCGCTATTGGGATAGCTCTTTGAAACTGGTCACCGTTCTTCACAGACGTCTCGGTCTGATGATCAACTGTATGAATGACCCCGGCGTCTTTACAGAGAAACAGGGTTTTGCTCTCGATGGCACCCCGCTTGAGACGAAGGTCCATGCTGGCGCTTTGCATTCTCCTCTACCTATGGCAATGGGTGAGGATCTTTTTACCGGTTCGATGCCTAGAGAGGTGCTTTTGAATGCTCTACGGCTTGATGAGACGCTCATCTCTAAGGGTGATATTGCTTGGATTAGAGATCCATGAGATTTGCCTCCTCCTTTTGGTCGATGATTGAGGTTCAGAAGTTGCGGGAGGATGTGACTGGTCTCATGGCAATGTTGATGGTTTTTTTTGCAGCGGTGAGGGAATCTTGTTCTCTGTTATTCTGTTACGATATGATGGATGCATTTTAATAATGATGGGGGCTGGAATGGTTGACTTGGAAATATTGTTGCCATGCATAGGCGGGACTGTGTACGTGACTTGGCTCATATACCTCTCTTTGAGCAGAGTTTTATATCTTCTACATCTGTATATTATAGTATTCTATTTAATTCCTGGTTTTTGAATGCCTCTGAGACTGCTATCTGCTCATGTGATTATATTAACCAAGCTTGGAAGATAATTGTCGAGATTAATAAAGGAGCAATTTACTAAATTTGTGCTATCTAGCATGATATTATGAGACCTGAGCTGGAAACTGGCCTGAATAGATAAACCGGCCTTCGACAGGATCCATCAACACAGCGTAATGGGTATCCTCATTAACAATTGGGTCCGAGCAAAGCCATCCAAGCACTGTCCCAAGAGTAACCGACACCTTAGACTCAAGATCTTCCCCGATCTTCGTATTCCGTTTCCACTTCAAATGAATTGACTGTGAACGGGGAATAGCAACCTCTTTAATTCTCCGCTTCTTGAGTTGTTGTTGGAAAAATCCATGATCCCGCACTCTGCGATCCCATTTTTCCTGCATCGAAGCTTGCCGCTCTTTACTCTCCTCGATAATCTCCGCCATGCTCTGCATGCCATTTGACATACGCAGGCCCGCATATCCTCTGTCATTCACGATAGCCTCATCCATGACCAAGCTCGGTTCCTCGTCATGGTTGGTTTTGATAAGGAAAGAACTCGACCTGCGCCAACACGCAGTCTCATAGTCCTTTTCCATCGCAACAATGCTACTTCCATCACAGAAAATCAGGTACGCAGCCGTCGTACGTAAGCAAGGCACTTCATCCAGGATTTCCTCAAGAGTGGAAGTATTCGAGAGTCTCGTCGATCCCTCCGCCTTCACACTGGGAAGAACACACTGCCGTAGCAGCGAAGTAATAGATTGTCGCAAACCGAGCAAAACAAGCAAATAATTGAAGTAAAACCCCATATTCCGACTGGAGTCATGCACAGCTCGGAAATTGAGCGAAACACTAAGGTCTTTCCGCACACCCGTGAGAATCCCCACAAAGCCCACATACGTGATGCACGTTGCGAGCACTTTATCCGGCGCATCGTCACGCACGAATTCAAGCTGCACGATCAGTGAGCGTAGTGGATCCATTCCCCAGTCCAAGGTCCGGAAGTGGATCATTCGTGTCCAGAGTCCGTCAAGCATTCGTACACCGCCACTCGTGCATCCCATTAATAGATCCAGAACCACATTCAGGCAGATTAGAAGGTAGAGGGGGATGCCCGTTACCCGACTGATGCCGCGGATCTCGGCTGTTTCTTCGTCTGTGTAGAGTCTGCGTAGGAAGAGTCGTGCAAGCCAGTGGATTGGTTTTGTTGGAATTTTTGGGGAGAGATTGTGGATCACGTCGTCAAATATGCTCGTCACGGAGCGCATTCGGTCTTTGTAGAGATGGGCAAGAGCTGTGTACCGCTCTTCTGGGGGGTTGGAGAGGTTTATCCTGAATACTGGGGGTTGTTGCGCGCCCAGCTCTTTCAAGCGGGTGGTCATTATTGATCAATTGATGACTGGAATTCCATTCGAGGTTGGAGAGAGGTGGAAGATGTGAGGCTGAGTGAGGAGTGGCGCTTGCTGTCAGATAGCGTGCTGATCTTGATCTGAGTTTACAGAATAATTGAAGAATTTTGGAATACGAGAGTGGCTTACTCCTTATTTAAGGATTACACGATGTTCAACTGTTGCCTTGTATGTGGGCGTGTAGATATAGATCGACACTCATCCTTCACCTTTTACAATTTGATTTGTAGTCTATTAGGCTGACAAGTATTTGAAGAAGAGGTCTAAGGCCGACGTGGCACATTTTGCCAAGTAGATTATATGCTGATCACCCGTGTGGCTGTCACTCAGGTACCCAAATGGAGGTTTCAAAGTTTTTTAGCTTCAGTTGGGTATTTTAGCTGATCTACGAGATGTCTTCTTTTTGGGTTTATTCCTCACTCTGCTAATTGAGCTCTTGCCGCGTATTAGGTGGCTTTGCTCTCTGCTTATACTAAATGCACCGGTGATCCCAAATTTCAGGAAATATCAAACCAGCCTGCATATAAAATTCAATGCATCGGATTGGAATTCATTGGATATGGAAGGGAGATCACCACTGCAACTGGCTTGAGAACAGTCCAGCTGATCTGCATATCTTTACCTTGCTTAGCCCCATTTTAGTGGAGATGAGACTATTCTTGTTGCAGTATTTTGTACTCCGTACATAGAGAAAGCTTGCTGACACATCTCTTCATGTATCGCCTATTTTCACAGTTATTTAGTAAAGCTTCGATTCATCAATATGCTAATAATATTATCACTAATAGTACTAATGTTGGCCCTAAACCAATGGGAATTGAGTCGCGGGTTGTCACCTGCTAGTGCTAGTACCCGAGAACAAAGACATTGTGTTCAAACGGTAAATGTTTCATATTCTATACTAGTAGATTCGGCATTCGAAATTAAAATAGGGATTGACTACTTGATAATAAGCAAAGATAGCTCTATATCATACAATCAATTGCTCCACTATAACCCGTCTACAATATAAGCGGGGATCCCTACGGAGATGCGGAAGGTTTCTCCGGAATTTCCATTTCCTCCACTCGAGCACCCTACTACACTGCCCTGTCGCGTTTTATCCAACCACCCCAAAATGGGGCTATATATATAGATATCAAAAAACGAGTGCGCAGAAAGCTCTCATGTCCTCCTTCAAGCAAGCCGACGGGACGCAGGAGTTCCCCGGAGCGCAGGAGTTCCGCGCGACGGTGGAAGATGACGGACTCGACGCCGATTACAGCATGGTGGGCGACGGCGACTACCCAGAGGAACCCGATTATTATGCCCTTCTGGGCCTCGCGCGCAATCCACCCCCAACAGAAGCCGAGATCCGCTCCGCCTACCGCAACTTGACCCTCAGCTTCCACCCCGACAAACAGCCGCCACATCTCCGCCATGCCGCCGAGAGTCAGTTTAGACATATCCAGGAGGCGTATGAGACGCTCATCGATCAGAAGAAGCGCATTGTATATGATATATCTGGTGCAGCGGGTGTGCGGCAGGAATGGGGCCAACTCGGCGCCATGGGGATTGGTGGGGAGGCGCAACGACAGGATGTTGGTGTTAAGGCCATGTCGCCGGATCAGTTCCGGCGCTGGTTTTTGAAGACGATGAAGAAACGGGAGCGGAAGGCCGTCGAGAGTCTGGTTTCCAGCAAGGTATGTATTTTCTGTGATCTTCCATGACGGGAAGTTGTGCGAATTGTTGGGATGTTGCTGACATTCATTGGTTTTGATTTTAGGGCGGTATCACCCTGGGAATTAATGCGTCCACTATGGTCTCAGTTGATGAGGACGAAGATGTGCAGTTCCATATACCTTCACCGAAAATGACCACATATGGTGTTTCATATAATTTCAAGACGCCGCTGTCATTACCACAGCTTTGGGGCACAGAAGAGAAAGAAGCAGAAACCTCGGATGCGGAAACTGATTCAGAGGAAGATGTGCAAGAAGAGGAATCAGAGGATATGCAGTTGACTTTCAATGCGGGTGTAACTGGAGGATTGGCTCACCCGGTTAAGAAAATTGCAGTTGAGTACGAGGATGGGACAGAAGGAGAAGAAAAGGTATGATGTGCTGCAGGTTTGCATCTCGAAATTTCGCTAACCGTTTTTTAGTTCCAAATGCCACCGATCCTGGCAGCTCAGAATTTCCATTTTGGGGCCACTGTGACCCCTAATTTCAAAAGCCTGGTGGGTACCAAGGGAATCTGGGCCAGACATCCTTTCTCGCTCCTCAGGGATTCCCAAGTCACTTTTGATGCTCTTCTTCTCCCTACCCCGACTTTGAAAGCAAACATTGCTCGAGCCTTCCAGCCAATCCCTGGCACCAAGCCGTTCCAGATCAGCGCGACAAGTATACATAAGCGCTCATTAGGGGAAACGCCGCCTTCTTTCGAGGTTCAAATTTCGAGAGAAATTGCCAAGAGGAAGATCGGTGTTATTACATGGACCAGTGGCGTTGTTCACTGGCCTGGATTTATTCTCAACTCGTTCCCATCAATTGGAATGGGAGTTCAGAGCGCCATTGCATCTGCTAATGAGGCCAGTAACCTACAAATTGGTCTCATCTCGCTTCCCAAGCAGGGCCAAGCTGCAGTCGATTTCGATGATGATGAGGAGGAGAGTGGAGAAATGGACGAAGACGTCCGCCATCTTCTCAAGAAAAAACGCCAAATCGACCAATCTGCCGAGTCATGGCAGACCTATCTTCAGGCTACTCCTGCTGGAGCCGCTTTTGTCTTGAATTATTCTCGCAACCTCTTCTCCGGAAAACCTGCTGATGACCCGGTCAAGACTGAGTGGAGCTCTGAGGGATACTTCCCGATGCCGACGATGGACCAGGCTCGCGCTGTACGACTCGAGATCTCAAGTGTTGTTGGGTTAGACATGTCTCTCCAGTGGACCATCAAGGGTGTTCGTCGGGTTGGCGAGTACACCCGTGTTGGCCTCGGTATTGGCATCGCAGATAAGGGTATCATGATGACAGTTTCATGGAGTCGACTTGGCCAAAGCATTAATCTTCCGATTAATGTTTGCCCGGCTAATGAGTCAACAAGCGGCGCTGCAGCGCTGACTGCTATATTCCCCTGGCTGGCCTACTGCGCGATTGAATTTGGCTATATTCGCCCGCGCGATAGGAAACTCCGTCGGCAGGCGGCTGCTCGACGCCACCGTGAGCTTAAGAAGTTGATCCCTAAGAAACGCGAAGAGAGTCTCCAGGCCATCGAGCTCATGACAGATCAAGTGCAAAGGCGGCAAGCGCGAGAGGAAGCACAAGAAGGTCTGACCATTTGGAAGGCAGAGTATGGTTATATACCGCCAGCAAACAAGAAACCCAAAAATGGGTTCACGGAGCCTCGGGTAATTGATGTCACTATCCCTGTGGCTGCGCTAGTCAACCGGGGTCAGTTGGTGATTCCCGGGAAAACCATCAAGGTAGGTCAAGCGATAGGCCTTTTATTCGTCAATATTTTTAGGAGCAAAATGCTAACTTGGATACATTTAGTTCCAAATTTTGGGATTCCATGACCCTGCGCCATTGCTGCCCAAACGATTGAAGATCTGGTATAGATTCCAGGGGCGCGATCATTTCGTCGAGGCAGGCGATAAAGAGGATATCGCATGCCCCATGCGTACACACTTTATATCCGATGAGTAAATCTAGACTCATAAAAGGCTGAAAGACCTTCGTTGCCATGTAATTATAACATCTAGTCGTTTATTAGCGACCTACTATTTCAAAACTCCATTCTGATGGTTTTATCCTCTCCTGTGTCTCTAGATATGGATAGTTGTTTGTTTCAGCTACTGTGAATACAAGCATTTTGAAAGTTGAAGACTTTCTCTGTAATCATTTTAATCACACGTATTATTCTTTTTCAAGGTTGTGAAATGAGCCTGTTGTTCAACGTCAGAGAGTCTTGGCATGATAAGATACGGAAGTCCATAGAAACCAACCGCGCATTTTGTCCAGAAAAGCCAAATGAAGCGTCACTCCATGGTCTCTTCTCATCAACCACGAGTGCACAGCTCTTGAGTTGCTCACTCTTGAAATGTCGACCTCTATTGCTTCAGGACTTTTCAAGTCCCTCCCCAAACCAAAATACACTGGCGAGGAGGAGGAGTTGCCACAGCATGCGCAACCCCGTGGTCCGCGCGTGGTGGGCGCCGACCAGATTGATGAAACACAGGTTGTGCTACGGGTAAGTTGCAGATTGTTCTATTGATATGCTAGCAGAAAAACTAATTGATTTTGGTTCCTACTTCCAGAGAACTGGACCCCCGCCCTACGGAAACCGTGCAGGATGGCGACCTCGCGCCCCCGAAGATTTCGGTGACGGAGGCGCGTTCCCCGAGATCCTAGTTGCCCAATACCCCCTCGACATGGGCCGAAAGGGAAATTCGTCCAAGTCAAATGCGCTTGCTCTTCAGGTCGATGCCGAAGGCAAGGTCAAATACGACGCGATCGCCCGCCGCGGACACGCCGACAACCGCACCGTCCATGCCTCATTCAAAGATTTGATCCCACTCCGACAGCGGGTGGATATGGGAGAGATTTCCCTGGATAAGCCGTCCGAGGAGGAGATCCAGGCTCAGATGGAGAAGACAAAGGCCGCGCTTGCAACCTTGGTCGAAGGAGCTTCGTCGGCGCAGAAACCGAAGAACGTTAAGGGCGGACAAAGAGCAGAGCCAACTTTCGTTCGATACACCCCGGCCAACCAGATGGGCAACACTGGCCGCCAGAATGATCGCATTATGAAGATTGTCGAGAGGCAGCTGGATCCCATGGAGCCGCCCAAGTTTAAGCACAAGAAGATTCCCCGTGGCCCGCCCTCCCCACCACCTCCTGTTATGCACTCGCCCCCCAGGAAGCTCACTGCAGAGGACCAAGAAGCTTGGAAGATTCCCCCACCTGTGTCGAACTGGAAGAACCCAAAGGGTTACACCGTGCCTTTGGACAAGCGTTTGGCTGCAGATGGTCGCGGACTGCAAGATGTTTCAATTAACGACAAATTCGCCCAGTTCGCGGAGGCTTTGTTCACGGCGGATCGACATGCGCGTGAAGAGGTACAGCTCCGAGCTCAGATGCAGCAGAAGTTGGCAGAGAAGGAGAAGGCACAGAAGGAGGAGCATCTTCGGATGTTGGCACAGAAGGCTCGTGAGGACCGCGCTGGCCCCAGCGCTCGCGTGTCACGGGCCCGTTCCCGGAGTGCTAGCCGCAGTGTGTCTGTGGTTTCCTCCCGGTCTGCCACCCCTAGCGATGAGGACGAAGCCGCCCGAGATCGCGCGGAGCAGCGCCGCGAGCGACGACGCGAAGATGAACGAAAGCTGCGCCAGTCTCGCATGGGCACAGAGCGCCGTATTCAAACCATGGCCCGCGAACAGAACCGTGATATCTCCGAGAAGGTCGCGCTTGGTCTCGCCAAGCCTACACAGAGCTCTGAATCTATGTGGGATTCGCGTTTGTTCAACCAGACCAGCGGCATGCAATCTGGTTTCAACGAAGATAACCCTTACGACAAGCCACTGTTCGCCGCGCAGGACGCCATCAACAGCATTTATCGTCCACGTGCCCAGGCCGATGCCGATGACGAAGATGCAGGCGAAGGCGAGATGAGCAAGCTTGAAAAGACCAAAAGATTCGAGGTCCTGGGTCGCGCCAAGGAGGGATTCCGCGGCGCTGCTGAAGCTGAGGTAAGCTTCTGTCTAATTTATATTTTTTTTCATCGCTAATAAGTTGTTCTATAGGAGCGCCAAGGTCCTGTTCAATTCGAGAAGGACACCGCTGATCCATTTGGCATTGACAACATGATTGCCGATGTCACTGCGGGCCAGAAGCGTTATGGAATTCAGGAAGTTGAAGATGATGACCGCAAGTCGAAACGCCCGAGGGTCGACGACGAATAAATCCGCTTTTTTTAATCTCTCTTCCATATGTGTGTCTCTATGTTCTCTCGTGATCTTTGCACGGGCATCGGAAAAATATCCTTCAATGCATTGCGGGCGTTTCTGGCAGTGTGATTCCTACCACTATCTTCACAAAGGGAAATCGAAATCGAACCGAGTCAATTGGGCTTGCTTACCATTTCATCTACAGCTACCAATAAAAACCATGTTGATCTACGTCTACAAATTAACAGTAGTTTGTTCTTTTTCTAATATGTACAGGATTGAGACAGCTTTACACAAACGCATGACCGTGCTGGCCTGGCTGCCTTAGGTCTCCTTGATAGACAGCACTCCTGTCCTCCGTCTAACACTAGATATGATTCTTGGCTAAGGTTTGTTTCGTTGCATTGATAATAGAGATATCCGAAAGTAGTAAATTCATTCAAGTTGGATCAATATTCAATTTCAAAAACTGATTGTCTTGAAGCAGACTACATCGACATCTCTACACTCAGTTCTTTACCTCCTTCTGATTGGGACTTAGCACACTCTCCAGCCACTTGTAAGCCACAGGCAAACTGTCAGGGTATCCCATGTGCACCCGGTTCTCGAAGAACCGACCTTCCTTAAAACCGCCATGGTTGAAAGTCACCATCGAGTCTTCAATCGGGACAACACCGTCGTCCACGCCCTTGAAACAATCAGCTTTATTTTCTTTCCTCGACACAGCCGGACAGTAATACATACGTTGAGCAGAAGCAATCGGCAGTTATCCTGGTCAAGGATACCAGTCTCCACAAGCGAGAACTTCTTCTGGGAGTTCTTCACAAAATCCTCAACATCGGCATAGCCATACTTCTCCGCCATAGCGGAAGTAAGCCTGCATCACAATTAATACTCCACACAAATTAAAAACCCGGTCAAAACTCACTCGAACGGATACTCATGATCATTCGCCTTAGCCAACCACTCTGGACTGAACACAAAGTGCGATCCAGGTCCATGAGCCACAGATCCCGCAAGACGCTCACGATGCGTGCAAGCCGCGCGAATAGCATAAAAGCCACCCGCACTAAGACCCCAAGCCGCGACCCGCGACATGTCAAACTCCGGCCGGCGATCCATGTAATCAAGCACACTGGACCAGAGCCTATCAGGCGATTCAGGGTCCGCTGGATCCGCAGGCGAGTCCGCAGTACCGGGAATCTCTACGACAACAGTTGCCCAGCCACGATTGGTGATCTCATGGGTGCGCTGGCTGTTATCGGGCCTGTAACCGTCAAGACCAGTCATGAGCAGCACGACAGGGACGCGGTTGGCGGCGCTCGCTTCATCAGGCAGTCGGATGTACAGTGGGATTTCGGGGCCGTCGCGGCCGGCGCGGTGCGTGTGTGGAATCACTTCCTCGGTGATGATGGGCTTCCATAGCGAGGCAGCTTTCAGGTAGACCTGCTTCTGGCGCTCGAAGGCGGCGCGCTTGATGGATGTCCCTGGGCGTGTCGAGGGGCTTACGTAGGGGAAGCGTGAGATGCGGAGGATGACTGCTGCGCGGCGGTAGAGGTCGGCGGCGCGGTCGAGTTGGCCGTTGTTCAGGGCTGCCGCGGCTTCCTTTTCGAGAGCTGTTGCTGTTGGGAGGAAGGCTTCAGTGTACGCGTCTGCGTTTGCGTCGTTGATGTTTTCCTGTTGTTGTTAGTCGAGGGATGGCTGAGATGTATCGTGTTTAGGATACTTACAGCGATCAACTTTTGGAAAATGGGCTCGAAGTCTTCGAGGGATCCATCGTGGAATGGGTAAATAGATTTCGAGGCCTAGGCAATCATCTACGTTAGGTTTCTGGAGCTGATTGTTGGCAAGAGACGTACGCAGAATTTCCACTTTGACTCCCACAGGACCTTGATAGACCCCTGGTGAGGGTAGACAGTGTTGAACTTGTCTCCGAGAATCCAAGGTACCATATTGAGAGGAATATAGATAAGGTAGATTGACGTTTGATATTGTCTAACAAGGATTCAATTCCTTTATTGAACTACAGTTCGAGACGTTGCGTTCTTTTAATTAACTTGTTACCACCTGTATTCACTGGTAGCATCTATTACGAGAGAAAATCCAAGACATCATGATGTCCTTGAGATGAAAACAGTATGTGGCTGTTGCCACATGCCCAAGGTGACGCCTGATTGGCATACATCTGCCGATGGTGATCTTGGCAGGGCATCCGGTTGCTTCGATGATTTCCGGATGCGGGGGGTAACAGCAAGGTGGGGGAGAAAAGGGACGTACATTTATTTCCAAGTGTCTCACTCCTCGATTACGCTATAGGTTCTCTCCTGAAGTTGGTTCCCGGCTCCCCGGCTTCTCGGCTTCATCGTTATCTAGCCCTAAGTATGTACCTTATTGAAAAAGGTCCGAAAGGAAATTTTGTACTCAAATGGTAGAATGTTGTTAATGAAGTGCCCTTCATTCTGATTACATGGAAAATAACATAAAAACTAAAATATATATTTAACCGAGGACAACACATGATGCAAATGGTAATCGGCCCTGATCCTGCACATCAATGGTCTCAAAACACAAAACAAACATCCAATATCAATTCAATTAGATGTTAGCTCCACCGTTACAAGGCAAAATTTGACCTTCAAAAGAATTAGTGATATTCCTAGGCTTACATTCAACATTCCGGTACTCACCGTTGATCCATTCTCCAGCAGGACTGGCCAAGAATGCCACAATGCGGCCAATATCCGCAGGCACACCACAGCGCCCAAGGGGGCTACCATTAGCAAGTGCCTGCTCGATCTCCTCAATAGAAGAGTTCTGGTCACAGCCAGGCGCATAGCGCCATGCGTTAGTTAACCACATATCACTCTTAACACCAGCAGGAGCAATCGCATTAACAGTAGCCCTCTTCTTGCCAAAGTCTGCAGCAAAGCAACGAGTGAAACCCTCAACCGCGCTCTTGCTACCCGCATACAGCGAGTGGCCGGGAACACCCAGGCCCGCTGCAATAGACGACATCAGTACCACACGTCCGCCGGGCTGGATGTGATCGTAGGCGTTCTTCGCGACGAAGAACTGCGCTCTAGTGTTGAGGTCAAATACCGCGTTGAAGTCCTCCAAGGTTGTCTCGGACAATGGCACGAACTTCTCTGTTCCGGCGTTCGACACAACGATGTCCAGCTGCCCGAAGTGCGAGACTACCTGACTGAAGAGCTTCTCGATCTCTTCGACTTTCGTCAGGTTTGCTTGGAATGCGGCACCGTGAACACCCTGCGCTTGGATCTCTTGTACCACGGCATCGGCGGTCTTGGAGCTACTGGCGTAGTTGATTGCCACGCTTGCTCCCTTCTTCGCTAGCTCTAGCGCAATGCCGGCTCCGATACCGCGGCCACCGCCGGTCACTAGGGCGACTTTGCCGGAGAGCTCGAGGTTGGAATTGGGGTTGGGGTTGACCATTTTCGTGGTGATGTTTATGGAGGAGAAGAGTGAAGTATTGTAATAAGGGGGCGTGGAATCGCGCTGGGAAGTCGTAGTCTAATATTGAAACCATTACTTTGAATAGTAACACCGGCAAATGAGTCAAATGGCTTGGCTGAATCATTCATCCCTATTGCAGAGGCTGGGCATTGTTTCCGAATTTGTCGGTGACATATTACAATGGCAGTCATAGAGGCCCGCAATCAACAGTAGGTCCCAAAACGGAGTAGCCGCTTGCGAACAAGGACCAAAAGTATTTTGGCTTTACTTACTACCGCATGCAGAAGGCCATGAGGGCTTGGCTCCACCATCTGTCACATCAGGAGCTCTCGGTTGCATTGTTGTATTCCCGTGCATGGGAAATATGCTGCCCAGATCTGGGGAATGTCGCTTTTAGAGGAGAGAGCTGGAAGAACTTCGGATATACTCGTACGATAATTCTCGTAGCTATAACCCGAGCTCAAACTATCTACAGAAGTCAATAGTTGCTGGATAACCATGTCTCCTGCCGTAACAAACGTCACAGCTGAGCCCAACTTGGACATCAGCTTCCAAGGTCTATTTCAATCCACCCTCATTCACCTGCCTGTACTAACATCTACAGACTACCTCATCCTCTCGAAGGTCGTTTTCGACTGGGCAGACAGCTATGATGCCAAGGTACAGATTCTATAGCATCCAGCGTCAATTCAACAGAAGCACTGACAGTGTTCCAGGACTGGGACCGTCTACGCAGCATCATTGCTCCAACCCTGACCGTCGACTACACCCAGATCGGTCTAAAAAGATGGGACAACATGGCCGCTGACGACTACATGGCCATGGTCACTCATCCTGGCTTCCTGGGTGACAAGACCATTAAGACCCAGCATCTGCTTGGTCAGACATGGTGGGAGAAGGTTTCCGACACCGAAGTTATCGGTCACCACCAGCTTCGTGCGGCGCACCAGGTCTATGAGACTGAGGAATTGGCGACTGTCAAGCTGCGTGGCCACTCTCATGCTACGAATGAGCATTACTATCGCAAGGTCAATGGTGTCTGGAAGTTTGCTGGGTTGAAGCCAAACGTGCGCTGGAATGAGTTGCGCTTTGATGAGGTTTTCAAGGGTCTTGACTAGGTGTCCTTGGGATAATGGGCTTTTGCGGAGAGGAATTGATATAGTTCCATATATTCTCGTAATTCCTTTTATCTACGTTCCATCTTTTGCTAAATTTGTTGTACGGCATGTTATAGCAAGAATTTCATTGGCTATATTTAGCTACTACAGTCGTAATGTCAGAAACAACATCAACACCATCACTTCAGAATTCCATGTCCGAATTCGTCAAGTCATAGTGATCATAGTTATCATCTTTGTTAGCTGGCTGTCAGATACAGCTTCCAATCAGCCAGTGCCGCATTAGTCTCTTCCTCTTCTGCGTAAGTCACCTCCCGTAGTTGCTTGACGACACAATTCACCAGTGCAGTCAGATACTCATCATCCGGATGTTGTCGACAAACCTCACGGAAAATATCAATAAATTTAGGAGATTTGTTATCTTGGCCCTCATGCTGACCAATGGAGTCCACAATAATAGCATCTATGGTGGCATCGAGTATCTTCTCTCTGTCGTCTTTGGTATAGGCGCTGAAGGGACTGCAGCTCATTAGGAACTTAGCAATCTGATCTGCTGTGAATAAACATATCCAGGTAGTCACATTTTGGTCTATAGACTCTGTCAACTTACGTAGATCATGAAACACATGCATTTGAGCATATTGGTGGAGACTTCGTTGAGTAAAATCGTATTTTTCGCCCAGTTAATCAAGTCAAGAACATTTCGGCCTGCAGGCATATAAACCAGTGAGGAAATATCCTCGAAACCATGGTTGACATCCTCACTGCCTGGTCTTTCTGTGTCATCTACTACTGCTGATGGATTGAAGTATCTCACGGGGTCTGGGTCAGTTCTTCAAATGCCGTCGACGAGGAAGCGTCTCCAGAGCCACGTTCATAAGGGATTTCGACATTGGATTTCGCAGACGCCGTCGGGGAGATGATTGATGATTCGACACTTCTTTCGTAAACTGTACCCCGAAAGTCCGTGCATTGAATCTTGCACTGGTAGCGTGACGGTCTATGAGTATAGTCACCCTTGAACCTGCAACACATTCTCCGGAGACATACCCATGTGACACCCATGATGTCGCAAGCAATTTCCTATTGACCTCAACAAATTCTCCCAAGCCTGTTGGTATAAAGTGTCGAGTTGACTTCGGGTTGAGTCTTCGAAACACTCGAATGCGGAATGGGACATTGAGTCCTAGATTGTCATCTTTGGTTGGCGGTCTCTTGCTTCTTGCTTTTGCTTAGTAGATGGAGAGTCCTAGTTGGTAGTCTTCATTGTCGAAACTCGTCGACCTGGTCTTACCACAACAAAACGCCTGTGGAACCATTGTTTTGATTGGAGGAGATGAGAGTAGACCTGACAAGCTAGAGAAATGCGGGGAATGATGGGGTGCAGTCTGGGTAACTTTGATCACTTTGATTCTTTAACCTTATCATAATGTGTTCATTGCTCGCTGTAAACTGTTAGAAGATACACCAGTCAAGTTTGATATGTAGAATAGGCATCCAAGGTACATTTAACCTTCTATCTATATCTTTAAAGATACATCGTGACTTGAAAGAGACAGTGTGTACGTACTGTATGTAGTGCTTGTAGCTGGAGGTGTTGATACAGGTAAATTAGGAAAGAGCACACCATAAACCTACGTTCTTTCCTATTAGGGAATCCTGTCACCGACCCTCGTCACCCTAAGCCATGGCCAGAATATAAATAATCTCCTCTTCACACTTTCTTTTCTTTTTTCTTTTCTCCTCTACAACTCCTCTCTGCTTCTCAGCTCTCACCATGGTCTTCAGTCACCATGGTCTATCATACAAAATTCAAACATGCTTACTTGCTTTGGGAACCTTCCAACATGACCTACAATAATATTTCCTTGTCTCCCCTAGATATTGTAGACACACTGACTTGGTACTAGATATCTTGATGGTGGGACCATCCACGGTGACAAACAATTATCTACTATGGGTCTTGTCATCTGGAACATCTACCATCCACCATGACCAACCATCATCTACCATGACCTGTCATGACAGTTCACTGTGCTTCCACCGTGCCCACCATCACCCTTGACAACTATATTGACCTTTCATCTTGGTCCATCATCCTTTGCGACAACCAACCACAATCATAGACATCCCTTCCCCCTAGTCTAATACATGTTGACCGCTTCCTAGGAACAAACTTGGTCCACCATGACCATTCGTTGTGGTGACCAACCACAATAACAGACATCCCTTCCCCCCAGTCTCATACATGCGGACTGTTTCCTGGGAACAACCTTGGGCCCTGATGCGATGGTGGCACCCTCCAGGGTGATGATCATATACTTTTATCCACTCCACTCCTGGTCTTTACATCTGACCAACGTCTGGCTTAACCAACCACCTGTCTTGACCAGCTATCATGACCAACTTTTCGTCATGACCACCATCAATCATGGGTCTTCCAACACTCATAGCCACTACCCACTGCAACGCCTGTTCATCCTTGAATCCAATGTTGAACATACATCGTGGCTTCTGGAGAAAGTTTTGATGGGGACTACGAGCAACCTACAATAATATTCCTCTATCCCCTCCGAGTCAAGGACACTCTAACTTGTTTCTAGAAACAATCTTGGAACCCTGATACGATGGTGGTACCTACTATCCACGGCGACGATCATCCGCTCTTATCCATTCCACTCTCGGTGTTTACATCTTACCTTCAGCTGGCTTGACCTTCGTCTGGCTTGACCAACCACTGTCCCATCCGCCTGTCTTGACCACTGTCTTGACCTTTGTCTGGCTTAATCATCACCTTCTCTCGTGACCAACATTCTGTCTTTACCGCTACATTTCCACTGTGACCACCATCTATCATGGGCCTTCCAACAATCACGACCACTCTCCACCGACACACCCCATTTATTCTCAAATCTGACGTTGGAAAACCTTATTGGCTTCTGAGGATAGTGCTGATGAGCACTATGAAAAATCTACAATAACATCCCTCTATCCCCCTGAGTCATCGACAATCTAACTTGCTTCTAGCAATAACCTTGGAACCCTGATGCGGTGGTGGTACCTACTATCTATGGCGACGATCATCCACTCACTCTTATCCACTCTCTCTTATCCACTCTCTCTTATCCACTCTCTCTTATCCACTCTCTCTTATCCACTCTCTCTTATCCACTCTCTCTTATCCACTCTCTCTTATCCACTCTCGACCTTTCCAACTTGACCAGCCTCTCGTCTTGACCAACGCCTTCTACCGTGACCACCATCCGTCAGGGTCTTCCAACAAGCATGACCACTTTCCACCGCAACGCCCCGTTTATCCTTAAATCCGATGCCGAATATGCATAATGGCTTCTGGGGACAGTGCTGTTGGAGACTGAGAAATTTACAATATTATTCCTCTTTCCCCTCCGAGCGATGGGCACTCTAACTTGTTTTTAGAGAAAATCCTTGATGGTGGGACAATCCACGGTGACGAATATCCATGGCGACAAATAACAATCCACTCTAGACCTTTCCATTTGAGCATCCACAATAACCATTCTCCACTATGATCTTGGCCATCTTCCTTCAAGGCTGTTCAACAGTCAATCATGACCTTGTCCATCCCTTACGACCACCATTGATCCTAAGTTTCGAGGTTCGACTAGTACAAATCTCTACCGTGCCCACCATCAACAATCCACCATCTACGAAAAGAACAGCCATCCATCAAAAGAACAGCCATCTATCAAAAGAACAACTATTCATCAAAAGAATAGCCATCCATCAAAAGAACAACCATTCATCAAAAGAACAACCATTCATCAAAAGAACAACCATCTATGAAAAGAACAACCATCCATCAAAAGAACAACCAATCTCTGACAAACAATCTCTGACAACCAATCTCTGACAACCAACCCTTGACAACCATATTACGGCCTTCCCTCATAGCCTTTCATCCATATCTGACAACCAGTTCATTGTGAACACTATCTTCTGCGGACCTTATCATCTTGACATCTACTATGAGACTTTCGATCTACTGTGACAACTATGACCACCATCCTCTATGGGACTTTACATCTTGACCATCCACCATGGGTTTCTTCACCTTGACCCTTCCATTGTGACCATTATCCACTACGGATCTTTCCACCTTGATGATCTACCTCGGCCACCATCCACCATGAGACTTTATGTCTACTGTGCCAACTGTGGCCACCATCTATCATGGGTCTTCCTATCTTGACCATCTATCATGATCACCATCAACCACGAGTCTTCTTCCATCTTGACGTCCACTGCGACCACTATCCACCCCGGGTGTTTCCATCTTGACCATTTATCTCGGTCACCATCCAACATGAGACTTTCAATCTACTGTGACAGCTATAATCATCGTTTTACCAGCTATCACAACGGGACAAAGATTTCCATGGCTTTCCTACCAACTCTTCGTCTCTATCTTGTCAACATCAAGATTCACAGTGCAACCTGCAAACAACCCCAGACCTTGGCAAACTTCAAGGTCAAACAAATGTCCAGTACCGAGTACAAACAAACATACAAACAAACATACCACGGTCAAGCCAGCAACTCAAAGTGGCCACACAAAGCTTCTGGGTCAAACATTTTCATCCAGTGATCAAGTCACCTTCACCGAAAAAGTCATTTCGACATCCGCCAATCAAAGGTTCTAATGTCTCATATCATTTCTCCAATCCAAAATTGTCAGGATGGTTTTGTCTGCACGAATTGAAGTTCATATGGTATCAGGGATTAGCTAGAAAAAAAATTACCTCGTTCTATTTTGTTCTATTCTCTCTGTAGATTTTCTCGTGAGATGAGATATCATATCTAGTGATCAAAAGTATTCATTTTCTCTCTCTAATCCACATATTCAATATCTACAGAGCACAGGCCCTTTTGGTTTCATCTGTAAATATCCACTCCGCACTAGTATCAACCCATTAGGTGAATAAATAAACGTGTAATAGTATAGCTCAGTTTTTGACCGACTTCCACTGAACCGAACAGGCTCCCATTGCCACTGACACGTAGAATGCATTCACCAGGCCATTGTTGTATGTTGTTATCACAGCCGGTAGAATATCCTTGGGAATCGAATTCTGCAAGGCTGTAGCCCCAAGGTTGACTATACTGGTCGGGTCCACCTCAGAAATAGCAAGCAAATGCTTTGCAAGCTCATTTGTGAAGATATTTTGTGCCACAGAGATAAATACAGCTCCGCCCAACGTCTGAGAGAACATCACCGTAGCAGTCGCGATGGGTATATCTTCCAGAGGAAGAGAATTCTGGACAGCGATCAAGGCTTGTTGCATTCCAAAACCGACTCCAGCTCCGAAGATAATCTGGTATCCGATCCATTTACTAGGACTTGTTTCGGGCTGGAATGTAGACAGAAGGCCAGCGCCGATTGCCATGAGGATAGATGAGAGGATCATGAAAGGAGTGTAGTACCCGAGTGTGGTGACCAAGATTCCGGCGACGATTGAAAAGATAACCTGGGCTAAAAGGAGAGGGAGATTCATGATACCCGATTCCACTGCGGAGGCGCCTTTTGTTGCTTGAAACCAAATCGGGAGCTTTTTGAATCAATATGATGTGAAATAGAATATCAACAAGGCAAAATAAACTCACGTAATAAACCAAGACAAAAAAGACCCGCCTAAACAAGCCGTGAAGACCGAACTTCCCCATACATCGCGCTGACAGAAGATTCGGGGAGGTAGAGTGGCATTTTCTTGTCTCCAAACCTGCACACCTATGAAAATCATCATAAAGACGGCGAAGAGCACAAGCAATGTAATAATTCTGCCACTGCTCCAAAGGTAAGACGAGCCTCCCCACTGTAAGGCCAACAGTAGGCGGACGATAGATGGGATAAAGAAGAGCGTGCCAATAATGTCAAACTCCCTAATCTGCTTCACAGCACTAAGGGTGGGTTGGGCTTTGGGGGGTGAATGATAGCAGAGCATCACAAAGATGAACGTGAGAGCCCCCAAAGGAAGATTAATGTAGAAACACCATCGCCATGAGACATGATCGGTGAATACACCACCCAACCTATACAGTAGTTAGTATATGCCAACTTGATACCATCAAATGGAACATACAAAGGCCCAGCAACACTAGCAATTCCATACATTCCTCCTACCAATCCTGTATATATTGGTCTCTTCTCAAGTGGCACAGTATGCGAAATAATTAGAATTGCACCAGAAAATAACCCCGCCCCTCCAATTCCTGCAACTGCTCGGCCAAGGATGAGACCTAGCGAGTTGGGCGTGATGCCACAAATGAGAGATCCGAGTTCAAACATGGCCAGCGCAGATAGAAATACCCATTTGACTGGGTAGAATGTGTAGAGTTTTCCGAAAACAAGTTGCATAGAACAGGTCGCGAGGAGGTATGCACTTCCATACCATCCTACATCGTTGAGGGCGTGGAATTGTTCCGTGATGTGAGGGATAGCTGTAGCGATGATTGTATTATCCTAATTTGTTAGTACATAGCCGTGAATTGAAGCAGATAGAAGGGTCATTCACCAATGCCATGCAGAATACGGCCAAACAAAGGGCCAAGATAACGAAAGTCAGCTTGGTAGCGGAGGGGTGCTTTTCTTGGTTGTTCTCCATGATTCTTCTTCTACTATAATTTGAGAGCGATTCGACTTCCAATCGAGATTTAATCGGAGTGAATTGAGAAGAACAAATACTCTATTTAGTCCATCACTCATTTATAGATTTCTAGATAGCCTACACCCCCTTTGGGGCTGTAGGGCATCTCGGATCACTGTCGCACCCGAAATCCGAGAGATAATAAAAATTCCCAAAACGCCCGAGTCATGTGGATAGATCAACGTAGGATTCCTTATCTAGAGTATATGCATTTGAGACTTGATCGATTCCCTATATTGTTCAAGTGAAGTCCAGCGTAAGTTGTATCCTCTAAAACTACTGGTCTTCCAATGCTGGTATATAGTACCTAAGACGACTATCGTGTATTTACATGTGCTTTCCAATGCCCATCCAGGCAGCTTCTCAATTTTCTCGGATATTCTCTTGTATTTGGTCTGGAAGATGCGTATATTATCCACATAATACCTACATGGGTATCAAATCGAGGTATATCTACATGTAGCCCGGTTTGTATTCAATGATAAACATAACACAAGACTGCTTCGGATGAATTAGGAGAACGACTATCAAGCAGTATGTTGTTATAAATTCTTAGTCGTTCGAACTAACACACTGTAGTGTGACCTATGCTATGCAAGGAAGGTGCTTCATTCCCTGCTTTGCTCCCATAAAAGAGCATATATAATATATACTGACTCTTCAAGGTCAAATGCGACCGTGAATTAAGGTGCAAAAATTGTTCCACTGCGCAGGTAGAATGTCGCAGGACTCGCCTTCAAAGAACATCCTATGCTCGACTATCACGGTATGCTGTTTTTCAGCAAGAGAGAACTAGTCTAATACCACTGCAAGGATTGATGCTCTCAAAGAACGCCTAGAGAGACTAGAGAAGTCTCCCCACTATTCCGAAGAGTAGGTAGTCCATACCATTTTTGACGGGCTGCGATTAACAGATAGCAGAGAGTCAGGACCAAGCCCCGAACATACTGCTATAAGAGTGGGGGACCTTGGAGCAAAAGGGCCCAAGCAAAATGATTGCGCTTCCAAATCAATAGGAGAGACTTCTGTGGGAGCTACACCAGATGAGTCCGCTCACCGCGCCACAGAGGCACATCGGCTTATTGAACAAGAGCTCGAACAGAGAGGCCATGTCACCCAGGACAGGATAGGAGTGCTTCACACAGCCTTGGAACTCGTTAAACAAATGTCTTGTCCGGCCTCGTCTTCCTCGCATCTCGATTTGGACGATGCGGTCACTGAAGAAGCCATTGGATCAGAGTCATCGCCTGCAGAACTACTGTACATGATGCTGCCTGGTACATCCCACTCATTGGTATACATAAATGGTAATGACTAAGATTATTTGGACAGGAATGACCGGAAATGAGGGCGATTATAAGCACCTTCATTGGCCAGATCATATCTCGAGTCCGACTTTGAAGAAAATGATCATTTCCTTGGTGGAGAATGAGGGAGACGAACATTGTCGATTGCATTATCGTGTATGTGTTTACACAAAAGCCTTTTTCTGCGCCCTCAAATGGTCCCAGGTCTACCGTAGCCCCACGGTCCTTCAACGATTGGAAAAGTCACAGCGGCAATACAAGGCGACCACACTGGCCGCACTATGTCGTATTCATTTTCTCTCGCCTCCCAGCCTTTCACTTGTGCAAGCTCTGCTCTCTGGGGTAAGTATATCAATTATTGACCCGAAAATGGGAACAAAGACACTGATTTCACAGGCAATGCTAATGCAATATATTGGAAACGTGTCCCGAAGCTGGTCGTTAACGGCTTTCGCAGCTCGCATACTCGTGTCTCTTAACGGCCACACCGTGGAAGCCCGAAGACTACTGCCAACAGAACTGGTCGAAGATTTTGATTTGTGTCTTTATTGGTGCTACTATCTTGACAAGGTTCTGAGCGCTCTTTTCGCACGACAGCCCTCACTTCCTAAGTTGTATTTTGACCCAGTCTCATTAATTCCCCTGAATTCTTCAAATCCACTTCAGAAGACTGTGAAGATAATGGTTGAGATGGCGAAGGTTCAAGAGGGTATACTGGATATGCAACTCAGCAGAGCGAAGGGAGTTGCGCATATATCCCAGGTTGGTTCTCTCATTCAGACTGCCAATTATCTATTTGAAAATATCAAAGAAGTAAGTTTTGAGCATTTTCCAGCTTAATATGTTAGTCAACTAACTAACCACAAAGACTCGATTGTCTGTGCCTGAAGAACTTCAGAACGAATTTGATGCCGCAGAGTTCGGCTATTTCGCTATGATGACTAGTATTCTGAAATACAGTCAACCTGGATGCACATCATTTTCTAATAACGAGTGCCTTGATTTTGCGCGGAAAGCACTGAAAAGCTTGAACTCCATGTTACACCCCGTTGGCTTGAATCTAGACACAGCAGAGCCATGTCCTTCATTCCTATCCTGGTATGTGTCACCATGAAATGTTGGAATTTCTCTGGACTAAATGCAGTAGGACGGTGTTATTGTACCCACTGACTCCTTTCTTTGTGCTTTTCTGCAACGTCGTATCATCATCTCATGATGGGGACTTTGTCTTGATGCAAGATGTCACGAAAGGTCTATCTCGGTTTGTTCACGCAAACAAGTGGATCCATAAAGTCCATAGTCTTTTCAACATGTTCCTCGGTTTATGTGGTCCGTTAATGCAACATATCAGCTCGGAGGAGTTACGCGACATCGGCCACGAAGGGTCCTCGGCTGATGATAGATTACCGTCGCAACCCCTGGAAACCACAGATGAAAGTCTGATGTGGGACTTATTCACTGCCCAGCCTTCGTTGGAATGGTTTGATCTGGACCTTTGATTTGATTGTTTGATTTTACTCTAGGGTGCACACAGTCAAATATATGCTAGAGGATGAAGTAGCTCGAATCCGATGACAAGAAGCATCGCGGTGCGTGAAGTATTCCGAAAAGAAAGAGTGCAATTGTCTGGCAATAGTTAAACTCCTTTACATCTCCAAACAAGACCATGGCTAGCTATGTATCTATGCGGGCCCTTAGACGATACTAAAAGTCACAGGGGGCAAGTTTCGAAGAAAGCCTTGCAGCTCCCCTAAATGAAACGTGTTTTAGGGGAGCAGTGATGAGACAAATCAAGAGAACTGCGGCTGTACTTAGACTATGAGCATGATCTTAATAGTTCTTTTATACATGACCATTGCACTTATTAATTCTCAGCAAAAGGAAGAAGGTAGGGAGGAGTCTAGAGTCCAGTGCTTGATCAAAAATCATGCTAGTAGGTAGGCAAACTGGTATAACTAGAATTAGTGTGCCAATTCTCTGAAATTTATTCCTGGACAGATTTTCCCGTCTCAATCTCCAACAAAGCCAACAGAAATCCCCTTATATGAAGAGCTAAATAAAAGCAACATAGCAAAACATCAGCATATCAAGACCCAGTTATTCAATCATCACAACCTCCACAATCTCCACAATCGTACGAAACATCATAGTCCCCTCCACCGCAGTCATAGCTGCCATAGTCATGAGAAGAGACCCCGGAATAATAACACCCGTGGTCCTCGGTATCCAAGTAGCTCTGAATCGTACCTTCTTCGTCGTTGGAAGTAATCTGGGTCCCAAAGCGAGCCGAATATGCGTCAGTGTCATCATCTTGAGCTGTCTCATCACCGAGCGTAGGCGAAGATGGAAGAGGCTGATCTTTGTCGCTATCTTGGTCTGGGTCTTGGTCTTGTCCATTAGAATTAGAATCACTAGACCCAGTCTCAACAACAGTAGTCGAAGACGGCCCATCCTTGACGAAAACCGTTGTCCCAGTTCCCCAGTCAGGTCCACAACCAGATCCTAAATGAGATCCCCAGCCGGAGCCATATCCCATCCCAGATCCGTAGCCGTAACTTGAGCTAGCTTGATTTCCCACACCAGATCCCGGCGTAGATTTCAGAGCAGATCTTGATCCTGACACGGACCGCGATCCAGATCCAGATCCAGATCCAGATCCCGACATTCTATGTTTCAAGGCATTCTCGATCTGCTTGAGTGGTTTCGTAATACTGGATCGCCAATGACGGGTGCTTCCCGTACTCGGTTCGTAGAGGTTGAGATCGAAGACTCGGTTGTGTTTGGTGCATATGAAGGATTTGCATCTTTTGACATGATTAGTACATGTGATGATATGATAAGGCGATAAATGGATGTCCAGGTTTGGGTTTTTGTAGACAACTCACTCATTAATCTTCACGAAATTGGCATCCAGAACATCGTCTTCAGAAATTTCTTCGAAATTCCCGTGCTTGTCACCGGCGACAAAGTACCGGACAGAGTCAACGGAGCCGCTGTTCACTTGCGACACGAGCTGGACGCATAGGCTTGCTTCGGAAGGATTGGTGGATCCTGTTAGGTTTCCGATCGTAGTCAGGGCCCATTTGGTGAACTCCGTAAAGGTTTGCTCGTGTTCAGGATTTGGGAGTTTGGTTGGTTGGATTGTGGTGCAGCAGAATAGATTGGACATTTTGACGGTTTGCTCTGAGAAAATTTTTGTAGGGTAGGTATGGGGAGTTTATTTCGTTGCGAGAATTGTGTGTCTGTGTAGGCTGTGAGGTCGTCAGGATGTGATAATTAGACTCCTACTCGATTAGGAAACGGAGCTGTTATTCCCAGGTACATGTTCACAGGTACCTGGTGTACCAGGGCTGACTTTGCGGTTATTATCAGTAAAGAATGAGCTATGCCGTTTTCTATTTTGCTTCCAAGGTTGAAATGTTGAGTTCAATATATTTGTCAGACTATATGGCATCCGTGGTAGTTGAAGACATCAGACATCTATGTTATATACGTCATTCATATACACGAGAGAGAGAAAAGGAGCCAAAAAAGCTGTCTTTGAATTAATTAGTATTGCCAACGGTTTTGATGTCAGAGACATGCGAATTAAAAAGAACTGATATACAACAACCTCCACCAGAGTGCAATATTAGACACCTGTATTACTACCAATCCTGGAGGATATCATCAGAACTAGAATATATTAGCTGATGCATGCATTTGAGTTCATTGCGAGTGTACACACCCAGAGTTTTGGGTACTATGGGTATTCTGGTTCTGCCACGGGGCCTTGGTCGACTCCTGGTGAACAGGAACGTAGTTATCTTGCGGTTGGTTTGGACTGTCCGCGCGGAAGTGTGTCTTGTCCGTGAGAGGGACTGGCAAGTTATCCTTGATTTTCTCAATCGCAGCTTTCAGGGGGCTGTAGTTGGGGCTAGGTACCGCTGTCCCGTGGGGGTGATGAGAGGGTGAGTATGAGGGCTGTGAAGCCTGAGGAGCCTGGTCGTACGTCGGTGCTTGCGCCGATGTGTGAGCCGGAGGTGCGCCAGCATGGATATTGGCACCCTTTTTGATATACAGAGCGCCGTGGTTATCCCCAGAAACCTTAGTATTGGCTCCAGTCATGTCAAGACCGCTGTTGCCAGCAGCATTACCGCTGGTGCGTTTAGGGTATGCATTGCAGGTATCATAATGGCTCTGCGGGGGAGCGTGCAGGGTGTTCGGGAAGGTCTCAGGGGCCTCGATAATGGTGGCCATTAGACCAGACTCGACGTGCCATTCAATGTGACAGTGGAACATCCAGACACCAGGATTATCGGCACGGAAACGGATGACAACGTGGCCGTGGTTCTGGACCATGATAGTGTCGCGTCTGATCGGAGTCGTAGAGACGTTGGCGGATAATCCAGTGTAGTAGCCACCATCAACTGGTGTACGCTGCAGGACCTGGAACTGGTGCCCGTGCAAGTGCCATGGGTGCAGGTTGTTGTGGTGATTGTTGATCACAATTTCGACAACTTCGCCATACTTCACAACGAAGGGGTTCACCTGGCCGTACACTGCGGGGTCGGAGGAGAATTCGGGACCGACTGTGTTGGCTGTGTATAGGGATGGAACCTCCGGGGCAATGTAGGTCTTGCCGTTGACAGTGAAGCGAGGGAGACCGTCGACCAGCGCGGTGTTGGTGTCTAGGATGATCTGGTGGTTCACGGGCTGGAGCAGAGGCTCGTGGTCTGCTGGTACCAGATTGACATCATCTACAAAGTCGGTGTTGAAGTCGATATGATGGAAGACGGGGGGCTCGGGCAAGGGCTTGTCCTCGTCATACACCAGCCAGGCAGTAGCATTGGGGTTGAAGTTTTCCGGGATAGTGCGATTTTCAAAGATAAACATCATGTTGATATCCATAGTATCCCAGATAGCAAAGTTCCTGCTTGTGTCGGACTTGGTTTTGATCAAGACACTCATCCGCTGGCCAGTTGCAACACGCAGGAACTTGTCTCCAGCAGGATAGGGCTCGGTATAGACACCGTCGACTTCCACGACTGTCATCTCGTGGCCATCAAACACCCAGAAGTGGCCGGGCCAGTTTCCAACACAGATGATGTGAACCAGGTATGTCTTGTTAGGCAGAACCTTGATTTTGGTGTTGGTTGAGTCATTGATCAATGCCGAGTCAGGCAGGGGCTCAGCGCCATGGGCTGCTAAACCGGCCTCGGACAGATAGGTATTGAGCAGCTCCGGCATTTGCTTGTGGTACCAGTCGCTCAGTGTGATGGTGAACTCGTCGTCATAGTGGAAAGGAGGGTTAGGATCGTGGACAATCAGAGCACCACGGAATCCATCGGGGTACTGGCCCATGTCATGCGAGTGATACCAGTACGTTCCAGTTTGATTAACCTATACTGCAATTAGAAGGTATTCATATCTTCCTGCACTGGGGATTACCTACATCAAAGTGATATTGCATGTGGGAACCGGGGGCAATTGGGCACTGAGTGACCCCAACTGCGCCATCCATGACAGCACTGCCAAACTGGCGCATGCCGTGCCAGTGGATACCTGTGGACTCATTTCCAAGACCGTTATAGACATCGACGATCAGTTGATCGCCCACATTCACATCAATCTGCGGGCAGGGCCATTGGCCATTGATACCAATGACCGGGCGCGCAAAGCCATCGGGGGATGCATTAACCCAAGTGACGTTCCAGTTAAGGTAGACGTCCTTTGCTGCAGCTAGACCAACCCAAGTGGCCAGCGCAAAGAAACTAAACTTAGCCATTGTGGCAGTTTGTTAAGAGAGCGAAAAACGATTGACGCCCGAAGCAGTAGGATAGTAGAATCCTCAAACGAGTGTATACGAGGCCGAATCAACTAGAAAGCAAAAAAACCAATATAAACGAACGTGGTTGTCGAATCGGCGCTGGTGGGCCGCTGTGTTGGATGTCGAGGGGAAGAAACCCGGAAACTGGGCCTCTTTAACCATGGCGATACAAAAACAAAGATGATCCTGTCGATCTGCAGGGGCCTGAGTATGTTCAGATCGGATCCCGTTTTCATGCCCACTAGACTGGTATCGGCCGTGCCTTCATTCAAGGACGTTCAACTGAGATAATCGTGCACATAGTAGAGCAGCAGTACTTGTTTCCGTCAAAGAATGCCCCAAGTGGGTTTCGAAGGGCGGAATGTTGATAATTCACCTAGATGGGGTGATTGTTCCTGGACTGCGCAAGGGGGACATACTTGAGTCGGCAGGCTTACAAAGTAGTTTAGAGTTCAGAGTAAACAGGATATTTGAACTTCATTTCTACATACTGTTTGGACAAAGATATTATATGGGAGTACAACATAGATGAACATCTTTGTTAGGCCTAATAGGTTGTATGATGATCGACAGCCCTAAGTCCAACTTCCCGGTACAATCGTACATCATATAAATATAACATGTATTGAATATAAAAGTCAACAAAGCCAACAACATCATATACATTAGCACTACTAGCACTTTTTGATTTCATATGAAAATTTCCGGTCCCTGATGCAACCCGATAAGGATCACGGATGTTCCCAGGGCGTGTGACGTTGCACTGAAATTTCTTTCGATGCCCTCTGCTACAGCGGCAAAGGAAAAAAAAAATTCCCTATAGCTTTGCAGATGAGAGGCCAATGCATTCCCACAGACTGTTATCTTGCAGACGCGTCGACGTAGTCGACCTCGGAAATAACAAGCCAATTAACCCCCCGGGAAAGCGGGGGATTTACAGTCACCTGAAGAGCTCTCGAGGGTTTTCTCCAGGGTTACCAGGACTAGAATCAGACAAATTAGACAAATCAGATCCCTGTACGTCAGCATGGATATTGCTTAGGCCTCCCGTGTATATATATAAAAGTCCAATAGAGCTGCAGGACTGATCGATGATCATGGTATCTGATAGGAGAACAGAGCTCGGAAAACCTCGGCCTGAAAAGAAGAGCTAAGGGCGTCTCCCCACAAAAGCCCAGGAACAAGGTGCATGTCCGTGCGAGCTAATTAAAGCGCTAAGAACATGTTCTGATAAGCTGTGGAGTAAACAGAGATTTAGTCAATTTGGTGAAAAGAAAAGAAGATAAGTGGGAGAAAAAAATTGGGGGGGGGAAAGGGAAGTTTGAAGAAAAAGAGAGGGGTACATGAGAAAGAGACTGGTCGACTTCTTCACTTCTTTTTTTTTTCCCCTTTAGAGAATATTTTATACGCATCTCATATTCCAAATCTCTACTACCACTGACGCAATACCTTGATGGCGCTTCTTCTCTCCAAATAGCATCATTCAGCATGGCGTAATAACTCTTGGACCTTCATCCAAAACCTCACATCTTCTCTCTTTCTTCCAAGCCTATAACCCATGATGGATCAGTCAATGGCTCTTATTGATGCACAAGTGCACTTCCTAGTGAGTCATACATCCCATCTGTCTACAATACTCACTAACCAAATGCTAGGAGGAACGTGTTGTACTGGTACATATCCCATTGGAACTGTACCCTTACTTCTTGAAGTCTGTTCTAAGACTCATCTTCGATGAAACTCCCCCGCTGGAAGATGAGATAGACGAAGATGCTGCATTTCGTGATTTCGAACCCGTCTCTGAGCATGGCTCGGAGTACAAACCACCTGCGTTCATGAATGTCTCCATCACTCCAGTCGAAGTCTCTGTCATGTGTCCTAGACGCCTGATTGACAAATATTTTGTCCCCGTCATGGACCAACTTGACAAGTTGGATGTCTCACTCCGATCCCGTCTGGTCGTGAGCGAGAATGACTACATCGCCATGCAAGTTCTCGGTCAGGGCCTCGAGGCCGGCAAGCGAGTCTTGGAATTAACCAGTCCACTTGCCCTAGCAGGCATGTATGTGAAACCCCAACACCTTCTCTATGTATCCAAAAAGCATACCCAAGCTAACATCCCCAAAGCTCCATCTTCTTCATCTCAACCTACTTCTCCGACTACATCGTAGTCCCCCAAAAAAGCAAAGCAAACGTAATGTCTGCGCTAGAAAAAAGAGGCTTTCAATTCGACAACGCCTCAGCTGCCTTCATCAACAACCCACTCAGCCCAACAACTGAAAGAAGACTCAGCGACCTCATCCCACCTGGAACACCCCCACCCTCAACTCTAGGCGAGCTCCAAACCCGCACCTTCAACAACCTCCGCAAACACAAAATCACGCCCTCCGTAGACCACTCCCTACGTCTAGTCCAGTGCGCAGCCCACCATGAATACCACTCCCAAGAATCCTCAATGTGCATCCTCCGCGAAGCCCTAACAACAGTCCTACTCGTTGACGAACCTCGCTTCTTATCCCTAACCCTCGCATCCCTCGACCCAGCAGCCTCCCTCCTCATAGAGAAGCGTCTCCTGCCCCGCTTCGCCCGCCAATCAACTTCTTCAACAGGAACACGCTCCTACGAAGACGGCTCCGGTCTCCTCCTAGGCTCAAAGGAAGATCATCTCGTCCCAATCACCCTCGACCTCCGCGACCTCCCTCTCGAGGCATCAGGCATCGTCTGCGGCGTCGCAGGCCGCCTCGCGAATGCAGCTAACGCCCCACTCTCGCCGATACTCAGCGGAGAGACAAGCGCTGTCGGAAGTGGTGCGAGCAGCGTAGTCGGCTCCGTGCCGAAACTGTTCGATTCTTTCGGTACTCGTCTCGCGGCTCTATCTCTTAATAAAACATCTATATCGAGCTCTGCGCCGACTCATGGATTGCAACCCTTGCACTCGACACATCACCTCCAGCCTGATATGGATGTCGCCGATGCGGTCGAGATTAGTTTCTTGAGTACGGCGCGTGCGGGAACAATTATTGTGGGCGAGCATGAGCTTAGGAGGGCTATCGATGCCCTCGAGGAGGAGAAAATGCAGTCGCCTAAACTTGGGGGTATGAATTTGGAGTCTGTGACTCCGCCTGATAGTCCGTAGTGGGGGTTGAGGTGTGTGGGTTTGTGGCTTGGGGGTTATGCGTGGGGTGACATGACTTATGTTTTGATGTGTTTATGTGTTGATGTGGCGTGTTGAGTGCGAAAAAGTTTTTGTTTTCGGTAGGCTTGTTTTGATATTTTGATATTTTGTATGAATAATTTGCATTATGGGTCTTGAGTTGGCTGTCTTGTTCGCTTTTGCTGTTAAATAATTCCATCTACTGTTGACATCTACCTTCGTCTAAATTCGATCTTTTGCTTCAATTATCTATTAGTATGACATATTACCTGTCAATTTGAAGATTATATAAGAGTTTTGTTGTTTTTATTCTTAATGCAAATACAGAGTAGTTGTTCAAAAAATGTCAACAAGTCCGCCACTATATATATTTGGAGTAGCACCACCATTCACGCATTCAATCTAACATCTTATGAGGGGGAAAAAAAAAAACAAAAAACAAAAGATCGAAAACAACAGAAATAAAGATTGTTATGTTATTAGTTTCATATCTCATTATTGATATAACGGTCCTAGTTATATATGGTACATAATAGACCCCAAAGCTGATCCAATCCCTAGTAAATACACCTCTATTATAGACTGGCTGTCTCCAGGGGGGGGGGGGGGGGGGTGGGGGGATTTCAACCAAAATGGTGATATCCGCTGGTCTGCAAGATGCACCTATTCTCGCCCCTAGACTTGCTTAAAATGGCTGCATTGTCCATATTGCAAGTGAGATATGTCTGTCGTCAAGAGAATCGAAGTCTCACGTCGAACGGAAATTGTTAGAGGATCGAAAGGCCACCACAGACACCACTAGTCTATACAGGATTCCGTCTCCTATCCTTGTTCTGATAGCGGTGCCACAATATAGCGTATAGTAGTTTTAAGAACCACGATATTGGACGTCAACATGAGGGGAGGAATTCGCCCCGTCATGATAGCCTTGTCTCAGACACCTGGAACAAAGGACCCAATTTCATCCGTAGACTCTGACGGTACCTTGAAAACAACAGTCAGCACAAATATCCAAAATCTAGCCTTCAAAACAACACAGTCCTTACCATCAGAGCACCCAGCAGCCCAATCCCCCACCCCCTCATTCCACGCCACACAGCTAACAGCCTTAACCTTCTCCCCAACAGGCACAGCAGCAATAACCTCCCCTTTAAGAACATCCCAAGCAAACGCCGCCGCCCCACCACCATCCACCCCCTGCTCACTGCCACTAAGCACAACCGCATCTCCCATCGCAAACACAGAGCGCACTCTTAGCTCCGAATTCCGATATGAATGTTGCGGCTTCCCAAGACCGCCCACGGTCTTCTCCCCCGAAAACGCATTAAGTAGTTTCCCATCCATCCGGTCCAGCAAGCGAATATACCCATCCAGCGTCGAAGCCAGCAGCGCGTTGCCGTCGGACGAGCAGCGCACGCTTGTCACAGGGTGCGCAAGGACATCGACGGTCGTCTTTCCTGTGCGGACATCGTAGATCCGTGCGTGGCCGTCGTAGCTGCCGCTGGCTATTGAGTAGCTCCCCATGTGCACGTGTAGTGTTGAGACTGTGTCGGTTGCTTCGGTGAGCGTTTGGATGGGTTTGTAGCCTGTGGACCGGGTGTCCCAGAGGTTGATTGTTGTATCTGCGCTACCTAGGGAGAGAGGGAGGATGTTAGTTGGATGCCGGAAGAGAAGAGAAGAGGGGGATTCGGGTGTACCGGTTACTACTACGGAGTCGCCATCGCCGGCAAATTGCACGGCTTCAACTCGGCTGTTGTGGCCTGACCAGCGTTTGGTCGTGATGCCTTGTTCGACATCCCAGAGGAAGACTTGGCGATCGCCTCCTACACTGGCGAAGCGCGCGTTGTCGGCTGCGACGGCGATGTCCAGGACGGAGTAGCCATGCGCTTCATATTTTTGGATAGGAGTCGTGGTCTCAACTACTGTCGCATTATTGGAGTTGTTTGGAACTGCGCGCGAAAGGTGTACTGCTCGGTCTGAGGAACCTGTGAGGACGTAGGTGCCGCCGGAGCTTGAGAAGGTTACCGCATTGACGGGGCCTGGAGGGATGTTAGCGCTTGGGGTTTGGAGGGGGTTTGGAGGCGAGATAGCGTTTGAATATTGGGAGCTTACCATTATGTGTTTTAAGAGTGTGGATAGGCCTGGTTGGGAATATTGTCCGGGGCATGGCCGTCGAGTTGATGGAGGGAAGGAATTGGGGGTGTTTAGAGAAATGCGGGATGGACCCTCGGAGCTTCAATTTCAAGCCCACTTGGAGGACTAGGTAACTAAAACGAATACGAATTACTAATTTACTTCGAATCTATGATCTCACAAGAATTAACTCTGTATTTCATACGGAATACAGAAGAAGTTATTATCAAGGTTGTAGACACACCATCGCTAGCTACCAGCGGTAAATGGATATAACAAACAAAACGAACCAAGCCCCCAGACAAAGGTGCTTCCAAGCGCGAACGACAAGACATAGGATACTCAAAAGAGAACAAAAAACAAGAGCGTGGTTCGACTACTCCCCTTTTGAATGATTTGGGTCGATACCCGGTAAAATTGCAACATCTTAACGACGTCCGTGGCTGCGGGTGCCAGGACCCTGCAGGCCCTCGATCTCCTGCTCGAGGGATTTGATCCTGCGATCCGTTAGCAATGGATTTACTGAAACAGTAGTTCGGAACATACGCTGCGTGGGTGGCCTCGAGGTCCTTGTTGAGGCGGTCGCGCTCAGAGATGAGCTTCTGCTCCCACTGGCGGAAACGCTGCTCCTCGACCTTGACCTGCTCGGTGAAGCGCTTGCGCAGAGTCTCCTCTTCCTCCTTGAACTTGGGGTTGTCGAGTTTGCGTGGTCGGGCCTCGCCAAACTTGCGGGTCTCCATCTGCTGGGCACGGTAAGCCTCGTAGTGCGATTCTTCTGTGGTGTGAATAAGGTCGAGCATGTGGGTGCGGATCAGGATTGAGCGGAGCTTCTTGAAGTCGCAGTGGTCCTCGTTCTCCACCTCGGCGACACCCCAAGAGTACTGACGACCCTTTACGACACGACCGTCGTTGGCCTTGACGTCCTTCTCGGAACCAATGACAGCGAAAGGCATGGCAGCCATGAGGCTGCGGGCGTGGGAAGCAGCGTGCTCGTCGTCCTCCTCCACGGGCGGGGTGTAAATCTTGATTCCCTGGGCCTCAATCACAGCGCGGATCTAATCAATTGTTAGTCGAGATACTCGACTCTCCCGGTGTACTCGTTCCACTCACTCTATCCTTGTAGCGCACAAGATCTGCGTGGCTCAAGGTGTCAGCCTTGGCAACCACAGGGATCAGGTTGACACGGGAGCTCAGGCGCTTCATCACCTCGATATCGAGAGGCTTCAGGGTGTGTCCAGTGGGGCGGATGAAGTACAAGCATGCGTGAACACGCATGTCAATCTTGTCGGTTCGGCGGGGCTGCTGCTCCTGGAGCATGTACGACTCGTGCTGGTCATCCAGGAACTCGATAATGGGTTGCCATGAATCACGGTTGTTCACGTAGTCTCCGAATCCAGGGGTATCAATGACGGTAAGGCGGACTAAAAAATCGACAACTTATCAGCTATCGAAACACGGAAGTCGAAAGCCCTCCGCCGACCGTATTTGGGTCGCACCTTTGAAGAACTTCTCCTCGAGCTCAGCCTTGGTAATCTCAATCTCCACGGTTCGGTCGACCTGCTTCTGGTGGCGGCGCTTGTGATCGGCATAGTTCTTAATGGTGGTAGAGAAGAGGGTGTTGATGAATGTTGTCTTTCCCAATCCTGACTCTCCAGCAACCTGATCGAAAACACCATTAGCTCGACATGCGCGGACTATTTCCCTTGGACTGCGGAGCATACCATAATAGTGAAGGCTGCACCCCGCTTCGCGACAATCTTGTGACTATACAAGCTTGATTAGAATCTTTCCACGTATCCACTGTGATCACTCCAAGGTACACACCGCTGGTTGGGAAGCTATATCAAAGACAGCAAGTTAGCTCCAAGATATCACAAGGTAGACACTGGCATTCCAAAGAGCTTACGTTGGCAATGCCAATGGGCGAGGCGGTCTCTGAGGTCGACATGGTGGGTTATAGGGGGGGATTAAAAACAATTGGGAATCAACACAACAAAAAGAAGATGGAGAAGAAGGCCCCTGTAGAATAAGACCAGAATAGAGAAGAGAAGATCAGTAGACTCCTGAGGAGAAAAAAGTGGAAAAGGAGGAACGAATGTGAAATCGGATCTCTCGAACTGCCCGTCGCTGCTTCCCCCTGAATCTCCTTTCGTTTTCTGGAGTATACACTCGCCTTGCCTATCTGGGCTTAGCGTGAAGAGCTAGCACTGATTGGGTCCGGGTTCGGGGCATGGATGATCCGAAGGCTCTTATCACGGTAGCTGGTTGAATTATCTCTAATTTTTTGATCTTTGAGATCGCCGACAGCCAAAATGAAGACAGACTTCAAGGTAAGTACTGCGTTTGGATTATTGATCGCATGAAATTTTCAGAAAGTTTAGCCTTTCAAGTTTGATACTAATGTCCTGAATTTTAGTTCTCCAACCTTTTGGGGACGGTATATCGCAAAGGAAATCTTCTCTTTACTCCCGATGGCACATGCTTGCTTTCGCCAGTAGGCAATCGAGTCTCGGTCTTTGATCTCGTACAGTATGTGTCGCCCCATGGCTCTTCGTTTGAGTTGAAAACCACCCTACTCACAATTGCTCTTATAGAAATACTTCCTATACCCTGCCTTTTTCCCACCGTACAAACATCGACCGTCTCGATCTTTCGCCTAAGGGTAATCTTCTCTTAACCGTGGATGAAAATGGTCGCGCAATTTTAACCAATTTCCACCGGCGCATCGCCATTCACCACTTTTCCTTCAAAGGACGAGTGTCCGCACTCAAGTTCTCCCCGTCCGGCCGACACTTCGCCGTTGGCGTAGGAAGACGCCTGCAGATTTGGCAGACACCCTCTACCCCCGGCACCGAAACTAATGGCGAAATTGAATTTGCGCCCTTCGTTCTACACCGGGATCTTGCTGCCCACTTTGACAACATCGAAAGTGTGGAGTGGTCTAGCGATTCGCGCTTCTTGCTCACTGCTGCTAAGGATTTGACCGCGCGAGTATGGAGCATGGATCCGGAGGAAGGTTTCGAGCCCACCACATTGGCCGGACACAGACAGGGTGTGGTGGCTGCTTATTTCAATGCGACACAAGAAGTGGTATGTGCACACTAGAAATTGATTCAGCTGGAAAGATCATACTAATTTTATTCATAGATTTACACTGTCAGCCAAGATGGCGCACTCTTCCGCTGGGAGTATGTTGCGAAAAAAGATGAGGAAACAATGGAAGATATCTCCGACGCCCGATGGAGGATCGTTAAAAAGGATTTCTTCATGCAGAACGACGCTAAGGTCAATTGTGCTGCGTTCCATGCGCCGACAAACCTCTTGGTTGTAGGATTTTCTAACGGTCTATTCGGGCTCTACGACCTGCCAGAGTTCAATATGATCCATCAATTGAGGTACATCAATCTGTGATACCCTATCCTACCTTTCACGGTGACTAACATATCCCCCTCTAGTGTCTCTCAGAGCAACATCGATGTTGTCACAATCAACAAATCAGGCGAGTGGCTAGCATTCGGATCGTCCAAGCACGGTCAGCTGCTGGTGTGGGAATGGCAGTCCGAGTCATATATCCTCAAACAACAAGGGCACCTTGATTCTATGAATGCCCTCGCATATTCACCGGACGGTCAGAGAATTGTTACGGCCGCCGATGACGGTAAAATCAAGGTTTGGGATGTCAAGTCAGGCTTCTGCATTGTCACTTTCACAGAACACACCAGTGGAGTGACCGCATGTCAGTTTGCGAAGAAGGGAAATGTGTTGTTCACAGCATCCTTGGACGGTTCTATCCGTGCATGGGATCTTATTCGCTACCGTAACTTCCGAACCTTCACAGCGCCATCCCGACTGTCATTCTCCTCGTTGGCCGTGGACCCTAGTGGAGAAGTGATCTGTGCCGGTTCACCAGACTCCTTCGACATTCACGTATGGTCCGTGCAGACTGGCCAATTGCTTGACCAGCTCTCCGGCCACGAGGGTCCGGTTTCTAGTCTTGCTTTCGCTGCCGATGGCAACCACCTCGTCAGTGGAAGTTGGGATCACACAGTTCGCATTTGGAGCATCTTCGGCCGGTCACAAACCAGCGAACCTCTCCAGCTCATGTCAGACATTCTCAGTGTGGCTTTCCGCCCAGACGGGCAACAAGTCGCCGCATCTACCCTAGACGGTCAGCTTTCCTTCTGGTCGGTTGAAGATGCTGTGCAGCAAGGAGGAGTTGACGGTCGCCGTGACGTCTCTGGAGGACGCAAAGTGTCCGAACGCCGTACTGCTGCTAATGCCGCAGGCACCAAGTCTTTCAACCGAATCACATACAGCGCAGACGGCAGCTGCATTCTGGCTGGTGGTAACAGCAAGTATATCTGCTTGTATGATGTTGGAACAGGGTCATTGATTAAGAAGTTTACCGTCTCCGTTAATACCTCGCTCGATGGCACTCAGGAGTTCCTGAGCAGTCGTGATATGACTGAAGCTGGTCCCCGTGCTCTTATTGACGAGACTGGTGAAGCCTCTGATCACGAAGATCGTGTTGATACCACTCTTCCTGGCGCGAAACGTGGTGATGCCGGTGCGCGCACCACACGCCCAGAAGTCCGCGTGACGTCTGTGGATTTCGCACCGACTGGACGATCATTCTGTGCCGCCTCGACCGAAGGACTCCTTGTTTACAGCTTGGATACCGACTTCATCTTTGATCCCTATGATCTGGACATCACAATCACACCGTCAAGCATCATTGCCACACTAGATGCTGCCAAGGAAGCCGCTGCATCCAACGCTGTGGATGATGATAACACCTTCCTCAAAGCTCTTATCATGGCCTTCCGATTGAATGAACAAAAGCTACTCCGTGTCGTATATGAAGCGATCCCTCCGTCAGATATTCCCCATGTGGTTCGGTCCGTGCCCTCCGTCTATTTACCTCGCCTTCTCCGATTCGTTGCACATGCCGCCGAAGAAACACCCCATCTTGAGTTCAACCTCATGTGGATTGAGTCTTTGTTCAGCAGCCATGGTCGCTACTTTAAGGATAACACAGGTACATTCGCAACCGAGCTTCGTGCCGTCCAGCGTGCCGTCGATGATATCCGCGAAAATCTGAAGCGGTTGACAGAAAAGAACCTTTACGATCTCAACTACCTGCTCTCGAAGCCTGTTCTCGGAAACAAGAAAACTAGCAGTGCTTTATTGGCCATGGAAACCGAGGATGCCGAGGTTCCTGATGATCAGATGGTCGATGCTGACGAGGGAGAAGGTGATTGGGTTGGCTTTGAATGATTTCTATGTAGTTTCTTCGTGTATGTCTACTTGCATCTGAGCCAGGCGTTTTGTATAAAGACTAAAAAGGGAAATAGACAGAGGCTTTGCGGCCTTGTGTGAATAATATACTCCAAGTTCCCGTTCTCTGAGACCTCAAACGGACCCTTTGTCCATCTTCGCCGTTTAGCAAACGCCCTCCTGTTTTAAAATAAAAAGTCTTACCTTCTAATACTATCCGAATGTATCCTGTGCCACCCTCTCTACCTTTTTTACTCTTTCCTACCACCGAACCATCTTCTTAATCTCCCGGTTTCCAATCTCCCGGACAATCCAAGTCTCCGGAGAATCATTTATCTAAGTACCTTTCCTCTTCTGCCGTAAAAGCAAGGATTCATCATCAGTGAGCCTCAACATGACCGGCCTACCCCTCTGGCCCCTCGTTGGGGTGTTGGTTGTGGTGCTCTATCTCCTTCGACGGCCGCCAGCTTCCAGTTTGAGGCATATCCCAACCATCAGGTATAATGAGTATCTACCAGATTTCATCAATCGACTCATCTACTACCCCAAAGCTGCCTCGATGATCAGTGAAGGATACAAGAAGGTCATTATATTAGTATACTTGGATTTAGTGTTCAGCTCTATTGATATCTGCTTGCAACCTTTAGTACAAGGATAGTCCGTTTCGCCTGCTCACCGGTGATGGAGAAGTCATCGTCTTGCCAGTGAAATATCAAGATGAACTGAGACACCTTCCCTCTAAAAGACTCAGCTCTCTACATGCCCAATATGAAGTATCATCCCATGAGCTTATTTGTACTACGTTACGATGAGGGGTTGGAGCTAATATACTACTTCACAGAACGCGTTGGGCCAGTATACCAACATCATCATCAATACTCTTTTACCTGCCATGACCGTACGGAAAAAGTTGACGCCCAATCTAGGTACTAAAATCATTTGGTTCTCTTGTTTTCAACCTCATGCAAGGCCAGAGAAATAATATATATCGAATAGCCCAGGTCGTCCCCGGAGTCATCGACGAGCTACGAGGAGCATTCGATACCGCTCTTCCAGGATGCGAAGGTGAGATATGCGAACGCTACTTTGTGGCATCAACCTTATAGATGGACACTCGGATACTGACAGCGAGGGACTGAAAACAGACACCTGGATTCGAATCAACCCATCCCAGATGTTCACCCGACTAATTGCCCTCTCGACTTCCCGCATGATGGCCGGCGACGTCCTCCGCGAAAACGAAGAATGGCTCAGCATTGCAAGCAGCTACGCCGTGAACGTGGGGATCACCATTACCCTACTTCGCCCAGTTCCCAAATACCTCCGTCCCATCGTAGCGCTCTTCCTCCCTAGCGTCCGAAAGATGAAGAAACAGTTACGTTTCGCGAAAAACCTCTTTATTCCGATGGTCCACGAGCGCAGGCTGGCACAACAGACTAAAGACCCGAACTACGCAAAGCCAGACGACTTCTTGCAGTGGATGATGGATCTTAGTGAGGAAAAGAATGAGCACCTCACACCCGATACCCTGGCACATCACATGCTGCTCTTGGTAACACTGGCTATCACGCACACCAGCACCATGGCCTTGTGCCACTGTCTCTACGATCTAGTTACCAGACCCGAGTACATTGAGCCCCTGCGGGAAGAAATGAGCCGGACTCTACCTGATGGCTGGTATAACGCGACTCAAGCTGCCTTAAAGGACCAGTCCCGTCTGGACAGCTTCTTGCGTGAGTCCCAGCGGTTCGCTCCGCCTGGTGAATGTGAGTGCAAATCTTCTCTTATGGCTGCGCCCTATAATCAATCGGAGGCAGGGTTGTCATTCAATACCGTGCTTTAACCGCCTTGTCTAGTAAACTTCCATCGCATCGTAAAAGAACCCATCATGCTCCATGATGGTCTCATTCTTCCAGTAGAAACACACATCTGTTTCGCTGCCGGTCCCATTAGTAAAGACCATGCTTTCATCAAAAACCCGATAACCTTCGATGGGTTTCGCTGGTGTCATAACCCTCGGGATCGCTTTGTCCTGACTCCTGAGCTTGCAGTACCCGCTATGTCGAATGGTGGCTATGGGAAGATGCAAGCCGAAAAGCAGTCTTCCGCCCATTTCGTTTCTATCAACAACGTTAACATGCATTTCGGGTTTGGGCTCCAGGCGTGCCCCGGTCGGTTCTTCGCCGCGAATACTTTGAAGGCTATCTTGAGTCGCCTCATCATGGACTATGAGTTCAAGTTCGTTAAAGACCTGGGGGGGAAGAGACCCGCTAATCTTGTTGTTGGGGAGCATATTCTTCCTAACATGAGTACCGAGATGCTGTTTCGGAAAAGGCCAATTGGACTTTGAGCAGAGGGTGAAACTTTACAGAGATTTTTGGAGAATGTTGTTTCTTAGGGCTACCAAAGGTCAATGCGCGATTCCCTACTTATTTATCTAGCATATTGCGCTTCTTGCTTTATCTTTAAAAGATCTCAAGATTGGGAAATGCGAGAATCGAGTTTTGGTTTCAATTCCATCGTACATTCATCTTCAATAGATATAAGCACTGTCTAGGCATAAACGCCTAGACAGGCACAGATATCTAAAGCGTCCATATACATACAGGGTTCAAATCCATTCGTTCCATCATATCTTCTTCCCCCTCTCTCGAAGATCACGTTCACCGTTTACTGGGGGTTGGGCTGGGGCGCACCTCGCCCACGGCCTCCTCTGCCACGGAACCCATTACCACGACCACGACCACGGCCACGTCCTCGATCCAATCCTTGCGGCGGTGGAACGTGAGAATAGTTCTGTGGACGGAAGGCAGGGTTGTTTTCAACAATACCCTCACTAGGGTCACTGTTGTCCATTGCAACATATCCGCCTCGAGCACCTCCCCGGCCGTTACGGGGACCACGGGGAACACCACCACCATTGGTATGGGGGCGGAAGGGGAGGGTGGTTTGTTGTCCGTTGTTGAGGCCACCGCGACCTCCACGCCCGACTCCATTGCTCTGTCCGGCGACAGCCCCTCGGAAAGAGCCTCTCAGGGGAGCAGGGGTAGGTGCGTTTTTCAGTTGTCCCTGTCCGTGAGGACCCATAGGGGCGCCGTACCCGGCAACCGTCAAAGGAGTCTGTGTCTGCTGGATTTGCTGGCTAGCCGTAGCACGGGAACTGGTGATAAGTTGTCGGTTGGAAATGTTGAGGAGGGAAGATGCCAGAACAGTTTGGCCACGGAATGGTGAGCATCGGCCACCTAATGTAGTGCCGCTCATGAACGACACATCAAAGACAACATCAAGCAGAAGTGCTCGCGATGTTCTGGTGAGACCGACGACAGTGCCACGAGTAGCGATCGGCACTTTACCAGAATCTTGGGCATATACAACCCGATCTCCAAGCTTGAATGTTTGGTTTCCGAGACGGTGTTCAACATCTGCAGGTCGAAGGAGGGCACTTCGGGGTACACCCCGAACCTTTTTCGGTTGCATATCTGGCAGGGACGCATTGAGAGTATCGGCATCCTGCTCAATCAGCATCACAATATCCGAGTCAAGCTGCTCAGCATCGAGGGGTACTCTCTCGAAGTTCTTAGCTTCTATAGATTTAAGCCAATCTTTAATCTCCTTCATCTTGAGGGCGGCAATTTCCTCAGGATAGAAATCAGTTGGAGAATAACGGTCGCTTTGAGGGTTGCGCTGGATGCCAGCAATGAAATCAGGGAAATTAATCATGTACTGTTGAATCAGTTCCACTGCCTTCTGGCTAAATTCCCAGCCGGATTCTCCGCGACGAGAGTATCCAAGAACCTTCTGTTGCTTTGCCTGGAACTTCAGGTTAAGACCAAGGTTCGCACGTTGGCCTTCGATGTCAACAGTAAAAGAAGATGTGATCTTAGCCAGGACCAAAGGATTGAGACGAAGACTGCGCGCAACGGCGTACGAAGGCATGTAGGGGCAAAGTTGCTCAGATGCCCTAACACGGTCTCGGCCAAATTCTGGCTCCCGACCTTTCACAGCCGCGACCAATCCATTCACCTTCCCGTCTTCGTGCCCGCTAACATACACAGGTCTTCCATAGTTGAAATCACCCAAGAAGAAGGCACGAGAACCTTCTGGGAATTCTTCTTGGATAGAGAGAGCCTCCCGCTCAATGAAACGTTGATCGGGATTGATCACATTATCAACAATAACTTGTAAAGCATAGTCCGTCTCTTGGCCAGGTATATCAGCGAATTCCTTGATCGTGGCTCCATCGTCTGTCTTGCTCATGCCCTTCAGAAGTTGAATGTGGACCAAAGATTCGACATCGCCAATGATAATTGCTAGACGCTTGCTGTAGGTGCCCTCGATCTTGTTGGCCTTCCTCTTCCACTGCTCGATTTGCTGGGGAGTATGGGGGATAGCTAAAGGGTGTTGTTCTCCTGGGGGGAGAACATAATCAAATAATTCGTCAGAGACGCGAATCACAAGAGCTTCTTGCAAAAAGGGATAGCCCACGTGGACACGCTTCCCAAGCTTCGTCTTAGCCAGTTCAATGCTCGACCGGCTTCCCGGATCAAGGAGTGTGATAACCTGGCTCTCGTTACGGCTGTCTTGATTGAACACGCAAACGCCATGGAAACCCAATTGACCGTGGTGCGGGAGTGTCTTGATACTAGGGAAGCCAGCAAGCGCTGCCTCACCTAGGTGCACGCCGTCCATTAAGCCAGCGTAGGGCACCAAACCGTCCATAACGGGGAGGTCAAAGAGATTTTCAATGCAACGGCAGTTAGGCAGATCCGGGAATACACCGGGCATTGAGGAGGGGTAAACGAAGTTGACCTCTGGGGAGTATGTGAATTTCAGACAGGCTCCAAAGTCGTTTCTTGCTTTTTCGTCCGCGGAAAGTAGGTTTTCTTTCGTTTTGAGGGCAGATAACAGCCGTTTTTCATCGATGAATGGGATCTTGACAACCGCTTCCCATTCCATCTTTTTCCCATTCATATCAAGGTCGAAGTCGCGAGGGTAGAAATCGTAGATTGGGGAATCAGCCGAGGTCATCAGGTCCCAATATGCAGTAGGCACAATCTTCTTGCTGCGGTCGGGCAAGACACCCATGAGCTGGTCGAACGGCCGGAAAGGTTGTCCTAATTTGAAATTCATGTCTGCATCAAGGCCATCGTTCACATCTGTTCCACCGTCAGCAATCAACCCAATACAAAAAAAAAAAAATTAGGTTTTGGTACTACTAACCAGAGATCATAGGGGCATAGTGGTACTGGAAGAACCAAGGCCACGATGCAATGCCACGGTAATAGTAGAACAAGACCCATTGCAATCCTTGCACATAGTTTTGGGCCAACTTCTTCATCTCTTCCTTGTTGTCGAGGCCCCAGCCGAACTTGGTCCGATAATACTTATCTTTCCACTCTAAGAACTCAGCGTCATACTTTTCTTGCGCAGCCTTCTGCGCTTCCTCGGGCGTCATCTCCTGGACTTTCGCCTTCTCGTATTTCCGAACAATACGCTGAACAGCCATGGAGGCTTCCTCGTCTTCTTCATCGTCATCACTATCACCCTGGGTTGGAGGCAACGAGAGCCTCATGAACCGATCACCGTTCTCATTTTCGATGGAAGACCAAGACAACCGGAGGTCATCCGCAAGCCGTTCGACGAAGGTACGGTCACGAGCTGGAAGTGTAGGAGGGAGGTCAAGAGGTTCAGAGGCCTTGTCAGACCGGTTCAGAACGTACTTCTTGACCGTCTTAAGGATCTCCTTCTGAGAAGGAGTGAGCGTAAGCTCTTTCTTCTGTTGCGAGTTCGAATAATCGATGTTTGAGTCTTTCCTTGATTTGATCCATTGGGCATCGGAGTTTTCTGCCTCAAAGAATCGGTATTCCACTGCGCTAAGTGCAGTCACAAGCATTCCCAACCGTTGCACATTGATAACACCTTGCTCGTTGATATAGCCGCCCATCTTTGGCAGCACCTCCTTGTAGAGCTTGAACATAAGGGCAAGGGCACCCTCGTTGATATGTAAGTTTGGCAGGTTGGGCAAGAAATCATTGCCAACAAAAAAAGCCATGAGAATGAAATCATCGATGACACGCTCCATATCGAATGGGAAATCCAAAACACCTTCTTCTTTTAGTTCTTGGAATTCTAATTCCAAATACTCCCGAACCACGCTCAAATGCAACAGATAAAAGTTTTGATGTTCCAGTTCTTTGGGCTTCTTGGATACTTGGCGGCCAAACGTCACCTCCTCTCGAAGAAGGCAGAAGTGAGGGTCATGGCTGAGAAGACCCAGCATGATCAGATCGGCATCCAAACCGTAAAGACAATGGCGAACGTTGGATTCATAGTCAGGCTGCGCTTTCGAGCAGCGAATGTATTCCATAATCTTGTGCTCGCCTTCTCCCGGAACCTCATGGCCAGAGAGCACAATTTCTACGCCTTGCCAATCTGTGTCTTCCGAAATTTTCTTGTTGATGAAGTATTTGAGTTGTTTCGTCAATTTCTGCATGAACTCAGTACCTGGAGTGATGCAATTGCTGTCAAAGGCATCTTCCTTTGGCATCTCAAGGCCCTGCTGGATGGCCTTCTCCTTCGCAGTCTCTGCATCGAGCGCCGTTCGGAATCGACGTGCACGTTGTTGATTCATCTTAGCACGAGGTGCAACACCATCTACCGCCATATAGAACAGCTTCTTAGGCTTGATCTTGCCGAATAGATGTTCGATGTAATTGAAGATAGCAATGAACATTTGATCCTCCGTCATGCGAAATGTCGGGGAATCGCTATCACTATGCGTACAGTTGTGAATAATGCCGTTCATGTCAAGGTATAGGCTATCGAATTCAGGTATGCGGCTCTCTGCGATCAACATCGAGATTGACGGATACCGCTCACTCAGCCATCGGAAGAATTTCGGGACACCCATAGTGAAGATTGGGTGAGATCGACGACAAAATTGTCAAGAAAGGAATCGGGTTGGTTATTTATCGTAAGAGTTGAGAGATCGTAGAAGGGTGCTCGTAAAGGACTGAAATAGAGTTACTTGCGACGAAAGGTGAAATCATCCAATGAAGAAATCTTGGACAAGATACTGCGCCAGCAAAGTATTACCCAACGAAAGAAGTAGGGGTACAGACGTAAAATACGCAAGAGAAAAATATAGTAAAGCCAAACTGACGCTTTTCAGTTGTCTATGATGCAAGAAGCCAGTGTCCCCACGATGTGAACATTGAAGAGTCAACGCAGCTCATTCACCGCCTACTAATTAGGACTAGTGCCATTACAGGTCTCCCAGCACTCATTAACGCGGTGATGCGCGTAGCTTCCTTCCGCCTACCCGTCTGCTTCACACATTCTTTCTAAGTGACCCGAGTTCCGTCGCCTCGTGATTTCAATATATTGCTCGGTCTAGACTGCCCCCATAACTATGGATTCCTATGAAGACGATACTGGTGAGCGTTCATACCCTTGCGCACTACTTAAAAATCTCGATCTAATCAAGATCTAGGTGTTGGTGACGAGCACGAGAAAGACCTAGATCAGGATCAGGATCATGAACACGCCGATGAGAAGGCGATCAATGAAGGTAGCTTTGTTCAATCTCTCTCCGGTTCTATCAATTACCGTTATATCTAATTATATGTATTCATTGGGAACAGAGTACAAAACATGGAAGAAGAATGCGCCCTTCCTCTATGATATGATCCTGAGCACAGCATTAGAATGGCCAACTCTTACAACCCAGTGGCTTCCAGATAAGCAAGAGTATGCTCCGAATGCCTACTTGGTCCAATCGTCAACCTAACCAAGTCTATCTTCAGAGTCCCAGACAAGCCCTATTCAACCCACCGTCTCCTCATCGGCACACACACCACTGGTGACGCGCAGAATTACCTTCAGATTGCCCAAGTTCAACTCCCAAACCCTAATGTGCCAAACCCAGAAGACTATGATGAAGAGAAGGGAGAGATTGGAGGCTATGGCGGGGGTTCAAAGAAGCCTCAAATGGAAATCAAGTTCAACATTGTGCAAAAGATCGATCACAAGGGCGAGGTCAACAAGGCCCGGTATCAGCCCCAGAACCCGAATATCATTGCGACAATGTGCACGGATGGCCGAGTGATGATCTGGGATCGCTCTAAGCATCCCAGCTTGCCAACTGGCACAGTGAACCCTCAAATGGAGCTCCTAGGCCATGAAGCTGAAGGCTTCGGGCTTAGCTGGAACCCTCATGTGGCCGGTCACCTCGCAACGGGCAGTGAGGATAAGACCGTTCGACTTTGGTAAGCAGGCGCAACATGAAACCCCGAGGTTTAGCGACTAGCAACTAATAAAGCTCACCACAGGGACATTACTACATACACCAAGGGTAACAAGGCAGTACGACCGAGCCGCACTTTCACGCACCACTCCTCAATCGTCAACGACGTTCAACACCATCCTCTCCACTCCTCTCTCATCGGAACCGTCTCCGATGACATCACGCTTCAAATCCTTGATACCCGCCAAGATGATTCCACTCGTGCGGCTGCTTCAGCTGAAGGCCAGCACCGCGATGCCATCAACTCCATTTCCTTCAACCCGGCTTCCGAGACGATTCTAGCCACAGGTTCTGCCGACAAGACTATCGGTATCTGGGATCTCCGTAACCTAAAATCGAAGCTCCACTCACTAGAGGGCCACACCGATTCGGTGCAATCTATCTCGTGGCATCCATTCGAGGAGTCAGTCCTAGCAAGTTCCAGTTATGACCGCAAGATTATGTTCTGGGATCTCAGCCGGGCAGGCGAGGAGCAAACCCCTGAGGATGCTCAAGATGGGCCTCCAGAGCTGTAAGTGACCGCGTTTCTTTTTCTTCTTACAATATGTTTGAATTATTCGCTGACCTTGCTCTTTAGTTTGTTCATGCACGGTGGACACACGAACCGTATCTCGGACTTCAGCTGGAACCTAAGTGATCCCTGGGTTCTCTGTTCTGCCGCTGAGGACAATCTACTGCAGGTATGGAAGGTAGCAGATGCAATTGTGGGCAAGGACCTGGAAGATGTCCCAACAGAAGAAATTGAGGCTTGATATTATTTCCAGCGGACTTGTAGTCCAGTCATTTTCCATGTGGGTGCTTCTTTGGTATAGGTGAATCAAGGAGTATAATGAGTAATCATTAAAAACGCCATTTTATCTGAAATATATATCCATGATACGGGCCCATGCTAGTGGCACGGTTATCATAATTCAAATATTTTCAAGGCTGTGTATGTACCTATGTATGTATAGAAGGGCAAAGGTACCTCTGGACAATAGCTCAAGCACAATACATCCCTAGGCCATGATATAAAGAACAAAGAACATTAGGAATTTCGGAATCGGGAATATTAGACTTCGGGATCCCCAGGTCGCTCGTATACCTTAGTGATGTCAGTATGGATGTATTTCCTAAATGATCATTGCTATCAATATTTCCCCAGCCCATTTAGAAGTGCATTCCCGCACGTTTCACTACATAAAGCTAATGCAAGATGCTAGGTGTGTAATAGAAAGAATAATATGTATAACCCAATAATATATAGGATTCATATAACCATACAACAAATCTATGCATGTGCTCGGCCCCAGAGCCCGTTATCCGCGGGGAGCATGTCATCACTCCGGTGAGTTTTGATTGGCGGTGATTGGTGGGGGATGAGGGGGACAGAACAAAGTTAGTGTCGTTTGATGGAAAAAAAAAAAGTTGACTCTGACTTTATATGTTCACATCGTCTTAATAATTACTATATATCATCTTGCAAGGTGTTACATTCTACTTTTGATCAACTTCATTCTTGATACATCGCCATCATGGGTTCTGGTTCTCCTACAAGCCCAAAGCCCTCAGCAATTCCGTCCCACATGTTGAACGGTAGCTCCCCGCTGCAACATACAACTAGCAGCCGTGATTCTCGTGAGCGTGAGAGTCTCAATACATCCATTCGCTCCTCTTTTGAACCCAGAATTCCCATTGAATTTGAATCTCCTGAGGCTAAGACCGAGACCACGGCCGAAACTGGGGAGACTGAGGCCGCCCCCACCCAGTCTGTTTCTAGTGCTTCTGTGCCAATTCGCAGTGTGGCGCCAGTGCGGTATGTATACATCAATATTAATATCGATGGCCATCACAATCCAAGTTACATTGCTGATCTCTGGGCTGTAGTCCTAGCTTGAATGACCCTCCCCGCGATCCCAGGGATGCGGCCGCCCCATTGACACCTTCAACCACTGTTAGCCGACCCGCTAGCCCCTACACATTGAACCCACCCATCGACTTTGATGGTCTCAGCTGGCCTTGTTAGTGACATTAACCCCATCGGTGGACACCGCTCTATTAGTATATTCCTCTAACTACTGTCATCTAGGTCCTGGAACTAGACAGCGGAAGGAGTCAACACCGGAGGAGACCGAGCAACGTCTTGAGAAGATGTCTGGAGCTATCCGAACAATCCTAGAATGTATCGGTGAGGATCCGGAAAGAGAAGGACTTCGCGAGACCCCCATGCGATATGCCAAGGCTATGCTCTACTTTACCAAGGGTTACGAGGAGAATGTTCGGGACTTGGTCAACAACGCTGTCTTCCACGAGGACCACGATGAGTTGGTCATTGTCAAGGACATTGACGTCTTCTCTATGTGCGAGCACCACATGGTTCCCTTCACCGGAAAGGTAAGGATTGCTGTTGCCGATACCGTGATGATATCATTCTAACCACTTACAGATGCATATTGGATACATTCCCGACCGTCGCGTCCTTGGTTTGTCAAAACTCGCTCGCCTGGCAGAGATGTTCTCTCGCAGACTCCAGGTCCAGGAGCGTCTCACCAAGCAAGTTGCGTTAGCGATTTCAGAGGTCCTTCAGCCTCGCGGCGTCGGTGTCGTTATGGAATCTTCCCACCTTTGCATGGTTATGCGCGGTGTGCAAAAGGTTAGCAGCACTACTACTACCAGCTGTATGCTGGGATGTATGCGGTCCAGCGCCAAGACTCGTGAAGAGTTCTTGACCCTGTTGAACCGGAGATAGTGCCCCATCTCGCTAAACCCCAACCTAAACACTGGTTGTTGATTTATGAATTCTTGGAGTTTTGGTGGTGACCTTTCAACAGGTTTTGGGTGGTCTTGCTTTTTACTTTACATGTTAAGCGTGGATTGGTGTTTCTCATGTCTTCTCTTGTCTCTGTTCTCTTGCCCATACTTGGGCCAATCTTTGCCCTGGTGTCTTGTCATATTCCTTCGTCCATGAAGCCCACAGCCTGCTTCTTGTGGCTTCGAAGGAAATGGTAAACACCCCTTCCTCTACCCCTGATGGGCCGGGTCCAAGGAAGAAAAAAAATCTCCCTCATTCCCTATGCCCTGCCTTACTAACACAACCCCTCAAGATGTCTTTGCTGTACTATTGAGATTTCACTCGATAGAACTAGCAAGGCTGTTTCAACACTTGATCCATGAAGCCTACGGGCATCCTAGTAATCCATGTCCACTTAGATACAATGTATGTATTAGAATCAATGTACAATTTCTTTCCGATTTTTTGTTTCCTTTTCTAGAACAGAAAAGCAAAGTTCTGATAGCGATATGTAAACCTTCGACATCAACAAGTGTTGAGTTAAAGGCCTGCAGCTGGTTTCGACAGAGTTATTCGGTGTCTCTTAGGGCTTTTACAAGAGCCTTTTAAGTCTCCCGAAGTGTGACCAAGGGCGACTGAGCTGGGTGTCGAGGTTTAGATAAGTAGCTCTAGTTACTGAATGCCTAGTCTGCTTGAAGATATCACCAAGGGTCTTAACACTACGGGAATAGCCGAGTACCTTGTCGGCAGCGAAATCCATCATACCTACCTACCTCCTCCCCCGACGACTCATCGCTTACATCGTCGAGCCTCAATACCTAGGTATCGCCGGCCAATGGCAGCCCACGAGTTAAGCCCACGACGACTAATCGTTGCCCCCGACGATAGTCTCCTACGCAGATACACGTCTGATGTGCTTTTTTATCACTCTTCCTCTAGCGGACTCTCTCTTCCATCTCATCTCATCTCATCTCTACCATCCAACTCTTTATCCTTCCTATCTTCTCCATCAAACTCTTGCACTATTCATCCATCAGGAACGTATCTACTCCTACATCCAGCTCCAATCCTGGTGATCTATCATTGATTTCCTCTGCTTTCGCCTCTTTGGGCCTTTTCTGCAGCGCTTGACGTACGTGCATCTTCCAGTCACGTCCACGGTCAACCTTGCCTCTCAATATCTCAAGGTCACCGCAACACACCACACGCCAATCCACGGCTACTGAAGAGTCGCATCCGTATTATCTATCTTTGTAAGTCTCGTGTGAGCTGTTCCCACTTCCTTTATGTGTACTGCATACACCGCCAGTGTTCCTGAATTTCTTGACATCCAACATTGATTGGACATGGAAACTGAGCATGTTTCAGTCTTCTTTTCCTCCTGTCTACATCATTGTTTTTCTTTCAAGAAGATATGATGTGATATTTCTTTGTCTATTGTTCACTTTCATCTGATATTCCCCCTGATCTGATCCTTGTTTGGTTGCCATGTGATAAGACACTAATGTGTTTTAAAAAGGATTCTCACATTCAAACCTGTCGCCTACCTCCAGGCACTCAAAGGGTTTGCCCACCACGTATGTACCTGATCGAATCCAGCATGACATTTACTGACATGGAATTGAAAGTTGATTTATCAAAGAAAATCTCAAGCCTTTTTTTGCCAACCAAAAACAAGAGAATTCATTCCAACATAATGAATAACCGCAATCGACGTTCAGCCAATCCAGGCTCCTCAAGTTCCCCTTCTCAGGACGATCCCGCTGGCTTTACCAACCAGCCGACCAATCAGCCTACCAGTGCCAACGAGTTTAACGGAGCCAACAACACTGGCCCATCTAGACCTACACAGCAGCATTGGTCCTCTTATGCAACCGCTGAAATCCTCCGCGCTCACCTAGATGCTGGCGCTCACTCTGACTCTGACGACTCCTCTTCTGAACCACGGGTGCACCCCGATTTCTTCGTCTATCTAGAAAGATTGCGAAGAGTCAACGAAACCAATCGAGTCAATGCGCGCAGAGAGGCTGAAGCCCGGTATGAAGCTTATCAAGCTTCCCGCATGCTCACCGAATCCCAGGAACTAGCTTCTCGCATGCTCCATAATTCTCAGTATGAAGCTTCTCTGATGCTCAACGCTTCCCAGCATCAAGCTTCTCGTATGATCAACGATTCCCAGAACCAAGCTTCTCGCATGCTCAACGAGTCCCAGCATCAAGCTTCTCGGATTCTTAATGAATCCCACCATGGAAGTTCGCAATTTGCCAACGAACCTGATCAAGCAAGCCAACGTCGTCAACCCTCATCCTATACCGATGCCGAACATGGATCGCAGTCATCGGCGATGGGCATGCGTGAGCGACATGAAACTCAGGCTCCCACCACAGCCGTACCATTTGACTCGATGTCACATGTTCGTTTTGAGGCACCTGATTCCGTGAGTGATGCTCATCTCAGGGACCGTTCTCATCACCACAGACCTCCTTCTCCTTACCCAATGGATACTCAGCACCAACCTTCTACTGGTCCAAGCTCTATGGCAAATCCTCCTGTGACAGCACCTCAGCCACCGAGATACACAGACCGTGGAAATCCTTACACACTCAGACGCGAACGGGCTCCATTTCCTGAGGGTGCCGTCCCTTGTTCTCCAGAACGCATTCTTCAAGCATGGCTCATCCGGCAGCAGCTAATTGTCGGTGTTCGTCCTGAAAATCTTCAACCTATGTCAGTCCCTCGGGGATTGCAGCATCGAACGCCTCCTTACATCATTTTAAACCAAAGTGGTGCTCATATCCTAAGAATCGAGCCTGCCAGATTCGATGGTGTCATGCTTCCTATGCTAGACCTTCCTTGGTTCCCGCGGCGCCCCAATCCTGAGTCGTCCACCGCGCCTGTTTCGACGAATACACCTGATGCTTCGAATCCGTCTCCCGCTCCAAACACCACGACTGCCCCAACCTCGGATAGTCCTATCAATCCTCCATCTGTGCTAGACGTGGTTGTCCCAGAATTGAGCTCGGAGAGTCCTATTAATCCGCCGTCTGTCCCAGACATGTTTGTTCCAGAATTGAGCTCGGCTAGTCCTATTAACCCGCCTCTTGTCCCAGATGTGGTTGTCCCAGACTTGCCATCTACTCCATGGAATTCACCGGTTCGTCCATACCTGCGAGCTGCCCCAACCGTGCACGCCGCTCCACACTCCTTTGAGGTTTCATATCCAGATTCTGTGCCAGAACAAATTTTGGGATATCCGAGTCAGCATGTTGCTGAAAGTCAGAACAGAGATCTTCGAGTGGTAGCCTTCTCCCAACCTCTTAGGCTTCACGAACCTGTTGATTCAGTCTCCACTTACGTGTCGGATCCACGCCCAGAAGGACCAAGCACACCCGAGCCTGCTCTCAACGAGAACAGCCAAATCCCCGTGGCTGCCACCCAGTCACAGTTGCAGGCTAGCATGCGCCTGACTGTGCAAAACCGTACCGATACTGACTCTATCAGTTCTCGGGAAGGTCTTGGGCAGGACCAAGAGCCTTCGACCGTCTCTTCTGTGTCGAACGAAGGGACCGAGCCCGGCCACGCTGCTCCCCCTGAGGCCACCCCTAGCAATGGGGTTGTGTCTCACGCAATCACCTGGTCGGAGTCTGAGGACCCCGATGAGCCTGCTTCACCCCGTCTCCGTCGTTTTGTAATCGACGGGGCTGATGACTTGCTCGGGGTGGGCCGGTTGTCTGGAGAGGCTAAGGCTTCCGGTGATCAATCCTCCTTGGAGGGTTGATCTGAGAATACTTCAAAGTTTGTATGAGTAGTTTCTGAGGGAAATCTTGCTTACTATGTAAGCATGAAGTGATTTGGGGGTGATTCGAAGGCGGTTGTTAGAGTGAGGACTTTGTCAATCTTTGAAAAATAAGATGGAGTATATTGTAGAATATGTACTAAATGAACTTGTATGAGTACCAATTGCTTCTCTCCTTAATCTAAGGTTTGGCATGTAGAAACATGTCCCTCTTGTGCCTATGTACTGATAGGTGCTGGGTGGCACTGTTGTGTTAGATATGGGGTCTCAGATTCTGACTTGCTCGCGTAGTAGATGTTTGTCGCCTGATTAATGTACCACAACGGGTCGCAGCTGCCTATAGTAATAAGCCCGGTACAGAATATGGTCCAAACAGTGTGCTCAACATGCCCATCACATCCGTCGCGGGCATTTCCCCATCAAGGGAGCAATAGTAGCTTCATGAACTTGGACGGACGAAAAGGAGAACTAGTCGTGTGGTAACGTCTAGCAGAGAATCAAAACAGCAACATGAGGTATTTATAGTATATTCTGTAAGCAAAATCTCCTTCAAAAAAAGGTAGTTACAAGGACTAGGAATGATTTATGTACTTCATAAATAATGTGGTGTCACGTGATAGCCATGTGACCCCACGCTCAGTTCCGGCACAACTTCGACCTACCCATGACATCAACCTACCTCTTTGCTTTCTTAGTTCCTCGCTGATTCGGCGTGGCATGTGCTTTTCTGATCTTAAAGCGATAATATCTTCTGTTGAATTTAGCTCCCTGGTATTTCTGGGGAATATTCCTTTTTTTCGGGTGAGAATGGCCGGGGGTTTGTGTTCCAGCCCATCCCGCTTGATCTTGGGCTGACTTTCAGGCCACGCCCTTGAGTTCCTTGCAACCACATCCACATCATGAGCTGTTGCTTTCTGTTAGATTACAAATTTTCGATTTCGTCCTGGAATTGATCTCGATATTTAATATGAGAGGCGGGATTGGCTGAGCGCAGGGCCTAGTGTCTAGCATTTCACCGACAGGTCGCCTTTGGGGGCTTGCGCATTCTACTGGATTGGATTGGGGTGGAACTATCATTGCTTTTAGGCCCTTCTTGCCTTTATCGTCTCGTACATTGACCCCTCATTCGATATGCTCCCTACCATTGTCGCCAGTCTTCTGTCTAGCCAACCAACCTGGACACCTGGACACCACCAACATGAATTCGCACTTTTGCCTTAAAGACAAAGAACTCACATAAGGTCGGCTTAAAACGACATCGCAACCAAGGTTTCCGCCCATTTCATTTCTATCCCACTGGTATTTGTCCCCAGATAGTCAACCACCAGTCTATCTGTTGTAAATCACGACAAAGTTTCATTCCAGCACACGCTCTTTTTCTAGTGCACGACGACCCAAGTTTTGACAATTGATCAATCTACAACTTACAAGACATCGCAAAACTGACCGCCTAGATGTGATACAGAACATCAGAGTTGTTTCCAACGAAGAATCGCAGCATGTTGAGTCGGCCCTCCGAATTGACGAACAGTTTCATGATTCTGGGGAGGATGATAAGAGATTCCAGCCATTGATTTTATGGTGTGACCTGATAATCCAACGCGGGATCATCCTGTTCACAATGGTGTCTCAGGGATGTTGGCCCATCTGGCCTTGTGCAATACGTAGATAGTTTCATCTGTGGGACAAGCCAACGCAGTCTCAATGTTGCTCTGCCAAAAACAGGCAACTGCTGTACAAAAGGGCAAGGCGAGCACAAAGGAGACAATGCGCTAGCAAGTCTGGCTAGCACGTCTGTTTCTCCAACAGCTGCAGGTGGGCACCACCTGATCAGATCATCATGTGCTGAGCAGACACAGACTCGACACATTCGGTACCCAAAAAGAAACTTGGAGGAGCAAAGGAGGAGTACAGGTTGCACTTGTCTTCGACAGCTGCACACAAACCTTCCATTCCTGCGTCAAATCAAGTGCGCCGAATCAAGTTGTAGAGCCGCAACCCGGATCAGTCAGCAACCCCGAGGTCCTCCACCTTGGAAAGCCCACTTTCGACGGCCAAGTAGTGTTCTTTCTTTATATGGAAAGGGTGAGACAGTGTATTTGATAAATCTGAATTGGTGCGTATGCCCCATTCAAACCTCCCCCTGGCTGATGTCCTCGTTGTTCACCAACGATTGATGATAGTGTACACAGTTCGGAAGCTGGAAAAACCATCGTTCCGTGTCCCCAAACCCGAAAGACTTCCGCCTGCGATCGCAGACACGCTTGGACGGCATCGCTCACTGTGCTTTCTCATCATTATCTCTAGTTCAAGGCTTGTTCCAACGACTGGCCTCGCTGACATTCTATACTTCCCCTGACTGAGCCAGATGCCGCTGGCGAAGTTTACATGGCTGGGTCCCGTACGAGTCCGGTGTTGAGAGACCAGTGGAGTGCTGACCCAGACCGTGATCCCCGTGACAGGGAGAGACGGAGAGGTCGAGGGTCAGGCCGCGATCGAGGGAGAAACAGAGGTCGTGATCGAGGTCGTCCATATCGGCCCAATAACCGCAATTTCGATCGCCCGGGGCGGTCGCCACCACGCGCGTCCCGCTTTGGCCCTGACTCTTCTCATGACCTAGGCGCTTTCGCTCCGGATCGATCTCCTCCTCGAGGTTCTCCACCTCCAAACTTTCACAATAACCGTCGACTAGATTCAACCCAACCTGTGCCATCAGCCGATGATTGGAACGGCCACCCTTCTGGACCTTTTGACAGAGAAGCCCCCGGTCTCCGAAGGGACGAGTCACCAACCGGACCTCCACTGAAACGGCAAAGGACCCGCAGCCACTCACCGCGTGGCCACCGTGTCCCTCTTCCTCCACCGCGTCCAAACTACAACAATCACGGGGAAGGCCGGGATCGAAGCCCTTCATTCAAGAAACGAGGTGGCCGCACCCAAGGTCGTGGTGCTCCGAGACGAAGATCACCACGCCGGGGCCGTGACCGTCGTGGAAAAGACCGTCGCCGTCCAGAGATACCACGTCCAGGAAGATCTAGATCACCAGTCCATGAACGAGGGTTTCATCCTTCGCCCGATCGACGGTCTCGTACCCCTGGTGGTGACTACAGCGACCACGGATCTCATTATCGATCAAACTCACGGCACTCCGTACGGTCTACAGCTTCGAGATACTCCGTATCGTCTCGTAAGTCAAGGCGTGATTCGGCAATGAATACGACCCGACCAATCCAGTCTGTTGTGGACGATACTGCTCGGTCTCCATCTCCACTGCGCCCGATTCCCAGTTTTGATTCTAATAACTTCGGTCCTCCCGGAGAACACTCTACTAACGCTCGAGATGAGTTCCCAATGAATTCAATGCGCTCTGATGTGAACAATCAGCCTCGCCGTCGGCCATCTCGACCACGTCTTGATAGCCGGCCCCATGCAAACTCTCAAAACGCAACATCGACAGGCTCATACCACGGCTCACCCCAACCACCCTCACCTTACTCCACAGGACGAGGAGGGTGGTCTGGCCCGCCTCCGTATTCTGGAACTGGGTGAGCTTTTCATTGTTTTCACTTACACGTTACATTCTGAGTTATACTAACACTCCCTAAGGCATGCCTCTCCTTACCGGCATGATGACTATTCATCGCAAAATGGAAACTATTATCACAACCAAGGTCAATTTAACGGCCCTAGCAATCATCACCCTCAATCTCCGTATAGCGGACCCCCCCATCGAGGTGGCCATTCTGGTGGTGGCCATCGAGGAAACTTTTCAAACCAGGGTCCCGATCGGCGATTTTCTGGCTCTGGTCCTCATCTATATCACAATGGACCCCCACAACGCGGCGCGAGAGGACATTTCAACAACTTGCAATGGACCGCATCGGGATCACGAGGCCGTGGGGGGCAACATAGCCCTCCCCCGGCACACAATCATGGGTCACAAACTCCCAATCGACCACAGTCTCACAACGACCCTCAATCCCCCCGAGCTGCTGAAATTGATGATCACCCCCGACCCTCTAATAGGGATGAAGAGGAGAACCAGACACAACCTCAATCTGCTAGCGGAAACCCCCAGTCCAGGCCGCCCCCAACCCACGAATCCAATGAAACGACGCCGGCAAACAAGGGCGGGAAATTCAGCTTTGCTTTCAAGTCAAAGGCTGCGGCTTCTCCCGCTCCAAAGCCAGTGCCTGACCTTGCTCAGAGGATGCAGATCCGCGAGCCAGCCCCCCGTGCACCTGAACCACCCCAACAACCTCGCAATCGGTTTACCAATGGGCCATTGCCCAAATTCAAACCGGATTCGAGGGCCGATCGCCGTGACCGGGATCGTGGAGGGCGAAATCGGGATCGAGACCGCAGAGATTTCCGAGAGTCACGAGAATTCCGTGATCCACGGGATCGAAGGGATGACCGACAGTTTGATCAACGTCGTGATCGACGACAAGGAGAACGTCCCCCGGACAGGCCCTTGAATTGGCAAGATCGCCGCCGTGAGCCTTCTCCAGAACCGCCGAGAGAGGCACCACCACCCAAGCAGAAGCGGATTCTTACTCGCCCCAAACCGCGCCCCACGCTTCCCGAGGAGTTCGCTCATGCCGAATCTGTGTACTACCGAAAACCGGGCAATGAGTCTGTGATCGGCGCTGGAACCTATGGAAAAGTGTTCAAAGGAATCCACGTCTATACCCAGCGTAAAGTTGCACTTAAGAAGATCCGAATGGAGGGCGAGAAGGATGGCTTCCCCGTCACGGCTGTTCGAGAGATCAAGCTGCTTCAGCATCTTCGAAACCATAATGTCGTCAGCCTCCTAGAGGTCATGGTTGAAAAAAACGAATGCTTCATGGTCTTTGAATATCTCTCTCACGATCTGACCGGGCTCATCAATCATCCCACTTTCTCTCTCACTCTCTCACACAAGAAGGATCTGGCGAAGCAGATGTTTGAAGGTCTCAATTACCTTCACCATCGTGGAGTTCTACATCGTGATATCAAAGCAGCCAACATATTGATCAGCAATCGTGGATTGTTAAAATTTGCCGACTTTGGCCTAGCCCGGTTCTTCTCCAAAAGTCGTCAACTTGACTACACCAACCGGGTCATCACCATCTGGTACCGACCCCCGGAACTCCTGCTGGGTGAAACCCGATATGGCCCTGCTGTCGACATGTGGAGCGCTGCGTGTGTTTTCATGGAGATGTTCACCAAAAAGGCAGTTTTCCCTGGTGAAGGTGGCGAATTGAGCCAAATGGACAAGATCTATAATGCTTTGGGTACTCCTACCAAGACTGAGTGGCCGGATCTTGTGGAGATGCCCTGGTTCCACCTGATGCGGCCAACGGAACGAAGGAAGCGCGTTTTCGAAGATGTGTACCGTGATGTGCTGACAACCGGGGCGATGGATCTTATCTCCTCGATCTTCCGCTACGACCCTTCTCGACGCCCCAGTGCTGATGATGTTCTTAAGCATCCATATTTCGTATCGGAGGAACCGGCTCCTCACCCGCCGATTGAGTACGTTCCCCACGCTCCCCCATACATTTTATCCCTAACCTTGTCTATAGATTGGAGCATGTTGAAGGGGACTGGCATGAATTCGAATCTAAGGCGCTCCGTAAGGAAGCTCGGCGCGTTGAATACCAGAACCAAAAGGACCGTGATAAGCGCAAGGCCGACGCGTCGGTGCCCAGCAGTGATCGGGATTCTAAGCGAACCAAGCAAGATTCAAGTGATCGTGTCTCTGCCCAGTGATGACTGTTGGCAAATTATCTTATTATTATTTTTCTCTTTGCTGTTTTATTGCATCGGACATGGTTGGTGGAATGGTTTGCATTTACTTTTCACGAGATTCACTACCCTAAGTATTCGGGGTTCTTCCGGGCTTGTTTTTCTTTTTTTTTGTCACATATTGCCCATTGGTCAAAAGAAAAATTTAGATCAAAGTTATTATTTGCATGGTCAAGTATAACAGGTGTACTTTGTATATCGACATGGCTATAATGACATTTCAAGAGATGGGTATTACCTAGGAAAGCTATATAACCTACTGTATGTCAGTCCATTGGGTCATTCAAAGATACAGCATAGCTATATCTTATTTCATAATTCAAAATATATTTCCAAGGCTCAGACTTTGCCTGTTGACCGCATGCTCGACCAGCCCGTGAGCCCGAAGGCCAAAGTAGTAGGGCGGTTGAGACCTCGGATTACCAGAGAGCTCAAAAGAGTTTCTTCATGGCCATGAAAGATGGAAATGGAAATGGAAATGAAGATTGCTATTGAGAGAAACGTACCCTATACTATAATAAACAAAAGACATAAAAAACAAAAACAAAACAAAGAAAGTATGTGCCGTCAATCAGGTCATCAACGTTTCATGGGTTGCTCGTAAGCCCTCGTGATGATGGTTTTAGATGCGAAACAATTAATCTCGACACACACATCGGAAACGCCAGTGCTGTAAAAGAAATGAGTCGCCAGCGTTGATTTGAGTTTGGTGGTCTTGATATAAGAAAGAAAAGAGGAACAAGAAGAAAAAAAAAACGAAAGAAAAAGGGAAAACTGGAAAAAAGACGGTGCGGGCTGCAGGCGAAAATGGGGCTATGTTGATTGTGATTGGTTAGGAGAGCTGCTCCTCCAAACTGCCTGTCGAGTCTCCGATTCATATCGACACTTTTCCCCTTCACCTTGATTCCCCCTCTATACATTTGTTTCACTATTTCTTTTGCTTCTTTTAAAACTCACCATTAACTCCCTCAGATATCCTCTATTCGCCCTTCTTAACCTTCTTTCATTCCCACTTAGATTTCGAATTTCTTATTGCAGAATTTCCCGCCTCTGCCACTATACTACGTCACTGAGATAATAGCGCCGGCGTCTCATCTCTCTGTGTAACGCTCCTTACGGATCCTTTTCTTTCCCCCTGATGACCGCTCGTGTCTCGGGCAGTCTTCTCACCCGCCGCGATGGATAATGCAAACCTGTGGACCCGCCGGACAAAGTTAGTCGTGTGCCCCTCCTCAACTCAGGTGACAATTGTAACTTATATGGTGCATTGTTTCTTCTTTGATTAGCTCCTCCAAATTGTCCCTATCAACCTCCGGAGCGGACACGAAAGACAGTGCCCGTGTCGAACTTCCCCGCCCATCCAAGCGGTTTGGACCCGACAGCTCGCACGGCCGCTCCAATCCATTTAACGCAATATCCCCATTATCCGGCGGTGTTTCCTCGCCATCCACCAATGCCTCCTCCGCATTCGGCCTAGGGTCCGGCGCATTCGCTTCATTCGGTGCGCCGAAGACTCCCGGTGGCTCCGAGTTGAAAACACCCGGACGAGAGGCGCCTTTGGAACATGATGAGGCTACACGCAAGGCCTTTGAGAACAATTCCCTTGTTGCTCCTGGCGAGCACCCCTTGAAGTCTACCTGGATCGTCTGGTATCGTCCCCCGACACCCAAATACTCAGACTACGAAAAGTCCACCGTGCCGCTCGCTTCGATATCTTCGGTAGAAAGCTTCTGGGCGGTGTACTCTCATCTCAAACGCCCTTCTCTTCTTCCCACGGTTTCCGATTACCACATCTTCAAGAAGGGGATTCGCCCTGTCTGGGAAGATGAGGCGAACAAGCGGGGAGGTAAGTGGATCGTACGTTTCAAGAAGGGGGTTTCCGATCGATACTGGGAGGATCTCCTCTTGGCCATGGTTGGAGACCAGTTTGCGGAGGCTGGAGATGAAGTCTGCGGCGCTGTGCTGAGCGTTCGAGGCGGCGAAGATGTTTTGAGTGTTTGGACGAGGATTGACGGGGGGCGCAACATCAAGATCAGGTATGTACGACCGGCTTTAGTTCACCGTCACACTGTATATCTAACGTGGCTTCAGAGAAACGATCAAGCGCCTGCTTGCTTTCCCTGCAGACACCAACATCATCTGGAAGAGCCACGACGACAGTATTGCACAGCGTTCTGCCATTGACCAGGCTCGCCACGACAAGACCGCCACTGGTACGAATCATCAAGAACGGCGGCGTACAGGTCAAGATGACTCGGACAAGGTCAAAGCGGCCGTGGGTCTATGAACGGATCCAAGATCTCAGCCTGGCCTTGGGCCCTGTATAGTAAACCCGAAAAAAAAAACTTCAATCACGAATCATTGGGACGCGTTTGGGTCTTAGGGGCGGTGGGGCATCGAGGCGAACTCAGCGGTTTGATTTGATTTATGTCTTGACTGAACTCATCTGTGCTATGTGTGTTTTCTTTTTGTGTCTACCGAGCTCATGCGTGATGTTTTTCCTTTATGTACGCAACATGAATGCAGCACCAGCTGCTAACGGTTTTCTCGTGTGAGGGTATTGTCTATGTTTTGCGTGAATTGGTTTTGTTTTATGTGAAGTAGACCTCTTTCACATAGACTTGGTCTGTTCAAGGTTGGGGTTCCAGATATTCCAACTAGAACTTATGCATACAGAAGACAACCAAACACATTAGTGAATGGCCCAGGAGGTATGGATACAACACCAGACTACATATGTATGTGCAAACTAAAAACCCCGATCAGTATGCATATGTAGGGTTGTTGTATTGTTCACACTATTCAGGTATTGGGACACTGAGCTATTGTTATGAATAGCGTCAATGCAAAAAAAGATAAGAACAAACTGAATCATTTAGACAATACAACCGATACATTCCGTCTATTCCAAGGTAGATATCAAATAGCTGAAAGTCAATGAATTGAAAGTATACGTGCCTAAATCTTCAGGCTCCAACAAATTCCTGACCGCCCTAGGGCGCAGATGACGATGCGGCGTAGTTGCGTCCCATGAACGAAAAAAAAAAAAGACAATAACAATCAATTGGAACGGGATACTTGCAATGCATATTGTCATGAAATTGCGGCTGCCTTCATGCCTGTGTTTAAAAACCTAGTCGAACTCTTCTCTAACTTGTCTCCCCGACACCAACGCCAGACCGAAGATCAACGATCTGCTGTTCGGCGTGAACCACCGCCCTCAACCCCTCCTCGTTCTCGACCAGCTGGACCTGGTTGCGACTCTTTTACCTTGGGATCTCCCACTAGCCTGTCTGAACCCACATCTCTTCGAAACCCTGAGATCGCTCCTCTTCCAACGGTGTGTATCTATCTGCTCATATCTCCATGCGCGCGTCCCGCCAATTTTTAAATTCGGTCGTCCATATTCCTTTTTGATAACTCGACCCTGCGCAAGCTCCTCGCCTTGGTCACTTACCTCTTAGCCCTGCCCATTTTCTTGTTACGGGCCATTCTCAGATCTTCGACTTGGGACTAATCGATCTTCTCAGGTTGTTCACAGTTATGTCGATACTTTTTTGTCTCCAACCCGATCTACAACCGCAGACGAACGATTGCGCACACGTTTCTCTCACCCTTTTCTAAATCCCATTACCCGGTTAGACATGTCCCGTCGAAACCCACAGACATTCCCTGCCGGCAAGCAAAAGCTGATACCCCCACCCATTCCCAGGCCGGGTGATTCGCCGCAGATGTTGAACAAGGACCAACAAAAGGATTCCCAGAATCGGCAAGATGAGGCCCGTTTGTTCGGAGCCAGATACCAGTATGTTCTACGAGTTCTATGGGTGTGTGTTGGGTTATTCAAGATATGGATGCTAACCAGTCGGCTTTCTTTTTTGCTCTATAGTGACTCTCACGCCGTCAAGATAAAGCCCGGAGCATCCCTTCATTCTAGGAACAAGAAGCCAGGGGTAAATGCCAGCCTTGACATCCATGACTATGACATCCCATCTGATTCCCAGTCACAGGCTAGCTTTGCGTTCTCCCCACAGGACAAAATTTTACAGAATTCGCGAAGCAGCGGACCGGTCCGTTCTTATGGAGAACCAAACCAACAAACTTCACGGAGAAAGTCGCCTCAGTTTGAGCATGCGTTTGAAGAGTCGAATCGGCCTACCAAGATACGGCGCCAGAGTGACACCAGCGAGACCATCGACCTTACGGCCCCAGCAAATTCAGCTATAGATCGATTGGAGCATCCCACAAATCGTCGCAACCGACGTGATGGTTTCCGAGATGCGGAGAGCAGCGTCAAAGCAGCGCAAAGCTCTATTCGTCCTCAACATGACCAATTCTCTTCTGCTGACGCTCGGGATGAAAGGTTTACTGAAACCGCCGCTCAACAACGGCGAAATCAGGGGAGATCTACGGATACTAAGCTGCATCAAGCCAATGGCAAATCATACCAGCCTCCTGACCCCATTGTCATTGGGAATATTGAGGATGGATCAAAGAAAGTTGGTCGGAATCGCACTACAGTTCCTTCGACAAACTTCCATCGTCCTGCCAATGGCAGGGAAAGTCCAGACGAGCTTCAGGGCGACATCACCACACATCCAGCACCGAGATCCTTGTCAAAGAAACAAACCCAAACCACTCGCCCACTCAACCCCGCAATGCGTACAGAAGCACCAACTCGAAAACGCTCCCCGTCCGATGTCCGAAATCCAGACTTTTTGCCACCGTCACAAACCACGAAAAAGGCCAAGGCCACTCAAAAATCCTCTGATAAGAAGCATGAATTGCAATCTTTCCGAATCGGCAGCATCTGCAAATCTTGCTATCTACGGGAATTCGTTTACATGTATTCAAACAAGGATGGTCTTGAACTTCGGGAGGATGCAGTGGGCCAGGGCAAAACACTATCAATACCTTTTCAAAAAATCCAGCATGTTGTCATCGGCGAGAATCCCAGCCGGAAAGTAAGAATCAAGATGCGAGAGGTTTATCTTAACGAAGACGACCAGCTCGATATTGACTTTTGGACCACCGAGGAAAACGAAAGGTTCTTGGCAGTGTTAAGGAAAGCCGATGTTCAGAGTCAGAGCAGAGAGATGTAAGTTTTCGAGCCATCTTTCAGATCAATTCGCGGTTCACTAACATTAAAACAGGAAATGGATGAACAAGGCGTTTTTGAGATATGAGAAGCTATTTCCACGTCAACAAGAGAACAGGCGGCCCAACAAGCGGCTTCTTGACACCCTGGTGGAAGATGCCGATCCTGCACGCTCTCCCCCTCCCTCACGACGGCAAAAACTTTCAAAATCCTTGAGAGATGACCACGGTGAAGTCAACAATGTTGATTCGTTCGAGATCAAATACGCTCAGGAAAAAGGAAAACATCGAAATAGCAATGTCGATTCTCGAACGTCTGCCAGAGAGCAACAGCATCTTCGACCTCTTACTGATACCGATGTTAGTGTTGGTGTTCGACATACCGCCAATCCACCGGAACGCGAGACCCGGTCTTCTACCCGCCGTGTCGATAACAATTCAGAAGTGTCGAAAGAGGACAATACTTCAGAAGCAAACTCCAACTCACTTCACAGAGATGATTCTTTTAGGCACAAATGGGAGAAACCGTTGGTTTATCCACGAAATGGAAAGAAGAAGGCTGAGGTCACACTTGGCGACCGTGAACGTTTATTCCGGGACGACTTTCTGAATGACAACTTGATCGCTCTTTACATGCGTTTCCTCCAGGAACATCTTGAACGCACGAACAAAGAGGCTGCCAAGCGAATCTACTTCTTCAACACCTACTTCTTTGCGACCCTCACTAACATCCCACGGGGGAACCGTGGGATCAACTACGGTGGTGTGGAGAAGTGGACTCGGAACGTCGATCTCTTCAGTTACGATTATATCGTCGTTCCTATCAACGAGAATGCCCACTGGTACGTTGCAATCATTTGCAACTTACCAAGTTTGTCTCTTGGGTCTGCCGATGGCGTAGAGCCGGTTCAAACGCCGACTCTACAGAAAGAATCATCCAGTACGTCTGAGAGTGAGATCCAGCAAATTGAAGAGACGCCTGAGCCAGAACCAAAGTCAAAGTCAGAGTCAGAGTCCAACGGTTCTACCAAGGCCAGTCCGCCTCGTGAGATCCGAAATGGATCTGAGGGCTGCGAGGACTTTATTTCTCTGGGGATTGAGAATAAGCATGCAGCCCGGGATACGAAGAACCCAGAGGATCAGTCTGCATCCAACGAAATCCCACTTCCTCCCCCAAATCTTCCCAAACTTGCTGCCCAAAAACTCGCCCAAGACCAAGCTGCGGCATCACAACCGACCAACAAATTCAAGAAGAAAAGAACCGGGTTAAAGCTGGATCCCAACCAAACAACCATCATCACATTTGACTCCCTCGACATTCCTCGCTCCCCTACCATCAAAATACTACGCGAGTACATCTGCCGCGAAGCGGTGTCTAAACGCGGCGTGGAACTCAACCCTAACGACGTCAAGGGCATGCGAGCTCGCGATATCCCCCTTCAGCCCAATTTCTGGGACTGTGGTCTTTACCTACTGGCATACTTGGAGAAGTTTGTCCAAAGCCCTGATTGGTTCATCACAAAGGTGCTACAACGGAGTATGGATTCTAACGATGACTGGCCTCCACTAGGCTCTGGTCTCCTGCGATACCGTCTTGGCAAGTTCCTAGACGAACTGTACGAAGAACAGGTACAAGCAAATGAACCTGTAATGGCATCCAGACAACCCATTTCATTCCTGCTCGGCCCACCCCTCCCGTGTCAGCAGGAAATTGCGGGTGCTGATGTGGTATCTGAGTCTGAGCAGGATACAGACCCTCCAAAGGACCCTGCAGAGACCGGTAATTCGAAGACCAAAGACTCGAGTGAAGAGTCAACCGCGGACCAGATACATCCCTTACCTACCGAAAACACCCCAGAACCAATCAAAGCATCCTCCAACCCACCTGCAGACACAAAGTCGCAAAATTTTCATGTTGCTCTACCAAAGGAAGAATTCAGCATCCAGGTGCCCGGTAGCCAGGAAGAGCCCGCAATGCCAGGCACACCACCCCCTACAAGAAAAGAACGAAAGAGACACAGTCCACGAGGGCTTTCGCGAAAGAGATGAGTCTGTTCAGCCAAGTGATAGCATTCTACATGTATTGAAGATAACCTCGAATCCGAACGCAGTACCGGCTGGACCGGGGCTGACCATCTACATCATGACTATGTTCACTGTTGTTTTTAGCGTTTTAATCCGTGTGCGTCACGGCATGTCCGGTGACATGGCCCTACTTCGGCGTTCGATGAGAGAACGAAGGTGTTTTTTCTTCGTGTCTTTACTCTCTTAGCATCAGATACCATCGTCCGCATCGTAAAGCAAATTTAATGTTTTTTTTCCGGCAAAGCACCAATAATAAATAGCTACTTAGTCACACGTGAACAAGCTAACTAACTATCTAACTACCACTGACTCTCATCCGCCCCAACCCACCACGCCATCTTATCCCTCTTGAACGAATCAAAGTCCCACTCCGCATCCTCAAGCATATCCTTCCCAGCGGTATATACATAAGTCACAGCCGGAACCTCTTCTCCTTCATCAGAAACAGTACTACCCATCGCATTCAGCATTTCCCGCAACTGACTCTCATCAGTCACCCCCTCACTAGCATGACTCTGATCTTCACCCGGCACTTCTCGCAGCGTGCGCACAGTAACCCATTTCTTTTCATACTCGGAGCCCTCGAACCTATCTAGTCGGTGGAGGTCGCCCTCTGTTAGTCCCGACACGAGAGTTCCTATGACCGATGTCCCAAAGTGGGTTTTCGGTACAGATGGCTTCTCCATCTCGGTTTGTACCTCCGGCACTGCCACGATCCCTGGGTAATCGGCGTCTTGCACACGATGTCGTCTATACCCGTGTAGAATGGCGGGTTGGAAGCGGAGCATGGCTTTTTGCCAGGGTTCTGGGTTGGCGCAGCCATGGATTACTTTATGGAGAATTTGCGGGACCATTAGGGTTCCTGGATAGGTTTTAGTTTTTGATTTGCCTTGATTTGAGAATGACTTACCGTAGAAGAAGAGGATATGGTCGCCCATTGTGTATGGTGTGGGGTTGATTGTTGGTTGTTGGTTGCTGTGTGAGCGTCGAGTGAGGCTCCGAGATAATAGATTCTATGGACTTCACGTATAACTGGTGTATGCAACTGGCAGAAGCTTAGGGTATAAAGAAAATCAAAAGAAGAGAGAGGAACGAGGCTCATGGGAGAGAAGGTTGCCTGCCTATGTGGAGATGACAGCCCCGGTTTATAGATGCCCGCTTATCGATAAGACCCAAACATCCAAACAGGTCCAGCTGGCTTCATCTTTCTTATTCGTCTCCCACCACACCATGCATTCCTCCCTGAACCGCATCCAGTCCGTATTCGGCTTCTTTACTACAGTTGCGCTGGTTGTCAGCGCACTGGCAGCCGTCTCGGTCCTCTTCTTCCCAGCAGACGAGACCAATGCCTCGGTGCAGCTGAAGAACGTGCAGGTGTAAGTGAAATCGCGATTTGCATTCTCCCTCCAACACTTCACTCTACCGAGACCTAGCAATCAAAGAAGAAACCTCCCATTCATTAACCCCGTATTGCGCGGTATAACAGTGTCAAAGGCCGGCCGCACTACTACTCCACCAAACGCGAAGAATACGCCCAGTTCCGCTTCGATCTCGATGCAGACCTGAGCCCGCTCTTCAACTGGAACACGAAACAACTCTTCGTCTACGTATACGCTGTCTACTCCTCCTCCAATAAGCCCGATTCGCAGGTCCACGTCTCAGAGTCTATCATCTGGGACACTATCATCCCCGCGACCCCATCGCCGTATTCATGGGATATCCTCAAAGACGAGGTCATTGCGCTTCTTCCTGCGTCGGTTACCTCTGAGGCTGTTTCGGCTGCGAAGCGGAATGCTAAGCGCCATGCTAAGTCGGCCAAGTCGGCTAAGTCGGCCAAGAATAAGAAGGAGGCCCTCGCAACAGGTGTCCTGAGGCTGCGTGGTCAGAAGGGCAAGTACCAGATCAGTGATATTACTGGCCATCTGGCTGAGCGTCAGAATGTTACCCTTCATGTTGGGTGGAATGTTCAGCCTTGGGTTGGTGCTTTGTTCTGGGCGCCTGGTACCGGTGCCGCACCGAGGACTGGGGGGACGATTGTTAGCAGTGAGCCTTTTGCTTTCCCTGAGGTGAAGGATACTAAGAAGGCTGCTGCTGAGAAGAGGGCTAAGGAGGCGGAGAAGGCAGACAAGGCAGAGAAGGCGAACGTTTAGACTTTGGGTCTATTAGGATAGGGAGTTGGGCTTTACATTTTTTTGTTTACTTTTGGGAGCTTTGGAGGGCTATAATGCTCACCTTCTACTGTTGCATTTTGAAAATGATACATATGAAACGCATCGCATTGGAGAGTGGAAAGCCATACTTCTCATTTTATTTGTTGCCTCAAAGGGGTTCCAGTTATACCCGAAAGAAGAACAAGGATCAATGCTATGGATATATCAAAGGTAGAGACTCGCTTAGGTTCAAAGTCATGGAGAAAGCCGAGTGTCGACAGACTGGGTCAAGCAAGTCGACCAAAAGATTTCGGAGGCATCAAAAGGAAATCAGATGGTACCGTAAGTCTGGCCTGCGGGTACATGACGAAGGCCTCCATTCTGGATGCGATCGGAGTAGACGCCTGGTGCAGGTCGTTGGGAGGCACGAGTCAGTGGATCGCGATTGCGACGATCATAGTAGATGTATTCCAAATAGAAGGCATGGATGTGTCCGGGGAAGTAGCTGGGAGATATCACTGGTTAGTTTTCGAATAGGACGGAAGTCAGGATATCCACACTTACCCAAGGCATGTGAGCAGGACGTTGATCCAGAAGTCAACTCCACAGCCTGCAATCATGAAGACACCAAGAGGAGGAACTGTTTCTTTTGTTAGCATATCATTCTGGTGGGGATAGACTGTATAGATTGAGGGATGATCTGGGGATCGCTATGTGGGGGAAGAGTGGGTTTTCTAGTGGGTTTTGTAGGTGTACTTGTCGGGCAGCGGTGTATTCACTTACTAAATATAGTGATGATAATCAAACAGAGCGTTGAGCAAGCGCCGGCCATGATGCTGGTGTTTGGTGATGTTTGGCGATATTTGATGGTATGCGGTGTTATTGTTCAGGGTTGGGAGAACGTTTAAAATCGGTGGTGGCCAGGAGACTGAAAAGGAGAATTGCAAAGAGGAGGATGAAGATATAAATAGGGACATTGTCATCTGCAGGAGAATTAATGCGTTTCATCGTGATCTTGGCCACGACGTCACGACTTAGACTGAAAGGAACCTGTAGGGCTGAGGTAGCTGTGAAGCTGATTTGCTGGAGGAACAGATATGACGTCATCCCGAACTCACCGCCACATGCCAGGGTGAAGATGTGGCGGTGTCTAGACTGTGGCATGTGGCGGTGTCTGTGTACATACCTAGACGGCAAGTACAGTTGACGAGCAGGTACATTGGATAGACTTGGAGGAGATGTAGAGGCACTGGGAATATATTTCCTTTAATATTCCCAGTTATCAAGTCCTACACTGCATCAATTGCTGCCCGAGTTGTGACCTGCTCGTTCTTATTGCCAAGCTTTGAGATCTGCAGAAATGCATCCACTCCATACCCTTCCAGACTGTGCAGTTCTAAACTGCCTGCCCAGTATTCAGCATAAACTCGGCTCATGGGGAGACCCATCCCCAGACGGAGATTTGGTGGTCGTGATGTCAATGTGTCCAGGGATGCTTCATGGTATACATCCCTGTCTGTGTGCTTACGGTCGTGTGACACTTGCAGTTCTTGCATCGTCGCCGCCATTGCAGGGACCCGTCCAAGATTTTCCAGCCGAGTCTGCGTGCGAGGGCCCTTGCTGAAGGACCACAGGTACGGCAGAATCTCTCGAGGGATTCCTCCTCCTTGATCAGAGATGCGCATTATCACATGCTGCGGGGTCTCGCACACGAGCACTTCGATAGGTGGTGGGGGCTGGTCTGAATGCTGATATTTCTCCATCACTGCTTGCACCGAGTTGCGGAGAAGTTCTCCGATGATATATTCCAGATGGCTCAAAATATACGGAAAGGTCGCGTCAGCATGGCCCTTCACAGTGATCGCGGGGATCTGGGTCGAATCTGATATCTTCCGCATCAGATCTTGTGCGACCTTGCCACATCGCTCGACTACCTCCTTTGCCTTGCACTTTAGGAATACTTCGCCTACAAAGTCTGCGTTCATGTCGGTTCGGTCGTGGGAATCGGGGAAATGCCATGGCGAGTTGAAAGTTTCGGTCAGGGCTAGGTGTTGCTCTGCGATGACTCGGCGGGAGATTCGCTGCCGAAGAGATGCTTGTCAGCTAGGAGGCAGACCAGAGGTCGGCCTTACATACCGCTCGCAGAAGTGTGTTCATCAATCGGTCCATTTCGTCCGCCGGGGCGAGATTGCGGCATTGCAGCACTCCTATCGCTAGGTTGGGAATCGCAATCAGATGTTCTTGTAGCATTTCCTTCAGGATTTCACAGAAACGATCATTGTCTTCAAGGGTCCGGATCTCAGGAACCACCCTAACCCTCTCAAATGCTTTGTAGTACAGTTCGTATACAAGGGTGAGATGAGGGTTGGCCACCACCACATATGGCAGCTGCTGGATGTCTCGCAGACGATGCGCAAGGCTATCCAATGGCCATCAGACTTTTTCCCCCTACAATATTGCAGATTGGCTCCCAACTTACCGAGTAGGTAGCTCGGTCCGCACGTAGTTTGCAGAACTGATGAGTCGTGGTTCGGTCAAGGTACGACCAAAGAAGGTCAACTGGCGAAGACTGATAGGTCGAATGGCCCGCTCTATCCATCTGCCAGTACATCCAAGTTAGTATCGTCCATTTCAAGCTTTAGACAAATGAGTCATCCATACTCATCTACTGCAGAAACTGGTCGCCATGGTGGCGGGCTGTGAGCTCCAGAATATAAGCGCTTTGAGGGAGACTTGAGGAGCTGACAGCTTCTAGCTAGATAAGACAACCTCATTGTGCTCCAAGCACACGTTCAATAAGTACCGAGACCATATAAGTGCTCACTGTCTTGTGTATGCGCGTAGTTGGGACTTCCAATGTTTGGGGTTGCCGGGCGGTGAGCCAAGCATGTGACACCGGTCGACACAGTATAGTTTAGCAAGATTTGTTTTTGTTTTCTGTGTCATATCGCTATATATCTCTATTTATATAGTATGTACGGAGTATTGTTCTAGATGCCAATGTCATACGATTTGGATTCTCATCTGAAATTGCCTCGGATCTAAGGCACTCGCACGGACTTGGGGCTAACGCCTCAGCTCATGGACCATTGGATCATCTGAGGGCCACCTGGTCATATTTAACGAGAGCATCTCAAACAAGATAGTTAGATTGGCCTGCAGAGCTAGAACACATCTAGCTACGTATATATAGACCTATCTACATCATTGACAATTTGGACTGGTATAAAATAGGGTTTTCTTCACCGTATACCCCGTACTCTTGCATATATTATTGGGCACTGCCAATTAAACAAACTCCAGATGTCCTTTTAATTTCAACAGTTCAAAAGAGACGAGTCAGAGCTCAATGAAAAGCATTTAGACCCAAAAATAAGCATCTAATCAAAGCCAGATCTCACAAACATCACCCTTATACCAAAATATCGCTGCCGAGCCCTCGAGGCTCCGCCACCGCTAGCTCCGGCCCTTATTATTTTGCGGGTTCAGGCGATTTTCCTCCACCACCAGCTCTACAGTGTATTTCTTTACGACATCCTTTCTTTTTATTCACCAAACTTCCCTAAAATACAACCTCTGTCGCCTTCCGGGACGGGAAGGCGCTTTCCGCGATGGAAAACGTGAGAGATCCCCCGACCGTGCCCCTCGCTAGTGTCGTCATTGGACTAACCCTGTTCTACCAGCTCGCGGAGAACGACATGCTTGTCGATGATTATGATCAATACCCAGCCGAAAAGACCGATGTCGTCGTCGTTTCCCGGTCGGGATCCGACGAGCCTGAATCCGCACCGACCGCAGATGACCGTATGTGTTCTTTGTTGCTTCTCTTTTCCCTAAACCACAAGTTGGAGGGTAGTTTTACGGGTTAGCTGGACAAAGCACCTGGATGAGATCGTCCTCGAGAAATACACCACCTGCTTGCTTGTTTGTACATGTCGCTAATCAAGGGCTTCGATGGATATAGACGCGGCGATGATGGCAAAGGTCCTCCCCCAAAACTCGGACCTTGAAACCCTAGATGAGGCCCACAACACATGGCGCTTGTCAGACTGGAGGAAGATGGAGCGCAAGTCACATGGACCCGTCTTCCAATGCGGTGGCTCCCCGTGGTGAGTTCCTGAAATCTCTTTGGCCTATATGGCTCTATGGTTTGGTCCCAGCATTAAGTCTAACTCGAGAATAGGCGCATCCTCTTTTTCCCCTACGGCAACCAGACCGAATTTGCCTCGTTTTATCTCGAACATGCATGGGAGAACGGACCCCCGGAGAACTGGTACGCTTGTGTGCAGTTCGCGCTGGTGTTGTCAAATGTGAACGATCCTTCCATTTATACACACCACGGTAAGACATTCAAGACAGGGAGGATTGCTCGATAAGAACGCTAAGTTGGATTTTAGTTGCAACACACCGTTTCACTGCCGAGGAAGGGGACTGGGGTTTCACTCGGTTCGCTGACCTCAAAGGTCTGTTTAGCCATGCGTGGGAGGGAAAATCTGTCCCCTTAGTGCAGGACGATGAGGCACTTGTTACGGCCTATGTCCGTGTAGTGAAAGATCCCACAGGTGTCTTGTGGCACAGTTTCCAAAAGTGCGTTCTCTTCGGAAGATTTGACCGAGTGTAGCTAACTTTCTCATTTTAGTTACGACTCGAAAAAGGAAACTGGAATGGTAGGATTGAGGAACCAAGGAGCTACATGCTACTTGAATTCACTTTTGCAATCGCTCTATTTCACAAATGCTTTCCGCAAGGTACGCCAAACCCCCCTTCGATTGCTACCCAGACTATTGACACTGACAAAAAAATCTTCAGGCCGTATACCAAATACCGACTGACCAAGAAGCTACACGCGAGAATAGCGCATGGGCCCTCCAGAGACTATTTTACAACCTGCAGACCAGTGATGCTGCTGTTTCCACAACCGAGCTTACTGCATCTTTTGGCTGGCAATCCAGCCAGATCTTTGAACAACAAGATGTACAGGAGCTCTCACGAAAGTTGATGGAGCGATTGGAGCACAAGATGAAGGGTACTGTTGCAGAAAAAGTTCTGCCTGATCTCTTCGTCGGGAAAACAAAAACGTATATTTCTTGCATCAATGTCGATTACGAGTCTTCTCGCGTGGAAGACTTCTGGGATATTCAACTCAATGTTCGAGGCAACAAGACCTTAGATGACAGCTTCAGGGATTACATTCAGGTTGAGACGTTGGAGGGGGAGAACAAGTACGAAGCTGGGCAGCCATACGGTCTGCAAGACGCTAAGAAGGGCGTCATTTTCGAGAGCTTCCCTCCCGTTCTGCATCTTCACCTCAAACGTTTCGAATACGACCTCAACCTCGACATGATGGCCAAGGTCAATGATTATCACACATTCCCTATGGAGTTTGATGCGGCTCCCTACCTTTCCGAGAGCGCCGACAAGTCGGAGTCCTGGGTTTACCAATTGCACGGTGTTCTCGTCCATAGCGGCAACCTCGATGCCGGGCATTACTATGCCTTCATCAAGCCCAACAAGGATGGGCATTGGTACCGCTTTGATGATGACCGAGTCAACCGAGCTACCGACAAGGAAGTCCTAGATGAGAACTACGGAGACTCTCAGCAGCGTACGAACGGAGCGACTGGCGGGCGGTCCGCTATCCGCACAAACAATGCCTACATGTTGGTTTACGTCCGAAAGACGAGACAGGATAATGTATTCTTCCCAGTCACAAAGGATGATGTACCCTCTCACATTGGTATGTCTGGAGATTCATATTCTCTGGGGGATTGAATGGTTGGCTAATTATAAAATAGAAAAGCGTATGACTGAGGACCGAGCGGAGATGCTGCGTCGGAAGAAAGAGAGAGAAGAAGCCCATCTTTACATGAATGTCGGCGTTCTTAACGATGATGCATTCCGAAACCACCACGGCTTCGATCTGACTAGCACCGACCTACCTGCGGAGGATCCGGCCCTTCCCACGCAATACAAGATCCTTCGGGCAAAGAAAGTCAGCGAGTTTGCACAGGAAATTGCTGAAGAACGAGATATCAAGCCGGAAGCCATTCGATTCTGGGTCATGGTCAACCGTCAGAACAAGACAACCCGGCCCGATCAGGTGATCCGCGATCAGGAAATGACCGTTGAGGAGGCGTACAACAAATTCGGCACTAAAGGCCAGC